GCCCTAGACCCCAAACCCGATTTAACCCAGCAAGGAACCATGGATGATCACTCCGTGCAAAGGCATCTAGAAGGCTTTGCAGGGAGAGACATTCGTGAGCAGTCCTCTTGATGCGCATGCACTACCTTAACCCCAAAGAACCCTAAACCCTAAACCTACCTGTTTAAGGATTCTTTATAAGGAAACCATATTAAGGAACCCTAAAAATGAAGGTTCCTTAGGGTCCAGGTAAGGCCCAAACCCCACAAAGCTTGAGGATCAGATATCCCCCTAAACCCTAAGCCCTAAACAAATAAAAAGGCCTTAGACCCTAGAGCCCTAAACCCTAAACCCTAGAACCCTAAACCCTAAGCCTAAACCCTAGAACCCTAGACCCTAAACCGGCCTTAGGATCAGTTTTCCCTTGAACACCCCAGAATTGCTCCGAGGATTTTGGCAACAGCAAGGCTCGATCCGGGTGGGGGTTCGAGCTTCTTTGGTTACGAAAGGAGAGGCTAATGACTAATGTGGGGGCCGCAATAATTTCAATAGGGTTTTGGGTGTTCCTTGTTTTAAATGTAGTGTAATATACCCCCAAAACCCATTGCAATTATTCAGGCCAGTACAGTAGATTGAGTTCGGGTTTGGTTGAGAATGGGGTAGGGCTCAGGGCCTAGGGCTTATGTTGAGGGTGCTGGGGTTTGGGGTTAGAATTTGGCGTTCAGGCTTTTTGTTCAGTAACCGATGAAAGTGCGATACTTTCAAGGGTTGCCAAATGCAGTTGAAAACACGTGTGCGCACAGTATCGATTAGTTTACATCATAAACATCAGCAAGCTCATGGAGATGAAAAGAGCTGCTGCTATTGCAAGGCTACAGCAGAGCAAGCGATGTGGATCATTTGCTGTGAGACACTAAACCCTAAACCCTAACCCCAAACCGTCACATGGTGCAGCCGGACATGGGAGTTTCCGAAAATTAGGGGTACCTTATTTTGGGATCCTTATAATAAGGATCCTACTATTTAAGGTACTTTATTAGGGTCCCGTGTTTTCGGAAACTCCCACATGAGTTCGGGAAGGGCAGAAGTTCCCGCAGCACGGTCTGAGTGAGGTAACCCACAGACTCCAATATCCCTTAATTAAGGAATATTCCTTAGATCATATTAGGGGCCCTACTCTAATTTAAGGTATATTCCTTAACTAAGGGATATTGGAGTCTCTGGGAAGAGGCGCTGTAGGTATAGCCAGAACTTCAGATCCCGACCCCTCAACCCTGAGCCCTAAAGTCTATAAGCCCGAAACCCAAAACTCAAAACCTAAACCCCGCAAACCCTAAACCCTAACCCCACAAACCCCACAAACCCTACAAACCCTACAAACCCTAAAAACCCTAAACCCTAAACCCCGCAAACCCTAAACCCTAACCCCACAAACCCTAAAAACCCTAAACCCCACAAACCCTACAAACCCTAAACCCCGCAAACCCTAAACCCCGCAAACCCTAAACCCTAACCCCACAAACCCTACAAACCCTAAACCCCACAAACCCTACAAACCCTAAACCCCGCAAACCCTGAACCCTAAACCCCGCCAACCCTGAACCCTAAACCCCACAAACCCTAAACCCTAAACCCTAAACCCCACAAACCCACAACCCTAAAATCCACAAAACCGAAATCATCATCCTAAAGGCTCGAATGCCGTCCTGAGCAGAACCCAGAGCCTCCAAAACCCCTTAATTAATGAATACCTAGGGGTTCCTTTAAAGGGATCCTTAAGGGTTCCTTTAAGGGATCTATAGGGTTTAGGGTTTAGGGGACTCCAACATCCCTTAGTTAATGAATATACCTCAAATTACAATAGGATCCCTGATATGATTTAAGGTATATTCCTTAATTAAGGGGTTTTGGAGGCTCTGGGAACCGAGGGTTTGGCGGGGGGGGGTGGAGGTTTTCGCATTTTAGGGCTTTGGCCTTGGCTTTAGGGTCGGTGCTTTAGGGTTTAGGGGTTTGGGGTTTAGGGTTTAGCCCTACATCCTTCTGTTTGCAAGCTGAAGTTGTTGGTGTAGATAGGCAGGTGGCGAGTGTCCTTCACCGGGTGTGCACTTCTCAGTTCGATAAGCCAAGATCCCGGCCGGTAGCCATCGGCGGTGCCAGATACCACGATGTTGCGTGTCAGGACACTCTCAGGGGAGGAGGTGGCGAGCATACCTGTGGTGGAGTTGAGCGATGTGATGGCACTGAAGCGGCAGCTTCATCGACGGCACGGCTTGCCCACACGGTTTAGGCAGAGACTCTTTGACGGAGGTAGTCTGTTACAGGATGCGGCCAAGCTGGATAAGCCTCAGGACCTGGATCTGGTCCTACTTCCATATGTTGCAGCATCGCAGTCCCGTGCAGACGAGCTGATGACTGCCGCCGAGAACGGCTTTGTAGTCGAGGCTCGTTTGCCCCGGCCATACTTGGAGGATCATGGGACTTAGTAAGTATGGTTATAAGTACCTTCATTGGGGTTATAAGTAGTTATAAGTATAGTTACCCTAATCATAACCCTAGTTACTAAGTCCCACGATCCTTTAAGCAGTCCTCGTAAACTGAGTCGAGTTGTCAGACAATCCAGCTTGAATGCCTACAGGTTGAAGCCCTGTTGCAGCAGCCGGAGAATCCAGACCTGAACGAAGCACACCACACCAATCCACTTGCGCTGGCATCCCATGGAAAGCATGTTGAAGTCGTGCGTTTGCTTCTGGAGGCCGGTGCCAACAAGGACTTAGCTACCAAGACGGGTTTCACTGCCTTGATGCTCGCTTCTCAGGAGGGCCACGTTGAAGTTTTGCGCTTGCTGCTGGAGGCCGGTGCCGACAGGAACTTTGCCACCAACTTCGGTTTCACTGCCCTTATGCTCGCTTCTCGAGAAGGGCGTGTTGAGGTTGCATGCTTGCTTGTGGAGGCCTGTGCCAACAAGGACTTAGCCAACGTTGACGGCTTCACGTCCTTGATGATCGCTTCTCAAGCGGGCCACGTTGAAGTCGTGCGTTTGCTGCTGGACAGCGGTGCTGACAAGGACTTAGCCAACATTCATGGCTTCACTGCCTTGATGCTGTCTTTACAAGAGGGCCACATTGAAATTTTGCGTTTGCTTCTGGAGGCCGGTGCCAACAAAGACTTTGCCAACAACAACGGTTTCACCGCCTTGATGTTCGCTTCTGAAGAGGACCACACAGAAGTTGCACGTCTGCTGCTGGAGGCCGGTGCCAACAAGGACTTAGCCAACATTGACGGCTTCACTGCTCTGATGATCGCTTCTCAAGCGGGTAACATTGAAGCTGCGCGCTTGATCGTGGAAGCCGGTGCCGACAAGGACTTTACCAACGTTGACGGCTTCACAGCCTTGATGATCGCTTCTCAAGCGGGCCACGTTGAAGTCGTGCATTTGCTGCTGGACGGAGGTGCCGACAAGGACTTAGTCAACATTCACGGCGACACTGCCTTGATGCTCGCTTCCCAAGATGGCCACATTGAGGTCGAAGGCTTGCTGCTGGAAGCCGGAGCTGCGACCAAGGTGTAGCCAAAAAGCTTCAGCCCAGGGTCCCGAAGTTGTCGAAGGTTTCGGGTTTGGAGGCCTAGAACCTTCCCAGGTGAACCTTCCCTTAAGTCGTAAGTGAGGCCAGAGGCCCTCAACATATCCGAGCTCTCGAACACCTCAGAATGATTTAAACTCCTACAATATTCTATAACATACTATAATATACTATGTTACTATGATATACTATAATATACGATAATATACGATAAATATACTATAATATTCCATAATATACTATAATATTCTATAATATACCATAATATTCTAAACGAAAATATAATACCCTCTCCCTTGCAAAGCCCTGAACTTCCTGACCTGACCAGGAAGCATGGCCCGTGGTCTCTGTGTCCCTCCCTGCCGGACAGCCGGTACTGCAAGGCCTTCAGGAATCTGACAAGATGTAGATCTGCTTGCGTATCTATGGAACTACATGTATGTCGGTATTATGTATATACGTATATACATGTGTATATATATATATGTATATATATATATCTATGTATATATATATAGTCATATAATATATCCACGTAGAACTATGTGTGTGTCTCTCTCTATATATATATGTATGTACATATATATATATATACAAACGTGCAGGCACAGTTGCAGATTTACACATGCACATACACATCATTAAACAGAAATGCCCGTAGAGATCGAGCACTTGCCTCTCTGTCTAGTGGCGCAAACGACGTCTCGAAGTACATAAACCCTAAACCGTAAATGCATGCAAGAGTATCTTCGCGTTTGTGATCATCGGTCGTGATAGACAACTAGCAACATACGTACAAGCACGCTCATCTCTGATGTAGTGTCGTGCAGGCGCTTTGTCTGCATGTGTGTACTACACTCCTTGCGCTCGGGACTGTGCTGCTGTGAGTTCGCGAAAGTACCCTTTGCAGTGCCCTTACAATAGGCCGTATAGCAGCCAGGAGTATCCCATGCCGCCTGTTTCGGCCCAAGTAACAGCTTATGGGAAGCCAGAGCCACAGCGTGCTCTTAGAAGCTCTGAACCTTTGACCTCAGGTGTCCCAAGAGCTACGCTACGATTCCCGAATCTTTGGAGGCTACTTAAAGGATCATGGGACTTAGTAACTAGGGTTATAATTAGGGTAACTATACTTATAACTAGTTATAACCCTAATTAAGGTACTTATAACCTTACTTACTAAGTCCCATGATCCTCCAAGTAGGGTTCATGGTTTAGTGTTTAGGTTTTAGGGCGGTCAGCTTCGCGAGGCCGGAAACACCCCAATCAGGGTAAACCCAAAGCCCTCAAGCCAAGGCCTCGAGACACGAACCCCTAACGTAAAAGCCAGAAAGTTGAAATATGATTATCCTAACCCCTTAAACCCCAAACCCCAAACCCCTAAACTCTCTAAGCTGCCAGCAGCCGACATGTTATGATCAGTCTCTTTCCTACACTGCCGCGATGGAGATAAATCTCAATGAGCCTCTAGGTTGAAGAGTTTTACTATAGGGGCTTTAACATTTACCCAAACTATCTTGGGGTCTCCTTGTTATAAGGATAGTATAGTCGGCCCCAAAACCCTATTCCAATGAGTACGGCCCCTAGGCTAAACCCCCATAATCCCCCTTAGAGTATCCCTGAAAGGAACCCCTTTAAAGGAACCCCTTTAAAGGAACCCCTTTAAAGGAACCCCAAAACCCTATTCTAATTAGTAAGGCCCCTACATTAGATTTTCCGTTTTCGGATTTACGGTTTCGACTCAGGTCTTCGGATGTAGGGCTTAGGTCCTTGAGTTTTCAAGGTCCCGGGTTTAGGGTTGAAGGTTAATATAGGGGCCTAAATATTTAAAAATAACATTGTGGGGGTTCCTTATTATACTTATCGTATAATAGGCCCAAAACCCCTATTCTAATTATTAAGGCCCCTATATTGCATCCTTATGGTCATAGCCCTTATAGTACTCCATATAGACCCCTTGAAAATAGGAGCCCTTTTTTAAAGGAAACCCCTAGTCTAATTATTAAGGCCCCTACTTGGAGGATCATGGGAAATAGTAAGTAAGGTTATAAGTAGTCATAAGTATAGTTACCCTAATTATAACCCTAGTTACTAAGTCCCCCGATCCTTTAAGTAGGAGGATCCTTGGGTCTCTGGTCAGGGCTGAGGGAGGCGTTGGAGTGAGGCTGCCGGATTTTCTCGTGAAGCTGACCCTGAGCCCTAAACCCTAAACCGCCCTAAGCCCTAAACCCTAAACCGACCTTTTAAACCCTAAGCCGCCCTAAACCCTGAACCCTGAACCGACCATTTAAACCCTAAGCCGCCCTAAACCCTAAACCCTTATCCATTTAGGGTTCAATGGTTTTGGGGTTTCAGGGTTTAAGGCTTTGAGGCTCCAAGTGTTTCGAAGCATTGCGCTCATCTCTAGAAAAGAAGATGTCGATGTGGGCTGAAAAGAAACTTTCGACGGTTCTTCGAGGAGTTCTATACGGCTACCCTGCGGGTTGTATGAAGGTTGAGGGTTTCAGGGTGCGTTTTAGGGCTTAGGCTTTAGCAGCGGGGTAGTTTCGAGGCATTCAGGGCAAGGGGAACTGCAGCGCTAGAGGCTACCCTAAACCCTAAACCCTCGATTTCTTTTGGGATCCCTTCCTCCCTGCCCCTCTGGGAATCCCTAAGCCCTAAGGCCCACTCTACCCCGAAGTTAGGGGTAGTGGGCCTTGAACCTTAGAGGCCCTAAACCCCTACTAAATCCTAAGGTTCCCCGAAACTTTACAGTAAAGGCCCTTAACCCCTAAACCCTAAACCCCTAAACCCTATACCCTAGACCCCTAAACCCTAAACCCTAAGCCCCTAAGCCCCTAAAGCCTAAAACCCCCAGAAGGGCTGGAAGCTGAGGTACAGGATCCAAGACTTTCATGATCTGGCCAGATTCTGAGCACCTCAGGGTTGATGCTGCGGGGTTTAGGCTTTAGGGCTTAGGGTTTAGGGTTCAGGGTTGCGGGGTACTACTACTTAGGGGATCATGCGACTTGGACTTCGTAGCCAGCGCTAGAACTAAGATAAATCTACGTATACTTACTTATAGCCCCAAGTACGGGTACTAATAACCTTACCTCCTTACCTGCTAAGTTAGGCTAAGTCCCATGATGCTCCACCTATGTTCTGAGCTCCGTATATGTATATCCTATACAGGTCTGTTCCGGCTACATCTTGGCGTATGTCTATCCATAGTCTTAGTCGTTTGCTTGTCTATCTGTTTGCCTGCATGTTCTAGATGTGCACGCACTTGCTACTCCTGGTGCTGTTGCTGCTGCTGCTACTACTACTACTACTACTACTACTACTGCTACTACTCCTACTACTCCTCCTGCTGCTACTACTACTACTACTACTACTACTACCACCGCTGCCGGGAGACCAAAATTCCTCAGAATCCAAAACAGAACCCAACACTTTGGTTGGAGGGTCAGGCGCAGGACGGTTGTCTGAGGCCAAGTGGATAACCCAATGAGGTTCTGCAATGCCTGGGCAAGCAAAACTCGGCTGAGGCTTGTAGGGCAAAACATTCACCTCAAACCCTTGCAGAACAGAAGTACATCCTTATCGCAGCCAGAAGCCCTTCTTGCATCCTTCTAAACCTTTGTAAGGCCATGACACGGCCTTATAAACCATTGTACAAATCTTGTAACACGCTTTTTGAAAGCCATGTGCCGACCTTTCTACACCCTTATAAACCCTGTCATGTCCCCGTGTTCGACCCTGATGAAGCCCTAGTACATGTCCTCTGAAAGCCCTTACACACCCCTTTTCGAAGCTTGCCTTCCTAACTATGAAACCCTAGCACCACGTCTTTCTTTAAAACCTCGTATGAAAACCCTGGTAAATCCTCCTGTAAGCCCTGTTACACCCTTAGTACACCTTGAGCCTGAAGCCCTTAACCTCAAAACCTCAACCCTAAACCTCAATCCGAAACCCCAAAGCTCTACACCCTAAACCCTTTACAGATCCTTCTAAACGACACCCTAAAGCCCTATGGCCCTAACGCTTACACCCCATACCCCGAATCCTAAGCCCCTTAACCCTAACCCCTTATAGATCCCTTTGAAGGAACCCTTCTGGATCCCTTTAAAGGAACCCTTATGGATCCCTGTCAAGGAAGCCTTATGAATCCCTTTACGTAAAGGAAGCCTCATAGATCCCTTGACAGGGAGCCCTATGCTATGGACTCCTTTAAAAGGGATCCCTTTAAAGGGAGCCCTATGGACTCCTTTTAAAGGGGAGGCCTCAGGGACCCCTTTAAAGGAAGCCTTATAATAGATCCCTTTAAAAGGGAGGCCTCAAGGACCCCTTTAAAGGAACCCTTTAGGAGCCGGCTTCGGCCTGCGACCGACTCGGTCGGCTCCTGCGCCAGCGGGGCGCGGCCATCGTGAAGCTGCCGGCGCCACGAGGTCGGGGGCTAGGGTCCCTTTAAAAGGGATCCAGAAGGATTCTATGAGGGTTCCTTACAGGGTCCCTGTAAAGGGATCTTTAGGGATTCTGTCAGGGTTCCTTAAAGGGTCTCTTTACAAGGGATCTGTGGGGATTCGATAAGGGTTCCTTAAAGGGGTCCCTTTAAAGGGGATCTATAGGGATTCTAGAAGGGTTCCTTAGAGGGTCCCTTTGAAAGGGACCTTTAGGTATTTGCTCTATAAGGGTTCCTTAAAGGGTCCCTTTAAAGGGGATCCACAGGGATTCTATAAGGGTATAGGGTTTATAACGGGCTCCTTTAAGGGTTCCCAAAAGCGTTCTATCAGGGTTTAGGATTTTGGCTCCTGTAAGGTTCCCAAAACGGTTCTATTAGAGTTTAGGATTTAGGGTTTAGGGTTTAGGGCTCACTTGGAGTATCATGGGACTGCATAAGAAATTATGAGTTTTACGTAGCCTGACTAGGGTTATAAGTTATAAGCAACATTAATCACCTTAATTAGACACCTTGGTTCGTGAGTACATTGATCCTTTAACTAGGGGTATTGTAAGGGTTTAGGGATGGGGGTTCACGAGGCCGTCGGAGCTTGGCATCTGGGGTTCTGAAGGTCTTGAGGGCCTTTTAAAGTTTTCCTTGGGGCTTGCCACATAGGGTTTTCAGGGTTTTTGAAGGTTTCTGCATGGGCTTTTGGGGCGTTTGGGGTTCTCAGGCTTCGGAAAGGGGATTTGTTCTTTTTGTTTTCCAGGGTTTTTGGTTTGTTTTTGTGTGATTTTGGGGGTTCCTTATTATAATTTTAGTATAATGGGCACCCAAACCCTATTCTAATTGGTAAGGCCCCTACATTGTAGTACCCGTATAGATCCCTTACAGTACCCCTTATAGGACCGCTTTTCAAGGAACCCTATTTTAACTGTTAAGGCCCCTATAGTAGGGCTTCGGTCTCAATGACACGCCATGGCGGTAAGGATGAGGGCATGCGGCGATGATGCTGTTGCAGGAGGAGCTGATGAGTAGCACGATGACGGTGATGAATGTGATGATGGTGTTGCAGTAGTGGGTCTAGGGTTTAGGGGTTTAGGGGGTTTAGGGATTTAGGGTTTAGGGTTTAGGGGTGGTTCTGAGGTGTGAAACCTATGAGCATGATGATGATGGCCAGGAGGTTGATAGTGGTGAGGATGCTTGTGATTTGCGCTCCAGGTTTTGAATAGCGTGCATACACCTTGCAACGGCCTTCTAGAACCATGCACGCCACTGAACCTCGAACCCTGTCAGGTGTTATGCATGAGGCGACAGACGAGATCCGCAGGCAGCAGACAGACGGTCTTTGCATTCAGGGCACGGTTTCAGCATGAAGCCCCTAACCCTAAACTCCTAGCCCCTAAGCCTAAACTCTAAACCTTAAACTCTCTCTCTCTCTCTCGCATGCGGACGATCCGGCGCGAAGCTTGCAAGGCCAAAAACAGCCGAAGCTGCAGCCAATTCAGTTAAACACAGAAAACAACAGCGGGCACCCGGGGGGAGCACATCCAAGCAGCCGGAGCGCGAGGAGTGCAAACAGCCCCCGAAAAGGCGCCGCAGGACCAGAGCAGGCAGGAGCACATCAGAAGCGCTGCATGCCTCAGGCGAGCGCAAGAGCGGGGCAACGAGTGCTACACAAGCCGGCACAAGCCAGGGACGAGGCCCAAGGACACAACCAAAAAAGGACAAAAGAGACCACGCTCGCAGAGATGGGACCCTCGCGGCAAGCGTCCTGTACACCAACACATCTCACCAGTGCCAGATGGATGGCCGAGCCGAACATCCGGCTAGTAGTGAGACAATCAGAAGAAAAGCGCGAGTACCAAACAGGTGGATAAGCTGCGACCAGCACCCCACACAGATGGCCAGTCCGAGACAAAAGGCCCAGTGTGGACCCACGTACGAGACGGATGGCCAGCCAGTAGGTTGACCAGCACTTTAACACCAGGATGGCCAGTCCGAGACAAAAGGCCGGTAGAAGGTTGACCAGCACCGTAGCAGCCGGATGGCCAGTCCGAGACAAAAGGCCGGTAAAAAGTTGACCAAAGGCCGGTAGAAGGTAGGCCAGCACCACGTAGCAGCCGGATGGCCAGTCCGAGACAAAAGGCCGGTAGAAGGTTGACCAGCACCACGTAGCAGCCGGATGGCCAGTCCGCGACAAAAGGCCAGTAGAAAGTTGACCAGCACCACGTAGCAGCCGGATGGCCAGTCCGAGACAAAAGGCCGGTAGAAGGTTGACCAGCGCCACGTAGCAGACGGATGGCCAGTCCGAGACAAAAGGCCGGTAGAAGGTAGGCCAGCACCACGTAGCAGACGGATGGCCAGTCCGAGACAAAAGGCCAGTAGAAAGTTGACCAGCACCACGTAGCAGCCGGATGGCCAGTCCGAGACAAAAGGCCGGTAGAAGGTTGACCAGCGCCACGTAGCAGACGGATGGCCAGTCCGAGACAAAAGGCCGGTAGAAGGTAGGCCAGCACCACGTAGCAGACGGATGGCCAGTCTGGGTTAAAACAGTCTGTATACTGTTGACCAGCGCAGCAAGCGGATGGCCAGTCCGAGACAAAAGGCCTGTAGTTGGTTGACCTCCAAGCACCACACGGCCAAGGGGAAAGCAGTCGGCCTAGCGAGAGACAGCGATTGAGAGCGGTAGGACCACTGAGAGGGTCTGCCCAAGCAAACACCCCGAGACCAGGCGTCGGAGCCAGGGGCTGGAGCGTGAGACCACCTGGATCACACGCGGCGCGAAACTCGAGGAATGTCGCTGGGGTCTGGTACCTAGCAGTCAGCCGGTGGAACACAATGGGACCACGAGCTGAAGCTGCCTGAACCGAGACGCCTTGAGCCAAAATGGCTACGGAAAACCTTAAACCCTAAATCCTAAACCGTTATTGGTTTTAAGGGACGGGATTCGGGATTCTCGAGAAAGCTGCTCCTCAAGGAGCTTCGCTTCAGTTGGATTCCGCCAGCCCCGTCATATGAACCTTTCTTGCAAGCTTTGGTACCCCACAGTAACCCGTTTATAGTGTAGTCAGCTTGGTAAGCTTTAATGGAAGTTTTGGTCCCCCAAAGTAACCCTTTCATAGTTTAGTCAGTATAGTAACCATGTTCGAGCTCACTATAGCACCTCTGCCTATAGTATCCCTTACTACTGTAACTGTACTTGGTAGAAACCAATTTTGGGAACGCTTACGGTTGATGATATATATCCTGCATTACCTTATGGACCCTAAACTATGGGAATTATGGTATACTCCTCATTATAGGTAATGCAGGATTATATCATCAACCGTACCTTATGAGTGGGTGACCCCCCGTGGACCGATCTTGCTTTGTTAATGCCTTCGGCCAAGTGCCGCTTCTCCCGTCAACATGGGAGGTTCAGAAAATGGGGGATACCTGATTTTTTGGGGTCCTCATAATAGGGATCCTACTATTTAGGATGCTATATTAGGGTCCTCTATTCTCGGAAAACCCCATATACTTCTATTCAGGGTTTTGGGGCTGCAGTCGTTTGTGGTGGTGGTCCAGTACTGACGATATCGTCTTCTGCAGCCGTAACATGCCAACCGTACTGTCAGTATGACGATTGTGCTAGTACGTTTCTTCATCATTGAACTGCAGTTTTGCAAATGTCTCGGTGTTCTGGCCAGTGTGTTTCCCGGTCTCCCGGTGTGATGTTTCGTCGTCCTGGTGCAAAAGGGTCTTCGTGTCTTGCTGTGTAGGTTTCCAGGCGGCTCGGTTGCGGTGTACATGTGTGTCGAAGGTGTCTGGTTGTCCCGTGGCCCTTGTGTTTTGATCTCGATATTCAGGTGTTTCGGTTTGTAGTGCCAGTGTAGTGTAGGGTGGTCCTTAACTTCCCTAAACCATGAACCCAAACCCTAAACCCTAAACTCTTCGTCACAGTCGCCCGGATTCCCATTGCTCTGTCAGTGTGCCGAAGCCGGAGCCCTAAACCCCAAGCCCCGGAACCTTCAGATCCCTACACCACTTCCCAGAGAGCCCAATACCCCGTAATTAAGGAATATACCTTAAAACTGTAATGGGGTTCATATGGTGCTTTAAGGTATATTCCTTATATTGCGGGGTATTGGGTTCCCTGGGTAATCCTAACCTCTAAACTATAAACACCAAAACCCAAAAGCCCAGAACCCTAAACTCTAAACACTACAGCCCTAAGCAGGTTTTTTGTGTTTCGGTTTCTGACAGCTTCAGCCCTCCAGCCGAAACCTTATACAGGCGGCTTGAAAAAGTAGTAACAGCACCCCAAATCCATGATGCTTAAAACCCATAAGACCCCAACCCTACTTATAGTATATGATGTACCCCAAATCCCGAAATCTACAAACCCTCAACCCCAACCCTACTTATAGAAGAATCCCGAAATCCGTAAACCCTCGGCCCCAACCCTACTTGTATCCAAGGGTAAAAGGAGGGACCCTTAATAAGGACCCCTAGGTATATACCCTTAATATAGCTATAATATACCCATTATATAGCCCATTATAGGGTTGGGGTCCCCATTAAGGGTCCCTCCTTTGCCCTAAGCCCCCAAAACCCCCCCAAAACCCCTAGACCCTAAACCCTATACCCTTATAGAATCCCTCTCGATCCCTTTAAAGGGTCCCCATTAAGGGTGCCTCCTTTTCCCCTTTGATTGTAGCATCTGGTATACCTCAAAACCTGGAGATCGAGGCCCTCAGGCCTTAAACTCTCAATCCTAAAACTCGGGTTGATGATAGAAATCCTTCATTACCTTAAGGACCCCCAAACTACGGGAATTATGGTATATTCCCTATTATGGGTAATGCAGTATTTCTGTGGGGGTACTCTGATGTGTCCTACGTTTTTTGGTGTTTTTGGGGCCCCGAAAATGGGCTCATGAAGCTCGTCGAAAGTGTTGCAGGGTTGGGAAGCCTTGGGCGGAGGCTGTAAGGCTTGGAAAGCTGTTGGGAGGGACTTGGCAAATGCTGCGGTGCATGAACATTGCGCGAAGTGTTGCCCGAACTCGTGCCCAACCGGGGCAACAAGTCCGTGAGGGGTTCCTTTGCCTTGGAAGCAACGCCAACAGCTTGCAGGCCTACCTACCTTGTACGGTCTGGATGCCTTCAAATAGTGCCCGAATAGTGCCCGAATAGTGCCGGAAATAGTGCCCGAAATAGTGCCCGAATGAACCCTTCATAGTGCCCAAATGATTTTCCGTGAAAAAAAGGTGATTTTTCCTTCCTTTACAAAAGAAAAAGTATTTGGGCACTATGAAGGGTTCATTCGGGCACTATTTCGGGCACTATTTCCGGCACTATTCGGGCACTATTCGGGCTCTATGCCAGGCGGAGCTTCAAAAGACCCCAAGTGGGCGCGAAGAATAGGAATTTGTGCAATAGGAGGCATTAGGGAGTGATCTGCGGGGCAGGGTTTGGATTGCAAAGGGGGGTTTAGGCAAGGATCTGCAAGGCAGAGTTTAGGGCAGAATCTGCAAGGCAGGATTTGGGAGAGGGTCTGCAAGCAAGCGCTTGGAGGAGCATACAAGGAAGACATCAGGGTAGTATTTACAGGGAAGAGCTTAGGGGACCCTTGGCAATGCAATTTTGCGTTTTGCAGGGTTTCAAAGTTTAGAGCAGCATCTGCAAGGCACGCTTTGGGAGGATCTGCAGGCAAACATGTGGAAGAGCCTGTACAAAATATTGTAGGGTAGTCTATGTACAGGTTTAGGAGCCTTGGCAATGCGAGGGTTTAGGGAAAGATTTGCCACCCAGGGCTTCGGGGAGGATTTATAACAAGACGTGTAAGGAGGAGTGCCCGAAATAGCGTCGAAATGATTGTATGTGAAACAAAAATATGTTTGTGTTACGAAGGACTTAGGGTTTTTATCGAGTACAGCAGCAGTCGGTCATTGACAGTCTGCTTGTTATCAAACTCAGAAACCTCCCCCCCGCCCCCTCAATTTCAATGTGTGCTGCAATGTTGCCGCAAGTCATTGGCCGCCTCTATGTCAACATTGAATTTGGGGGGAGTGGGGGTCTGGAAGGTTTTAAAATGTGCGGTACAAACAAGTCCAAAAGTTGTTCTATCGTGTGAGGCCATTTTCGGGGTCTGGAAAACAACAAAAAACGTAGGACACATTAGAGTACCCCCACAGTGAGTTGCCACCCTGCTTGCCATGCTGTAGCATTTCTGACAAGTAGTTGTCATGTTACATCATTGGTCAACAGTCTCAAGCGACCGACTGACCACGCACATGCCCCGCGCATAGCTGCAAGGTTGTAGTCTCATAAAAGTGGGAGCGTCTTTGTCCAAGTTTTGTGGTCCATTCTAGAGTCCATTTTCGGGCCCCAAAAACGAAGCCCAAAATGGGGTCTCCCCTAATAGTTTCCAATCAGGCGGTCTCAGTTTTGGGAACCAGTTTTTGGCCTCAAAATTAGGACCAACCAGAGCTCAAAAAACTGCGGCATTCTGCCGGGAAGTTTGAAGCTTTACCAAAGTTTTGCCCGACCTGCGGCGACCAGTGTCTAGAGCGACCGCATGTTGTGAAATCAACCGAAATGCTCCGCGCAGTAGCAAGCCCCCGGTAATGGGCTTGTGTTTTTTAAGCACCGCTGTTTGCCACTGTGGGGGTACTCTGATGTGTCCTACGTTTTTTGGTGTTTTTGGGGCCCCGAAAATGGGCTCATGAAGCTCGTCGAAAGTGTTGCAGGGTTGGGAAGGCTTGGGCGGAGGCTGTAAGGCTTGGAAAGCTGTTGGGAGGGACTTGGCAAATGCTGCGGTGCATGAACATTGCGCGAAGTGTTGCCCGAACTCGTGCCCAACCGGGGCAACAAGTCCGTGAGGGGTTCCTTTGCCTTGGAAGCAACGCCAACAGCTTGCAGGCCTACCTACCTTGTACGGTCTGGATGCCTTCAAATAGTGCCCGAATAGTGCCCGAATAGTGCCGGAAATAGTGCCCGAAATAGTGCCCGAATGAACCCTTCATAGTGCCCAAATGATTTTCCGTGAAAAAAAGGTGATTTTTCCTTCCTTTACAAAAGAAAAAGTATTTGGGCACTATGAAGGGTTCATTCGGGCACTATTTCGGGCACTATTTCCGGCACTATTCGGGCACTATTCGGGCTCTATGCCAGGCGGAGCTTCAAAAGACCCCAAGTGGGCGAGAATAGGAATTTGTGCAATAGGAGGCATTAGGGAGTGATCTGCGGGGCAGGGTTTGGATTGCAAAGGGGGGTTTAGGCAAGGATCTGCAAGGCAGAGTTTAGGGCAGAATCTGCAAGGCAGGATTTGGGAGAGGGTCTGCAAGCAAGCGCTTGGAGGAGCATACAAGGAAGACATCAGGGTAGTATTTACAGGGAAGAGCTTAGGGGACCCTTGGCAATGCAATTTTGCGTTTTGCAGGGTTTCAAAGTTTAGAGCAGCATCTGCAAGGCACGCTTTGGGAGGATCTGCAGGCAAACATGTGGAAGAGCCTGTACAAAATATTGTAGGGTAGTCTATGTACAGGTTTAGGAGCCTTGGCAATGCGAGGGTTTAGGGAAAGATTTGCCACCCAGGGCTTCGGGGAGGATTTATAACAAGACGTGTAAGGAGGAGTGCCCGAAATAGCGTCGAAATGATTGTATGTGAAACAAAAATATGTTTGTGTTACGAAGGACTTAGGGTTTTTATCGAGTACAGCAGCAGTCGGTCATTGACAGTCTGCTTGTTATCAAACTCAGAAACCTCCCCCCCGCCCCCTCAATTTCAATGTGTGCTGCAATGTTGCCGCAAGTCATTGGCCGCCTCTATGTCAACATTGAATTTGGGGGGAGTGGGGGTCTGGAAGGTTTTAAAATGTGCGGTACAAACAAGTCCAAAAGTTGTTCTATCGTGTGAGGCCATTTTCGGGGTCTGGAAAACAACAAAAAACGTAGGACACATTAGAGTACCCCCACAGTTTTTTCATCAACCGTATCATGGTAGATCCCTTCAAGCAGCCCTGTACGGGAAACTGATTCCACCGTTTAGGGTTTAGGGCTTAGTTTTTGGGGTGTACCTTACAGGGATGCTGTGGCCGCAGAACCTTCGCTTTTGTTTTCATCAAATTGTCGGGCTTCGTGTTCAGGGGGCATTGCCTATTGAAGGCTGTTGTGTCTTCAAACTGTGCTTGTCTCCCTTTCCCAGGTGTGGGATCAAGACCTGAGCGACGACAAGGTTCCCTGGGTCAACTCATCCAAGAATCGGCCCAGCTTGGTTGACTACATGTTGTTTGGGTGGGACCCCTGCAAAGTCAAACAGCGGGCAGGCCAGCGACGGAAAATCAAGATGGATTTGGAGCGGTCTGCGCTTTACCTTCTGTCACAAGTGGCTGCTTTCGCCGATAGAAACATGGAGGAACACACGCCTTTGCCTTTCAAACAAGCGCTTCGTATGCTCGGCGGCAAGCGAGCGAATGGGTGAACACCATTGTGGTTGGCGTGGCTGAGAGGGCTTTGGGTTGAGGGTTTAGAAACTTGGCACTCAGTGTAAGTTGCCAAAACAAGGCAACCCCCTAAACCCTAAACCCCTAAAACCTAAACCCCTAAACCCTAAACCCTTAACCCTTACCCGGTAACTGAAATTGGCTTCCTCCACAAGAACCCAGCCGAAGTCGCAGTCTTCCCAGCCAGTGCACGTAGCGAATCATGGGACTTTAGTAAGCAAGATTATAAGTCCTGAAGCTGCGCCTATAAGTGTTTATAAGAGAAAAAAGTATAGTTACCTTGTTTGTACCTATTTTAGTTACGTACCCGTGAAACCTTCAGATAGGTCCCTTTAAGAAACACCTTGTGGAACCCTTGTTACCAAGTCGCATGATCCTGTAAGTGACCTTAAAATCCCCCCTATAGAACCCTTATAGATCCCTTTAAGAAGCCCTTTAAGGAGCCCTATGTATAGTACCTAAGACCCTAAACCCTAAACCCATGATCCTTTAAGCACGGAAGGCATCGGTTCGGGGACGGCCTTTTGCAAACGCCACGACAGGCGCGTCACCGGAGTCGTTGCAGCGTGTTGGTTTAGGGTTTAGGGTTCAGGGTTTAGGGTTTTGCCCTATACAGTAGAAGCTCAAAGGTTGGAAACCCAATTGCCTCAAACCTTAAGAGTAATGTACATGGAATCCCAGCACTATTTGGCCTTAATCCGGTTTCCAACTTTATGAGTGTATTATAAACCCACATGAGGGCTACAGCCCTTTTGGAACCCTCTAGAACCGTTTAGAACCCGTATCGAATCCTCATGGAACGCCTTTAGAGCTCTTATCGAATACACAAAAGCTGTAACAACTATAGAGGAGAGACACTTACAAACAACTCACAGAAACCGTTGGAAAAGTTTAGGCAAGCAGCACCGAAGCCCCAAAAACACCTAAACCCTACACCCATAAACACCCAAACCCTAAACCCTAAACCCCAGAGCCCTAAACCCAAGACCCCTAGACCCCTAAACCCCTAAACCCTAAGCCCTCAACCCTAAACCCTACTTGGAGGATCTCGGGACTTAGTAACTAAGGTTATAAGTACCTTAATTGGGGTTATAAGTAGCTATAAGTATAGTTACCCTAAGTATAACCCTAGTTACTAAGTCCCATGATCCTTTAAGTAGCGCCCGGCGCCCGAGGTGGCCAGCGCCTACTTCGGGGCCGCCTCCGCGTGGACGTACCGGCTGACGCCTCCGGGCTCCGAACCATCCCAGGCCGGTGACTCGAGCATGTCCGCTCTTTAGGGTTTAGGGTTTAAGGGGGGTTTAGGGTTTAGGGTTTAGGGGTTTAGGGTTTAGGGTTTAGGGGTTTAGGGTTTAGGGTTTAGGGTTCATGTCCGCTCTTTAGGGTTCAGGGTTTAGGGGTTTAGGATTTAGGGTGCCGCAGGGCAGCGCTTGGTGCAGGCTTCTGAGCGTCGCCCATTATACGGAGCATACTGTAATGCAGAATGATGCAGAGGTGGCTGGATTTATGATTCACGGCTTTGGGGCTTTGAAAGCGTTAGGGTTAGGGTCTACGGACTTGGGGAAGGATTTCGGGTTTCGGAGTTCAGGGGTTTATGGATTAGAGTGCGGTGTAGAGTCTAGTATTTTGGGAAGCCCTGGTGCAGTCTAAAAGACATTCCTTAGTCAAGGCCGTTTTGGAGTTTGTGAACTGAACTGGGTGCCTGCTGTGCTGGCTTGATGGTGTTCGTTGTTCAAGAAGAAGGGACCCTAAACCCTAAACCCTGGTTTCAGCAAGATTTAGCGGCTTGCCATGGAAGCCCGAATCAAATCTCAGGGTTCTTCATCATAGTCACACTATAGCTTTTCCCAAGACTCTACTCCAATCAGGAAAGCCCCTCTGTCTCTTTACATATTTATATACACACATACGTGCATACACACATATATATATATAGAGTGGTATACATATTCCAGATTCCAGTATTTACAAGTACAGGTTTAGGTTTTGCGGTTCGGGATTCGGTCTGCGGCAGTTTTCGCAGAGATGTCAAGTGGAGGGGACCCAAGACACAAGGTTCTTGATCAAAATAGGGGCCTCCCTGAACTATTGCCAGTTGCTGTTTCTTAGGATTGCTTGCTAGCCGAGTCCAACAGTTTAAACCCTTTAGCGCCGAAGCCTAAGATAGAGGTTACCTATGTAACATAGGAGCCTAAGTAGTGCCCAATCCTGTTCCTGGGGTTCCTTCTTGAAAACGGATTGTAGTATATAGCGAGGGTCTTCGGGCTAGGAGTTTCGGCTCGAAACCCATGCCCCTAACATCATACACCCACGATCTGAGGAATCATTACTGATCTATGGGGGTTTCCGAAAATAGGGGACCCTAATATTGTACCCTGACTAGTAGGATGCCTATCATACGGACCCCAAATACTATACCCAACCCATTTTCTGAAACTCCCATATGTTTCCTTAGGGTTCGGTGCGGGGTTTAGGATGTGAGGTTGAGCGCCTATAGGGTTTGAACCCCACACCCAAAGCTCTGGTGTCACAGCCATTTTTCATGAGGACGTGCTTTTGGGGGCCTTTAGAGAATTGCCAATACTATTCTGGGGGTTCCTTTATGATTATAGTATAATGGGCTTCTGGGGGTTCCTTATTATAGTCATAGTATAACGGGCTCCAAAACCCTATTCTAGTTATTAAGGCCCCTATATTGCGTAACCTCAGCCCTTAGTAGTCGGGCACCCTTCTCGTCCACAGCGCGGTTCGGAAGGAATGTTGTAAGGTGGCATCGAGTATAGGGCAGGTCCGTCGTCAGAACCTTGCAGCATGTTAAGCATCAGTGCTGTAGCATGGTGATGATGCTAATTATCATGGTGATAACCATGAACCATGACGGTTGAGTTTGTCTCATCTTCTTTTGTAACTCTTACGCGAGATTGCTTTGCAATGATACCACGACTTTTTCGTCGAGTGTCTGCTCCAGCCCCGCCCGAAACCCTAAAACCTAAAAAACCCTAAACCCTAACCCCCAAACCCTAAACCCTAAAGCCCCTAAACCGCAAACCCTAAAACCCAAACCCCAAACCAGAAAACCCTAAACCCGAAACCAGAGAACCCTGAGCCCTTAACCCTGAACTTTGCAACCTTCGAAGGACGAAAAGGCACTCCGTTGCCTTGACTCTTTGATGGAGGGCTTGGGCGCCACTGCAGCAGAGCCTCTCGGATGTGGTGTGTTCAGGGCTCCTTTACAGGGGGTTTAGGGGTTAGGGTCCGCGGTTTAGTGTTTAGGGTTTAGGATTTAGGGTTTAGGATTTCGGGTTGAGGGCTGAGGGCTTAGGGTGAGCTTGTAGCGTTTCGGGTCAAGCGTTTAGGGTTTAGGGCTTAGGGTTGCGCGTTTAGGCAGACCTGTAAGTAGGGTTACACATGGCGTGTCTATGGGATCTAGACAAGTCTAGGCTCCAGGGGCTGTGTCTAAACCGCGCACCGTTGACCCTCAGCCCTACACACCCTGAAATCCTAACGCCGAAGCCCCTGAACCCTACAACCCTAAACCCTAAACTAAAACCCTAAATCCTAAACCCTAAACCCCCGTAAACCCTAAACCCCCACATCCTCAAACCCCAAACTCCAACACCGTAACCCTAAACCCTAAACCCCTAAACCCCTAAACCCTAAACCCTAAACCCCTAAACCCCTAAACCCTAAACCCTAAACCCCTAAACCCCTAAACCCTAAACCCTTAAACCCTAAACCCCCACATCCTAAAACCCCAAACTCCAACACCGTAGCCCTCAACCTTCGACTCCCTCCGTCCCCACGCTGTGGCTTTGGAAAATAGGGGACCCTAATATGGTACCCTAAATAGTAGGATCTTATTATAAGGACCCCCAAATAAGGTACCCTAATTTCGAAAGTGTTTGGAAGCTCAGATTTGGAGGCCCTCGGAGAAGATGAGGCGGGTTTGGGTTAGGGATTCTAGGGTTCCTTTAAGGGCGCCTTATGTGCCTTCAAGCGTTCTTACCAGGGCTTGTTTGTGCTAAGCATATTGTGACTGCAAATATGGCTCCTTTTGTATACTTGGGAATTTATGGGGATGGCTAGTTCCTATCATATGCAACAGCCTTACTTTAGCTGTTTAATTCTGTAAATTAGGAGCACCTCTGGGTCACTCCTGGTGGGGATCCAAGAGGGGACCCTAATCCAGAGATTTAAGTCATGTCGGGCTCCCTGTCAGAGCTCCCAATTTATGTAGGGAGCTGCGCTAAGAGTAACATTCCCAGAGGGTCCATATATATTGCCATTATGAAATGAGGGCCCCAAAACCATGATAGGGATGGTCTTTTAGGACCTAATTCCATAATGGTAGTGTGTATAGACCCTCTGGGATTGTGTAGGGTTCCTCAAAGAGGGTCACCATGTTGCCATTACAGGTTCTAGGCAGGTCCTAAACGGTTTCGCAAGAGCATCGGCTTCTTCGAAGGCCTAAGCCGTAAACCTTCCCTAAGCTCAAATGCCTGTCCCTTCAGCTCGAGCTCCTAACCCTAAACCCTGAAACCCTAAACTCAAATGCTATCCCTTAAACTGAAACTAACTCATAAACCCTAAATCCGCTTCAACACCCCCCAGATGCCTCGAACTCCACAACCGAAGCCCAACCTACAACCCGAAACACCTACTTCCCAGAAGTGATTATCTAGGCCTTTCATACTACGGAATCGTAAAGTGTAGGTGTTTTTTTCGGTTACAGGTCGATCTTGGGAACCCCGCGCTTATCCTCCAACCACCAAAGACCCAAACCCCTAAATCCCTAAACCCCGCTTCCCCTAAACCTTAGTTCCCCACAGTCCCTAAAGCCCTTAAACCCGCAAACCCCTGAACCCTAAACCCTAAACCCTAGATCCTTGCAACCCTTGCACCCCCAATCCCGAACCGCAAAGGGCGGCCCAGCAGCCCCTAAACCCTACAGGATCCCTTTTTGTACCCTCCCTAAGCCCAAAGCCTTAAACCCCAAACCCTAAACCCCCAAACCCTATAGATCCTGTGTAGAACCCTTGTGGATCCTTTTAAGGGTACCAAATCCCCTAAAACCCCTATAACCCCTAAAACCCCCAAAGCCTTAAACCCTTAAGCCCTAAACCCCTAAACCCCATAAAACCCCCAAAGCCTTCAAGGGCCCTGGATCCCTTGAAGGAACCTTTGTAGCCCTCAGCCCCCTATTCCCCGATCGCAAAGCCTTAAAGGGACCCTAAGCCCCCCTATTCCCAGAGAGCCCAATACCCCTTAATTAAGAATTAAGCCATATTCCTTAATGGGCTCTCTGGGTTCCCCACTGGCGCAAAGTAAACCCCAAAGCCTAAACCCCTAAACCCCTAAACCCTAAACCCTAAACCCCTAAAACCCTAAGCCCAAAGCCTCAAAGGGCCGCCCAGCAGCATCTGCAGCGCCTCGTGAAGAGCCGAGCTCCGGGGCGCCTCGAAACGCAGCCATGGCGGGGTTTCAGATTACGGTGATTTTGGGGGGGTTTAGGGTGGGTTTAGGGTTTTGGGGTGTTTAAAAGGGTTTACCGTGGTTTAGGGGGTTTAGGGGGTTTAGGGGGTTTAGGGTTTAGGGGTTCAGGAGGGGTGGTTAGGGTTTTGGGGCTTTAGGGTTGGGGGGTTTGGGGGGTTTAGGGTTTAGGGGTTCGGGGGGGGGGGGGGGGTTTGGGGTTTTGGGGTTTAGGTTTTAGGGTGGTTTGGGGGGTTCAGGGTTTAGGGGTTTAAGGTGGTTTAGGGTTTAGGGGACTTAGGGCCTCAGGGCTCAAGGGATCTATGGGGGTTCCCTTCAAGGGATCTATAGAGGTTCCTTTAAAGGGATCGATAAGCAAGGGCTCTATAAGAGATCTCTAGGGTTTAGGGGTTTAGGGCTTCAGACTAGGGGTTTAGGGCTTCAGACTAGGGGTTTAGGGCTTCAGACTAGGGGTTTAGGGTTTCAGACTAGAGGTTTAGGGATTTATTGGTTTAGGGATTTAGGGCTTTAGAGGTTTAGGGCTTCAGGACTCAGGGTTTTCGGGGTTTAGGGGGTTTAAGGGTTCTGGGTATAGGGTTTGGGGTTTTAGGAGGTAAGGATGAGTACGGGAGAGACAGAAGTGGGAGCGAGACCCTGCGTATCTATACCCATATCGACATAGATAGGTAGGAAAGTAGATGTGCTTAGAAAGATACATGACATAAGTATATGCACACGTGTACACAAACATATACATACACATGCATGCATATGCATGTATGCACATACATATTTGCATACCCAGTCATATACATATACATGTACATAGACGTAGATAGAGATATAGCACATTTTTATGTCTGTGTCTATCCATCTGCCACTATTTAAATCTAGTTTACTGTCTGCCTCGTCTAACCCAGTCTAGTCTCTTACATGAATGATTTGCAGTAATGCAGTTTTACTTCCTAAGCCTAACCCAGCAACCAGACTACACGCAGTATAGTATGATCAGTTCCTGAACAAGAAGAAGCCAAGATTAGCCAGAATAGTGGACATAGTCGACTGCAGCAAAATACTTTTCAGTTCCTCCTAAACCCTAAACCCAAAAGGCCCAAAACCCAAAAGGCCCTAAACCCTGAACCCTAAATGCACCCTAAGCCCCACCCCCTAAACCCGTCAAGCGTCACTCCGCCTCGGTCGCTTCTGAAGGCTTCTGCACCTGCCGGCGGAAGAGGCATGCCGTTCTCCTTCAAAGGGGCCCTTAAAGGAACTCATAAAGGAACCCCTTAAAGGAACCTTTTAAAGGAACCTTTAAAGGAATCTTTAAAGGAAGCGATGCAGGAGCCCTTAAAGGAAAGGAACTCTAAAAGGATGTTTCCGAAGCCAGCCTCGATGGTGTTTAGGTTTACTTGGAGGATCATGTGACCTAGTCGCTTAACGGGTTTCTTCAAAGGATCTATAGGAGTTGTGTAGGGTTTCTACAAGAGTACTGTAAAGGTTCTTCAGCAAGCAAGGTTATACGTACCTTGATTCGGGTTATAGGTGCTTACAAGAATAGTTTTCGCACTTAGAACCCTAGTCACTAAGTCCGATGATCCTGTAAGTGGTGCTTCATGCTTAGAGTGTGGGGATTGAGGGTTTAAGGTTTTAGGTTCAGGGTTTAGGGATCTAGGGTTTAATACAGAGGCCTTATGAATGGCAATCATTCCCGGGGGTTCAGATACGTGGTTATACATACACACATATATATATATATATACATATGTATAGAAAGTCTTATGTACATACAGTAGAGTATGCACCAAAGCTCTATTCCAATTATCGGGGATCCTTTTCTATAATAGTGACTTAGGAGGTGGTACATGTCCCATCATACTCTATTGTGGTTGGAGTCTTGACGTGTAGCTTCTGTCAGACATGAGATGTGGTAGGAGTCGTTTCTTACTGAGGCAGGTTTGCGCGTGCGCGGCGTCCGTATGCTGAGTGCAGTAGAACTAAGTGTTGTTCTTGTTTCGATAATCCGTCGTGGGATCAGGCCCACGGCACAGGATCAGGGCGTCTCGCAGACTCCAAGGGGCGTGAACTAGTTGGTTACAAGAGCATAGTAGAGCCCCAGTTATGGTGTTTGCGACACAGATAGAGCTCTAGTAGTTCAGGGTTTAGATCACTTTGCCAAGTTTTTCTTGCATTGCTCCGCCGCGAGAGCCTCAAACCGCGACGAGGCCTCCGGCGGAGCAGAAATGTGGGTGGGACCTTTCTACTGCTAAGACTTTTCATACCTTAAACCGTAAACCCTAAACCGCTAAATCCCTAATCGCTAAACCCCTACACCCGTAAACCCTAAGCCCATACCCCAAAGCCCGAGACACCAGACCCTAAACCCCATCTAGCTTCACCCCTTAAACCCTGAACTCAAAAGCCAAAGCCCTGAGCCGTAAATCCCTAAACCCCTAAAACCTAAACCCTGAACCTGCTCTTATAGAATTAAGGGAACCCTGTAGGACCATATAGTACCCTCTATAGGCTAGGACAGTATAGGACGTGTATGATAAGAACCCAAAACGAGGTACCCCAAATTTTCGGGAACTCTAAACCCTTACAGAGCCCTTTAAAGGAACCCTGATAAAGCCCTTATAGTAAACCCTTTAGAAGAACCCCAAAACGTAGCCCTAACTTTCGTAAAGAAAGCCCAGCGTTAGGACGACGGCCCGGTCAACGCGGCGGATGATGGCCGGCTCACTGCCGAGGAGGTGCGCCAGGGTTTGGGACTTCTCTGGGTTTGGGTCTTTTACGGGGTTTGGGGGTTTAAGGGTTGGGGGTTTAGGGGTTAGGGGTTTAGGGTTTAGGGGTTTCGGGGTTCAGGGGTTTAGGGCTTAGGAAACCCAACCCTAAACCCTACACTGCCCTACACCCCAAGTGTGAAAGAGCACAGGAGTTTAGGACTTTGCGGTTACAGGGTTTAGGCATTTTAGGGTCGAGAGTTCAGTCGTTTAGGGTTTAGGTTTTGGGGGTAGAGTTTTGAGCTCTTGGGGATCAGGATGGTTAAGGGCTTTCCTGCATGCTGCTCAATGCCCGGACCTATCGATGGGCCATGTGACATGGAGCTCGTGTCCAACGCGTCCGACGAGGGCGTCGCAGTGCCTGTAGATGGTACGTCCGATGAAGGCAGTGAAACACCCATACGGGAGTTTCCGAAGAGAGGGGACCCTAATATACTCTACGTAGTAGGATACTTGTTCTACGGACCCCTATATACGATACCCCTGATTTTCGCAAACTCTAAACCCTTACGGAGCCCTTTACAGGAACCCTTATAGTACCCTTTTTGTAACCCTTTAAAGGAACCCTTACAGTACCCTTATATTAACCCCTTTAAAGGAACCCAAAAGGTGGCCCTGAATTTTGGAAACTCCCGTAGAAGAGTTGCAAGGGCTGCCTTGTGGACCAGGCTCAGTCCTAACACATCATACTCTATTGTGGTTGGAGTCTTGACATGTAGCTTCTGTCAGAAATGAGATGTGGTAGGAGTCGTTTCTTACTGAGGCAGGTTTGCGCGTGCGCGGCGTCCGTATGCTCAGTGCAGTAGAACTAAGTGTTGTTCTTGTTTCGATAATCCGTCGTGGGATCAGGCCTACGGCACAGGATCAGGCCATTTTGCAGATTACTTTGCCAAGTTTTTCTTGCATTGCTCCGCCGCGAGAGCCTCAAACCGCGTGGAGGCCTCCGGCGGAGCAGAAATGTGGGTGGGACCTTTCTACTGCTAAGACTTTTCATAGCTTAAACCTTAAACCCTAAACCGCTAAATCCCTAATCGCTAAACCCCTACGCCCCTAAACCCTAAGCCCATACCCCAAAGCCCGAGACACCAAACCCTAAACCCCATCTGCCTAGACCCCTGAACGCTTCACCCCTTAAACCCTGAACTCAAAAGCCAAAACCCTGAGCCCTAAACCGTAAATCCCTAAACCCCTAAAACCTAAACCCTGAACCTGCTCTTATAGAATTAAGGGAACCCTGTAGAACCATATAGTACCCTGTATAGGACAGTATAGGATGTGTATGATAAGAACCCAAAACGAGGTACCCCAAATTTTCGGGAACTCTAAACCCTTGCAGAGCCCTTCAAAGGAACCCTGATAAAGCCCTTATGGTAAACCCTTTAGAAGAACCCCAAAAGGTAGCCCTAACTTTCATAAAGAAAGCCCAAAATTAGGACGACAGCCCGGACAACGCGGCGGATGATGGCCGGCTCACTGCCGAGGAGGTGCGCCAGGGTTTGGGACTTCTCTGGGTTTGGGTCTTCTCTGGGTCTAGGGTTTACGGGGTTTGGGGGTTTAAGGATTGGGGGGTTTAGGGTTTAGGGGTTAGGGGTTCAGGGTTTAGGGGTTTCGGGATTCAGGGGTTGCCTACACTGCCCTACACCCTAAGTGTGAAAGAGCACAGGAGTTTAGGACTTTGCGGTTACAGGGTTTAGGCATTTTAGGATCGAGAGTTCAGTCGTCTAGGGTTTAGGTTTTGGGGGTAGAGTTTTGAGCTCTTGGGGGTCAGGATGGTTAAGGGGATTGTTCCTGGATGCTGCTCAATGCCCGGAGCTGTGGATGGGCCATGTGACATGGAGCTCGTGTCCAATGCGTCCGACGAGGGCGTCGCAGTGCCTGTAGATGGTACGTCCGATGAAGGCAGTGAAACACCCATACGGGAGTTTCCGAAGAGGGAGCAATCAGAAGTCGTCATGGAAAGATTGGCACGGAGAAGGTTCCGATGAGGAACTTAGAAGCCCTCAAGGAAAGCGAAAGCAAGAACTTCAACTTCCTGCTGATTTTTGCCCTGATAGCCAATGCCTTGACAGTAGAGAGCTGTTTGGCCGGAAATTCTTTAAGCAAGTCCAATTGACAAATTGGCCCCAGAAGCACGGACTGGCAGGGCGACCAATTAGCGATTTGAAACTCCATGAGCTAGCATATGGGGGATGGAACAATTTCTATCTTCGCCATCTTTCGACGGGATCCTTTACGCGATTGTCTTTTGTCGTAAAATTAACGAGTCGATGTTGGCTACGGGATTGTTGGCTGCAATTCGAGAGTCCAAGAGACGTTGGGACATTGATAGCTTGGCTAGGGAATGCGTAAAACGCCATCCCGAGTGCATTCCTCAATCTGCTGCTTCTTCCTCAAAGGGTGACGAACCTAGCAAGGAGGTTCAAACTTTGATCAATTACTTGATTAAGCATCTTGAGCCCCTTGCAAATGAGGATACAGATCTTCAGATTCGTATGTTGGAAGCTAAGTTGGCTGAGAAAGGCAGGCCCCAATCCTCTAGTTGTTTGCCTGTTACTGATTCGACCAACATGGGACCCTAATGTACTCTACGTAGTAGGATACTTGTTCTACGGAGTACCTCCTGATTTTCGGAAACTCTAAACCCTTACAGAGCCCTTTAAAGGAACCCTTATAGTACCCTTTTTGTAACCCTTTAAAGGAGCCCTTATAGTACCCTTATCGTAACCCCTTTAAAGGAACCCAAAAAGGTGGCCCTGATTTTCGGAAACTCCCCGTAGAAGAGTTGCAAGGGCTGCCTTGTGGACCAGTCTCAGTCCCAGCCTTGTTCAAGCAGCGCAAGAGGGTTTAGGGTTTAGGGTTCAGGGTCCTGGGTTTTGGGTTCAGGGTTTAGGGTTTAGGGTTTTGGGTTCAGGGTTTAGGGTTTAGGGTTTTGGGTTCAAGGTTTAGGGTTTAGGGTATTGAGGGTTTGCTAGGACCTAGAGTAGGCCCTTATTCCTTTATTAGTGTTCAGGTTCCGTTATAGGCCCCTTTTGACCCAAAAAGGACTCCTCGAGCTGTCTTAATATAGGGGCCTTAATAATTACCTAGAACACTTTGGGGGGTTCAACCAAAAAGGGCACTCTTTTCATTCCTAGGTTACTCTCGGGTCTAGGCTACACCAGCTCAGAGGCTGCGATTGGATGTTGCAGAGGTTGGAGACTGCTAGGGCCTTCTAGCCGATGAGACAGGAGTGGGGAGAAAACCCTCGGGGTGGCACTCTGTTATAGTTATATAGAGTATAGTTGGCCCCGAAACCCTATTCTAATCATTAAGGCCTCCTATACTATAGAACCCAACTGGAGATCTCTTATAGACCCCTTCGAGGGTCCCCTTTAGGGAACCCTGTCCTATTCATTAAGGTCCCCTCATATGTATTAGGTTTTCGGGGGCTTGGGGTTTAAGGCTTGAAGGTCTAGGGTTGAGGACAGGGACTTGGCCGTTGACCTGAAGGGGGTTTAGTGTTTAGCGTTTAGGGGTTTAGGGCCGGGCTCGGGTCTCCGGGAGGATAAGGGCTATGTAAGTTATGTAACGTAGACATAGGAAGTAGTAGAGTCTAGGTGCGGTTCGTTTTGGCTTGGCGAAACCCTAAGCCCCTAAACCCAAAGCCCTAAACCGTGAAACCTAAACCCTAATCCCTAAACCATGACCCGTTAGATGAAACCCAGCTATGTCCGAGTTGCCACTTGCACCTTGAAGAACTAAACGGCCGGTACATTGTTTAGGGGTTTAGGAGTTTAGGGGTTTAGGGGTTTAGGGGTCAGGGTTTGGTTTTTTGTTTAAAAGGGGTTCAGGGGTTTAGGGGTTTCGGGTTGGGGGTTTAGAGGTTTAGGGTTTAGCATTTAGGATTTGGGGATTTATGGGTTTATCGGTGCCGGGGTTTAGTAAGTTTAGTGGTTCAGGGTGTGGAGTTTAAGCACAGGAGAGGTGCTGTTAGCATGGTAGATGCAAGAAACTTTACGTTGAGCTATTCTTGGGCACCGAGCTCTTGACGTTTGATTTGATCTTGGCCTGCCAGGCGTGGCGTCACCTCGTCCACTGCGGACGTCGGAAGGCTGGAGTAGTTGAAACTCTTCGAGCAGAGCATTCTTAAACTAGGATGCCCAGTAGTACCCTTATTCCCTTTTTGTAGTCCTAGGTTCCTTATAAAGTTACCTAATACCAAAAAGAGAGGCCTTTTTATTCTTAGGTTACTGGGTATCCCAGTCTTAAAGCTGCAGCAAGAGCATGAGCGGCAGGATCACGGGGAGGAGGAGTAGGTGGAGTGGTGAGCGTATCCGCAGTAGGCGGTCGGGTAGGCAGTCGGTGCAAGTAGTAGATGGTACGGAGGGAGTGGGGGGTAGGTAATAGGTATTATTCATATTCTTTTGTGTCTTCTTGTTATTACTACTATTAATATTTTGTAGTAGTAGTAGTAGTAGTAGTAGTAGTAGTAGTAGTAGTAGTAGTAGTAGTAGTAGTAGTAGTAGTAGTAGTAGTAGTAGTAGTAGTAGAGTGGGAGTAGTAGTAGTGGCAGCAGTGGTAGTAGTGGTAGTAGTCGCAGCAGCAGTCGCAGCAGCAGCAGCAGCAGCAGCAGCAGCAGCAGCAGTGGGAGTAGTAGTAGTAGTAGTAGTAGTAGTAGTAGTAGTAGCAGTGGCAGTGGCAGTGGCAGTGGCAGTAGCAGTAGCAGTGGCAGTGGCAGTGGCAGTGGCAGTAGCAATGGCAGTGGCAGTGGCAGTAGCAGTAGCAGTAGCAGTAGCAGTCGTCGTCGTAGTCGCAGTGGTAGTCATTCTATCTACTATTGCTCGTAATGCAGGTGGCAATATTGATGATTGTGGTAGCAGCAGGCCTCTGACCTCTGCCTCTCCCTCCAGCCTCCCACCCCAGCCCACCCTCCAGGGTGCGCTTCAGGCAGCGGTGTGGGTGAAGACAGCAGCGCCACCCACACCTACCTGCCATCAAATGCTGGGGGACATGGCATAGTACAGTTAAGTCACTGGTATGATTGAAGTGAAAGCCTATGCGAAAGATTTCTCAGATGCGAGATGCAGGAGGCTAGCGCTCGCCATACTTTTGGCATATCTCACTCTGTGTCTGCATTCCTGCTCTCCGCTCTTAAACGGATTAAACCCCAGACGTCCTCATGGTTGGGCCATGGATGCTCTCTACCTGAGACTGGTTCGGTTGATGATATAAATCCTGCATTACCTTAAGGGCCCTAAACTATGGGAATTATGGCACATTCCTTATTGAGGGTAATGCAGGATTTCTATCATCAACCGTTAGACTCTTTGATGCGTTGAATTCAGAGCGGATTAGACCATGGACGTCATCATGCTTGTGCTACGTATGCTGTCCTCTCAAGACGGATTAGCCCGCGGACGCTACTATAGTTGGCCCATGAATGACTTTCGCTTAAGAACGACCAGATCGCAACGGATTAGACCCTGGACGTCAACATGATTGGGCCATGGATCCTTGAGCTATGGATGCTGTCCACTCGATACGAATTAGACCACGAGCGGCATAATGGTTGGGCCATGGATGCTCTGAAATCAAAAACGGATCGGACTTTGAACGCCACTATGCTTGTTCCCTGCTGTCCGCTCAAGACCGGCTGGAGCTGGGACGTCATCATGGTTGGACCATGGATGGTCATGGTGGAAGCGGATGATCCCAGTCACAGTAGCTACTACAGCGGTAACAGTAACAGCAATAGTGAAAACATGAGTACCAACAGCAATACTTTCGCAAAAAATCGACGACACATGACCGTGCGGACACAAACCATGCATACGTACACGGAATATGCATATGTGAAGATGCAACTGGTTGGATGTTACAGACACCAAAATACATGCGGAGACACCCTCTCATATGGTTCATATTAAGGAATCCCTACCCCAAGAGCCTCCCATCAACCTACATGGAGAGCTCAATGCTATTGAGCCTTGAGGTTATTCATAGGCTTCAGGGCTTAGGGCTTCGCATCATCAGAGTTTGAAGGGTTCAAGGAAGAAAGAGCCGAAAAATCCGCAAGCGGTTGAGCTGGGCCTCGAAGATCCTGTGACGGTAGCGTGTAGGGGTCAGCGGTTGGGTTTGGGTTTAGGGTTTAGGGTTTGGTTTGGGGTTAAGCATGTGGGGTTTAGGGTTTAGAGTTACTTGGAGGATCATGGGACTTAGTAAGTAAGGTTATAAGTACCTTAATTAGGGTTATAACTAGTTATAAGTATAGTTACCCTAATTATAACCCTAGTTACTAAGTCCCATGATCCTTTAAGTAGGGGTCGGTGGTTGGGTTTGGGGTTAAGCATTTGGGGTTTCGGGTTTAGAGTTAGGGGTCAAAGTCTTAGTCTGCGGTATTGATAGCCGACATTTGCACCTTTTTGGCAGTTCCTTACATCGTAAGATGCGCAAGCTCTAGCTTCATGTACACCATATTCATACCAGCTTATAAGTTTTTGTTCTGTCACCCCTATGAGAAGCCAGAAAATCGAACCTGAACCATTCGCCGCCCGACAGGTGGTGTTGCTTTTGGCGTTTCGGCCGACCGTGGTGCAGCTGAATCTGAGGTCCGGTTTAGAGTTTCGGGGTTCAGAGTCAAGACACAGAGCCGGCCTAGCAAAGAAACAAGCGACGACGAGGACGCTGTTTCGACAAATTATGCAGAATGAGAATCAGAACGACGACAAGCACAGCCCATCAGCATCATCTTTTTTCATCAACCTCATCATCAGAACCCTGCTCGTCTTCTTCTTCGGCTGCTTCATCATCATCGTCGTCCTCAGCGAAGCCCAGAAGAATGAAGCGGCAAAGCCGCACCAACACCGGCTGACTGACCTAGAACAGAAAAGCCGACTGCTGCCGGGAATTCCAGCAAGCAGGGACGGAAGCATGAGCAGAAGCAGTGGCCATAGCTGTATGGGTGGTTGTCAAAGCTATGGTCCCTTTTTGGGTCCTTATTATGATGCGGCACCTAAAATTTAGGGTATCCCAAAAGGGACCATAATTTTGACAACTACCCGTATCAAGAGCGGACGCAACACTTCCACAGGCATGGCAGCCCTAAACCCCAAACCACTAAAGCCCAAAACCCTAAACCCTAAAAAGGCCCTCAAAAAAACAACCCAAAACCCTAAACGGCGCACAAAAAATCATTTAGCTTAAAGGCAGTGCAATATCCTTGTGCAGCCTGGAAAGAGGACTCATAGGCGTGGCCAGACGGCTGCCAGCAAGCAACCAGTTTAGGGTTTTGGGTTCAGGGTTCAGGGGCTTAGGGTTTGGGGTCTAGGGTTTAGGGTTTAGGGGTTTAGGGTTTGGGGTCCTAGGTTTTAGGGTTTAGGGTTTAAGGGTTTAGGGTTTAGGGTTTTGGGTTTAGGGTTTAGGGTATTGAGGGTTTTTTTTAGGACCTAGAGTCCTAGAGTAGGCCCTTATTCCCTTTTTCTAGGGTTCAGGTCCCCTTATAAGCCCCTTTAAGCCAAAAAGGGCGCCCTTTTTTATTCCTAGGTGACTCTTGGGTTTAGTTTAGGGTTTAGGGTTTATAAGTCCTCCACCTGTAGCAGCAACAGCGGCTCAATGCCAACACCCACCACTCACCATCGCCATCGCTCCCCACCGTCACTTCGCCACCCCTACTGACTTCCACAACTCTGAAACTCTCCAAAGCCCTGACCCTAAACCCTAAACCCCGAACCACCCTCAACTTTACGGCTTGGGGGTCTCGCGTATTCTTGCCCCGAGACTATAAACTGCACGCGGAAAATTTAGCGAAACAGGCGCACTAGCATTCGGAGTCGGAGAGTGTTCCGCCGGGTTCCTATGATAACATTTACCATAAGTCCATAGGGGGAGTTTCCGAAAATTAGGGGTACCTTATCTTAGAGTCGTTATAATAAGGATCCTACTGTTTGGGGTACTATATCAGGGCTCCGATGATAACATTTTCCATAGCATGCCTTTACCGTCTGTATCCGAACATTTTTCTCTTCACAGCCGGAGAGAAAGCCAGAGTTTAACAACAAGATGCGCTGCCAGGCACAAAGGACCCGAGCCTGTCCAGCAACTGGGCCAGTTTGTGTAGGGTTTACAGGTTTGGAGTTTAGGGTGTAGGCGGTTTAGGGGTTTAGGGATTCAGGGTTTAGGGTTTGGGCTGTAGGCGGTTTAGGGCTTCTGGTCCAGGCCTTGTGGAGTTTTGGATTTTTTGAAATTCTTGGCCGACCCTAAACCCTAAACCCTAAACCCTAAACCCAAAACCCTAACCCCTAAACCCTAAACCCTAAACCCTAAACCCTAAACCCTAAACCCTTAACCGTTTCGGATCTTGGAGGTCAGGGTCCAGGATTTGGGAGGTTCTGTAGGGCGGGGCTGTGGTGGTCGTCGTTGTTGTTGTCTTTTTGTTGTTGGGGTTTAGGCTTTATGGTTTAGGGTCTATCTTAACCCCGGATAACCCACCTATTCTTGATGACTTATGTAAGAAATTATAACAAGGAACCCGAAAAAGGTAGGTTCTTTAGGGTCCAGGTAGGGCTTAGGATTGATTGACTTGAGAGGTTTCGTTTTGGTTTTTCGTCTCTTCGTGCTGGGAGCTACGGTTGCTTGTGCTGGAGATGTCGGTTTAGGGTTTAGGGTTTAGCGGTTCAGGGTTCAGGGTTCTGGGTTTAGGGTTTCCAACTCTACGTGGTTCTCGAGTTGTAGTGCGGGGTTGCGAGCCTACACTCTCAACCTGTAATGCCAAGAAGCCAGAAGCTTGACCACTACACCCTCCGCCTGCTAGCTTGAGAACCATACACTCCTAAGCGGGTTCCTGAAAGAGATCTATAAGGGTTCCTTGAAGGGCTCCTTTAAAGGGATCATTACAGGGCTCTTTTGAGGGATCTATAGCCCAACACCCCAAGCCCCTATCCGAAAGCCTACTACTACTTACTTGGAGGATCATGAGACTTGGTAAGTAAGGTTCTCACTTCCTTAATTGGGCTTAGAAGTAGTTACAAGCATAGGTATCTTGGTTACAAGCCGTAGTTACTAAGTCCCATGATCCGTTAAGTACGCCCTGCACTCTGACCTTAAACCCTCAACCGAAACATCCCCCATCCTGAACTATCCCTTCGAGAACCCTTATGGATCCCTTTAAAGGAGCCCCTATAGATCCCTTTCAGGGAACCCCACAACCTTCTACCTTCAACCTTTTACCTGTCCCTTCGAGAACCTTATGGACCCCCTTTACCGGAGCCCCGACAGATCCCTTTAAGGGAACCCCACAACCTTTTACCTTCAAGCTTGAATATCCCTTTGAGTTGAGAGCCTTGTTATAGTCCCCTCAAGCATCCTCGTAGAACCCGTATAGTTCCCTTGAAAGCTCAGCCCTCCGACCAGGAAGCCACTAATATGGGGGCTTTGATAATTACCAATACTATTTTGGCAGTTCGTCATTTTTTCGTATATTATACCCCCAAACCCTACTCTAATTATTAGGCCAGAGGGTTTTCAGAAGAGTTGCCCGGCGGGAATCGAGCTCCGACAGTCGAGGGTTCTGCTTTTGTTTAGGGTTGCCGGCTTAGGGCTCAGGGTTAAGAGTTGTTGTTTAGGGCTTTGGGTTTACGGGTGGGCGACTTGCACACCAACTGGGCGAGGCAAACCCTGAACCCTAAATCCCTAAACCTTAGGTACGGCCCCCATACAGTAAGAGTCTACTAGTAAGGGTCTACTATATCTATATTTTGAATATCATTCAACTATTACTGAGTGGGGGCCGTACCCAACCTAAACCCTTGATTCTAGAACCCTTATAAAACCTAGGAAGAACCCCAACGAAGCGCAAGGCTCGACATGCGAAGGGGGGATGTTCTCATCTACCTGCACGACCTTTGCTTTCTTCGGGTGCTAGAGACAGGTTCCCTGGCCATCACTGCAGGGTTTCGGGTTTAGGGGTTGGGGTTTAGCGTTTGGGGTTTAGGATGCTTCGGGGTTCATGTTCTGAGGTAGAATCAGGTAGAATGTTTGGGAAACGGGATTTGGGGATATGAGTGTAGCAGGGTGTTTGCTTTGGCGTTGGGTTTTACTTAGGGGTACCTAGAAACATTTTTTTTTAACCTTTTGGTTATTATAATCCTTAAGAAATAGCAAAAATTATAAGTTTTGCTAGGGTTCTAAGTTCAGTATAGTTTAGGGCGGTTCAGGGCTTCGGAGTGTAGAGGTCGGGCTCGGAGTTCAAGTCTCACGGCTTAGGGTTCTGGGTTTAGGCTTCGGGTTCAGCGGTTTGGGGTCCCAGGGTTCGGAACCAGGCTTAGGGTTCGGGGTTTAGGGTTCAGGGTTTACTCAAAGGGGAAAAGGAGGGACCCTTAATGGGGACCCCTACCCTATAATGAGGGTATATAATGGGTATATAATAGCTATATAAAGGGTATTGTACCTAGGGCTCCTTTTCAAGGGTCCCTCCTTTTCCCCTTACAGTTTACAGGTTCCAAGCCTTTGCAGCCTATTGAGGTTTAGGCTACAGAAGTAGAGACGGTTCAGGGGGTTTCGGGTCCTGGCGGTTCTAGCATCGTGCAATCATAGGTGCGCTTCTCCAGGTTACGAGTTTTGGATACTATAGCTCCTAAGCCCTGAACCATAAACTTTGAAACCCCTTCAAATATTACACGCTAAACCCCCTAGGCCCTAAACCCTAAAACCCCAAAGCCCTAGACCCGGACCCTGCACCCTTGCAACCCATAATTCCTTAAATCCTGAACCTTAAAGCCCTGCAAAAACCAAACCCTGAAACCCTGAATTCCTGAATCCCTAACCCTACTTGGAGGATCCTGGGACTTAGTAAGTGAGGTTATAAGTACCTTAATTGGTGTTATAAGTAGTTATAGCTATAGTTACCCACATTATAACCCTAGTTACTAAGTCCCATGATCCTTTAAATAGACCCTAAACCCTAAACCCCATAGATCCCTTTAAGAAACCCTATAGATCCCTTAAGGAGCCCTTTTCAGGAGCCCTAGTTACTAAGTTTCATGATCATTAGAACCCCTAAACCCTAAGCCCCATAGATGCCTTTAAGAAACCCTATAAAGATCCCTTTAAAGGAGCCCAAAAGTGATCCTTTAAGTAGAACCCCTAAACCCAGAAGTCTTCGGCCCTGGCCTGCTGAGAGGCCCTGGAAACGCCCTGAACCCCCAAGAGTATAGGAACCCTTATGGTATCGGTTTAGGGTTTAGGGTTTAGGGTTTAGTTTCGGGTTTAGGGTTTAGTTTAGGGTTTAGGGTTTAGTTTAGGGTTTAGGGATTAGGGTTTAGGGTTTAGTTTAGGGTTTAGGGTTTAGCGCTTAGTTTAGGGTTTAGGGTTTAGGGTTTAGGCCCTTATTTCCTTAAGGGCCCAAGTAGTCCTTGTTTATGGGCTTGGATACCTAAAAAGGCCCTAAAGTGCTATAGTAGGGAGTACTCGGACCCCAGCTGAGGTAGGAACCCTGACTTGGAGATCCATGGATAGCCATAAGTAAGTATAGTTATAACCCATGTTAGGGGACTTATAACTCCACTAACTACCCATGGGCCTCCAAGTATGGTATCCTCATTAGGAACCCTCAGGTTTAGGGTTTAGGGTTCAGTCCCATGATCCTCCTTTATACAACTCTTGTTATACAACCCTTGTGGATCTCTTGAAGGATCCTTGTAAGGAGCCTTACGTACCAAGTTCCATGATCCCCCCAACCCCTAAACCCTAAATCTGTGTCATAGTTGAGCAACATTTTACAGTTTTATGGTTACTTAATAAACACAACAAGGAATATAAATGTAAACGTTTAGTATCCCAACCATGAGCTAGAAACCCCCAACCCCAAACTCTAAAAGTTCTGCGGTCCTGGCCTCTCACAGCCCTTGCTGCACTAAACCCCAAAGTGTAGGAACCCTCGAACCCAAAGCCCCAAGCCCTACACCCTAAACCCTAAAACCCTAAACCCTAAACCCCTAAAGCCCCTAAACCCCTAAACCCCTAAACCCTAAACCCCAAAACCCTCCTAAAACCCTCAACCTTAAAGCCCTAAACCCTTAAAGCCCTAGGCCCCTGAGCCTCCCAGGGCCCCTCCTGCAACTGGACCTGAAGATCGAAGCTACGAGGGAGCAGCAGGCTGCCGCGGAGGCGAGGAATGCTTCTGGTTCTAGGGGGATTCTACAAGGGTTCTAATCTATAAGGGTTCCTTTAAAGATACACATAGTGATATATATATATATATATATATACGGTTCCTGTAAAGTGATCTCTAAGGGATCTATACGGTTCACCTTAAAGTGATCTTTAAGGGTTCCTTTAAAGGGATCTATAGGATTCCTCAAAGCTCCATAGGGGTTCCGTTAAAGGGATCTATAAGGGTTCCTTTACAGGGATCTATAAGGGTTCGTTGAAGGGGATCCTTTCGGTTTCTATAAGGGGTCTGTAAGATGTTGGGGTTGTAAGGGTTTTGGGGGGTTTTGGGGGTGTTGGGCGGTTTTAGGGGTTCAGGTGTTTACGGGTTTCAGGGCTTTTAGGGTTTTAGGGATGTAAGAGGTTTTGGGGGCGTCACGGGTTTTGGGTTTTAGCGGTTTTCGGATCTTTATAGGGGTTCTAGGAGTTCGAAGCCTACATCCCACGTCACTCACCCGAAGCCCTGAAATTTGAAACAATCTCAAACTCCCTGTAAGTACTTTTTCTGACACAACGTAGCCTGACAAAACTCCTCTAGGGCTAAACCCCAAAACTCTAGAACCGTAAAGCCCTAGAACCCTAAACCCTAAACCCTAAACCCTAAAGCCCTAGAACCCTTAAGCCTTGAACACCCAGCCCTAAACCTCCCAACGAACCACAAGTACGAGCCTTTCGGTGTGAACATCTTCGTGACTACCCTTGTAAATGCCTTTGTGACGCTGTACAGAAACAAACAGCCACCACCAAGGACCCTAAAACCTAAACCCTAAACCCTAAACCCTAAAACCCTAAAACCCTAAACCCTAAAACCCTAAAACCCTAAACCCTAAAACCCTAAAACCCTAAAACCCTGAAATGCTGAAACCGGCCGGCGAATGTCGCGTCTGGCTCGGTGGACCGCAACGCGTCGTCGGCAGCCAGGCATGATCCGATTTTCGGGTTTAGGGTTTGGGGTTTAGGGTTTAGGGTTTAGGGTTTGGGGTTTAGGGTTTAGGGTTTAGGGTTTAGGGTTTAGGGTTTAGGGTTTAGGGTTTGTGATTTGAGGAACTTTTTCCGGAGATGCCGGTACAGCAGCTGTCAAAAGATTGGCAGCGCACTTACAACTTGCGCATCGGGCGGCCCTTGGACCTGGTCCACTTCCTGCTCGGGTTTGGAGAGAGATTGCGCTCTTGGTGGTCCCTAAACCCTGAATAAACCCTGAACCCTAAACCGAAATGAGCAAAGGTTAAATCCGTGGTTGGGGGTTCTTCTCCGACCCTGAGCCCTGAAGCCCATCAGCCCTAAACCCTAAACCCTAAACCCTAAACCACCCTGGCAGGCCCTGCAAGGAACTTCAAACCATCGCGAAACAATCTGAAACTCTAAACCTCCAAACCCAAAAACCCGTTAACTTCCGAAGCCCCTAAACTCTTCCCTAAACCCTAAACCTTATGGATCCCTTTAAAGAAATGTTTCTAGATCCCTTTGAAAGGAACCCCTAAGCCCTTAAATTCTTATAGATCCCTTTAAAGGAACCCTTCTAGATCCCTTTGAAAGGAACTCCTAAGCCCTTAAATTCTTATAGATCCCTTTAAAGGAGCCCTTCTAGATCCCTTTGAAAGGAACCCCTAAGCCCCCCCTAAAACCTAAACCCTAAACCCTAAACCCTAAACCCTAAACCCTAAACCCTAAACCCTAAACCCTAAACCCCTAAACCCTAAACCCTAAACCCCTAAACCCTAAACCCTAAACCCTAAACCCGTAAACCCCTAAACCCCTAAACCCTAAACCCGTAAACCCCTAAACCCTAAACCCTAAACCCTAAACCCCTAAACCCTAAACCCTAAACCCTAAAACCCTAAACCCCTAAACCCTAAACCCCTAAACCCCTAAACCCCTAAGCCCTAAACCCTAAACCCTAAGCCCTAAGCCCTGAGACCCCCTTTGTTTCCCTGGAGGAGCTCCTGGAAGTCCCGCAATCCCTGGTCCAGACGCCCCTCGCCAGGGAGGTTTTGGGATTAGGGGTTTTGGGCTTTACGCTTTTGCGCTTTAGGGTTTGGGGCTTCAGGGTTTTGGGCTTCGTGGTTTTGGGCTTTAGGGTTGGGGCTTTAGGGTTTGGGGTTTACGGTTTTGGGCTTTAGGGTTTGGGGCTTTAGGGTTTGGGGTTTGGGGTTTAGAGTTCAAGGCTTGGCTTTAGGGGTTTGGGGTTTAGAGTTTTGGGTTTAGGGGTTAGGGAGCTCTTCGACTTAACGGCAATTTTCGTTAATGAGTTTATAATGAGTTTAGGTTGACATGTCTTAAATTCCAGCAAGGAGTTTCTCGGACCTGGAGTAGGCCCTTATTCCCTTTTTCTAGGGTTCAGGTCCCCTTATAAGCCCCTTTAAGCCAAAAAGGGCACCCTTTTTTATTCCTAGGCTACTCTTGAGTTTAGGTTTTGATTGGCTGCTTGTTTGGATTGGGCGGAGGGTGTGTGCGTTTTGGATCGGGGTGTAGGGTGCGGGGTGAGCACTGCGGTTTTGCAATTTGCAATTTCCCTAGACCTCTAAGGACTCATATATTAAGGGTTTTGGGCCCAAAGACCATACTATATGAGGCTTTTGGGCTATTTTGAGCCTTAGGGATTGCTACTGCTCATGATTATGGCTCTGCCAGCCATCACACGCACAATCAGGCGACATCCAAACACAGAACCGCCGCCCTGAAAAAATGTCCTTTTCAGGGCCTCCTGGAACCACCTTCCTTGGAGGGGCAGGGGACTTAGGAAGGGTTCTTAAAGGGCTCCTTAAAGGGACCTCTATAGGGTTCCTTAAAGGGATCTATGGGGTTTAGGGTTTAGGGTCTACTTGGAGGGGCAGGGGACTTAGGAAGTAGGATATAAGTAGAGTCATTAAGTACCCTGAATGGAGTTACCCCAAGTATAGTCCTATTTATAAACGACTTACGACGTCCCCTGCCCCTCTAAGTAGACCCTAAACCCTAAACCCCATAGATCCCTCTAAGGAACCCTATAGAGGTCCCTTCAAGGAGCCCTTTAAGAACCCTTACTAAGTCCCCTGCCCCTCCAAGTAGACGCCACACCCGGGCCCCGAGGTACGAGAAGCTCCTGGAGCAAGCCAAGGCAACGGCCAGAGATCCCAACACAACCCCGTGACACCTTGAGGACCTTGATCGGAGGCTTCAAAAGGTGGGATGAAGGTAGGTAGGATTAAGGATCTCTTATATCAGGACTCTTATTTGGGTATATCCCACCTACCTTCATCCCACCTTTTGAGGCCTCGGACTTGAGCCCTTAAAGGTTTAGGGTTGAGGGTTTAGGGTAAAGCATTGAAGCCCCGAAGCCCTAAATCCCTGAACCCCAAACCCGAAAATCTCCCAAAGCTCCAAGCCCTAAATCCTGGGTCACCTTTGGGGTTGAGAGGTTTACGATTTATAGCTTAGGGCTTCAGGTAGTCCGGCATTCGGGGTTCAAGGTTAAGGCTTGAGAGGGACTGACCGGGCTCATGGTTTCGGGTTTAGGGTTTAGGGTTTAGGGTTTAGGGTTTAGGGTTTAGGGTTTAGGGTTTAGGGTTTAGGGTTTAGGGTTTAGGGTTTAGGGTTATAGTAGAATAGTAGAAGCCAGAAAGTTGGAACATCAGACTCCTCATGCCCTTAAAGTATAAGGGATCCTAGCACTAATCCTCCTAAAGCCATGTTCCAACTTTCTGGCTTCTACTGTACTTGGAGGGGCAGGTGACTTAGTAAGTAGGATATAAGTAGAGTTATAAGTACCCTAAATGGAGTTACCCCAATTATGACGCCACTGATATCCTACTTACTAAGGCCCGCGCCCCTCCAAGTAGGGTTCATGGTTTCGGGTTTAGCATGACTTAGTTTGGTGTTGAGGGATTCAAGGCGGTGAGTTGAGAGATATGGGACTTAGTAACTAGGGTTCCTTAACGGTTTCCTTAAAAGGGGTCTATAAGGGTTCCTTAAAGGTATCTATGGGGTTTAGGGTTTAGGTTCTACTTTTGGAGAGATATGCCTTAACACCCAGAATTCAGGACCATAAGGGCTCCATGAAAGGGCCATTGGGGGGCCCTGGGATGGTCCAGGGAAAAATCGCTTTCAGGGCCGACAGCCGGCTTCTAGAAGCTCATGGTCTTGATGGGTTAAGGATCACAGGGGTGTGGGGGGGTTGGGGTTTAATGTAGGGGCCTTAATACTTAGAATAGGGTTTTGGTTTTGGGGCCCATTATACTATAATTAGAATAAGGAGCCCCCAAAATAGTATAGGAAACTATTTAGGCCCCTGTATGAGGGTTCAGGTTCTCGGGACATTCTGCTTGTTCTGGTTTAGGGTTTCGGATTTACGGGTTTAGGGGTTTCGAGTGGTTAAGAGGTTTAGGTTTCGGGGTTTCGGGTTTAGGGGTTGAGGTTTTTAGGGGTTTAGGGATTTTGGGGTTAGGGGTTTAGGGACTTAAACCGAAACCATATTGTTTACCATAGATCCTTATTATGGTAACTAATTGTATAAGATCCCTTAACAAGAACCCAGACACCGACCCGGCAGGTCATGCCTGAGGAGGAGCTTGGCTTGCAGACTTTGCGCGGTGCGCCGCGTGGCTTCGTGTCCCTGCGGTCTTTTCTTGGTTTTCGGGGTGAGGGGTTTACGGTTTTCGGGGATTACTTAAAGGATCATGGGACTTAGTAACTAGGGTTATAATTAGGGTAACTATACTTAAATCTACTTATAACCCCAATTAGGGTACTTATAACCTTACTTACGAAGTCCCATGATCCTCCAAGTAGGGTTTAGGGTTTTCGGGGTGAGGGAGGGGGGCCCCGGGTCAGCTGTAGATTCAAGTTTGAGGGTTGAGGGGCTGTGGCCTTGGGTAGAAGCTCTTGAATCGAGGCCTTGGTTAGTTCCGAGTTCAATTCCCTAAACCCTAAACCCTAAACCCTAATCCCTTAATCCCTAAACCCTAAATCCTAATCCCTAAACCCTAAACCCTTGGGGTTGCGTGTAGTGTCGGCTGATGGGGTGTTGGAACCTGCCCGGGGGGGTAAGTGCCATCTGGACAGTCCAAGCTCCAGAACAAAAGATTTAGATCTAGGGTTTAGGGGTTCAGGATTTCAAGCTTACCGTTTAGGGTTCAGGATTTCAACTTTACTGCTTAGGGTTCAAGAGTTTCTTCTGTTTGTTCGGTAGTGAATGTGTTCGTGTTCCCGATCCTCAGGCATCTCCAGTCGGTCCGTGGCATCGGTATCGTGCTTCGGCTGCACCTAATCCCCAAACCCTCCTAAACTCTGCTAAACCCTGAAACCCTCCTAAACCCTCCTAAACCCTCCTAAACCTCCCAAACCCTCCCAAACCCTCCTAAACCCTCCTAAACCCTCCTAAACCCTCCTAAACCCTCCTAAACCCTCCTAAACCTCTAAACTCGCCGGGCCCTGGGGGACTGCGAGGACTTGGAAGATCACCATGGCGTAAGTACCCCTTCAATACCCTCAACCCTAAACCCTAAACCAGGTTCAAAGGGATCGGAACCGTAAACCCTAAACCCATGGGCACCCTAAACCCTGGACCCATAGGCGCCCTCTAACCCGTAAGCCCTAAGCCCGTAGGCACCCTACTTGGAGGATCATGGGACTTAGTAAGTGAGGTTATAGGTTTCTTAATCGGGGTTATAAGTAGTTGTAAGTATGGTTACCCTAAATATAACCTGACTTACTACGTCCCTTGATCCTTTAAGTAAGGCGCACAAAAGGGGATCTACAGGGTTGTGTTAAAGGGTTCTGTTAAACGGATGTACACGGTTTCTATAAGAAATCCTAAGGTCCTAAGGGGTCTGTTTAAAAGGATCTATACAGGGGTTCTGTTTTTGGGATTTGTGAGGGTTCCAGAAGGGATCTAGTCTGTAAGAGTTCTATCAAAGGGATTCATAAGGGTTCTGTTAAAGGGATCTGTAAGGGCTCTATAGTTACGGTATAAACAAGGGTTTTACAGACTATAATGCTTTGAGTTTGAAATCAGTTACTGAGGGCCACGAGGACGGTTTAGGGTGTAGGGTATATGGGTTTAGGGTTTGGGGTTTAGGGGTTAAGGGTTCTGTAGCATGCTTGAAATACAAGGGCAAATACAACACGCAAGAGTCTCCAAAACTTCAAAACTGTACTCCATCATCCAAGCCTCTGTATTGTGATTCTGATTTTTTCGGCTCCAAATGTACAAACCTTTGCGAACCTCTGTAATGTAAGCATAGCGGCATCGCGCAGAAGCCCGTTCGTGCGGCTCCGTAGGTAGGTCGTAGGTTGCAACTCGAGTTGCAAGGAGGCCTACCCCGGTTGGCACTCGCAACTCTACTTGCTTTGTGTATGACTTTTCGATCCATTCTTCGCTTAGGCTTGAGTGCAAGGCTTTGTGTGTGATTCAGCAACGTCTTGGATGCTACTGGGTTTAGTCATGTGCTCGCAGGGTCATATGCATAAGCAATGTAGAAGCAAGCCTACATAATTACCAATGTTCTTCCTTTCGGTTCCTAATTACGAATATATTCTGGAGCCCAAAACCCTACGCTGATTATTGTGGAGGCCACCACATTACTTGCAGGATCATGGGACTTAGTAACGAAGGTTATAAGTACCTTAATTGGGGTTATAAGTAGTTCTAAGTATAGTTACCCCAATTATCGCCCTTGTTACAAAGTCCCATGATCCTTGAAGTACTAGCTTTTTTAACTGCAGCAGGCGGGGGCACAGATCTACATACCTACCCGCCCCTTCCAGAGGTTTGGGGTTTTAGGGGTTCGGGGGTTTAGGGTTCAGCCGTTTAGGGGTTTAGGGTTGAGGATTTGGGGCTTAGGATTTCGGGTTTAAGCCTTTAGGGGTTTAGAGGTTTAGGGCCTAGGGGTTTACGGTTTAGGTTTGATGCTGAGTTGCGGCATGTTGACGCATACTGTTTCGGCTCTCCTCAGAATGCCATGGGTGTCTGGATGATTCGTGATAGTGCCCTCATGGTATATCCCAGCAGCACGAATTAGCAGCATCCTTGTGCTATGGAGCCCTTAAAGAATGCTGCAGAGGTCAAAGTCTTGTTGTTTAAACCCTAAACCCTAAACCGACTGACATCGAGGCAGGTCAGAGCAAGTCTGGACTTGCATTCCTCAGGCGACGAAGACCATAGACTCGATGTAGGGGTCTACCTAACCATTGATATTATGGGAGCTAAGGAGCCAGGGATGATGATAATGATAATCCCTATTAAGGAGCTAAAGAGCCAAGGGAACCCCCAAACCACCGGATAGCTACTCCTCAAGGGCTTTTAATCCACTTCCAGTCTCAAAGCACCGAAACCCTGAGTCTCGTTATTCAGGCGGCCTATATATCAAGTCGACATCACCCGGCACCTGCCCCAGCCCTGGACTTTAATCCGTTGTTGCACCTCTTGCCAGCATGCTGCGCGTCGGGAAACTCTCGGGGGAAGAGGTGGCAAGAATTCCCGTGACGCAGCTTAGCGATGTGAGGACGTTGAAGCAACGATTGCATCAGCAGCACGGGCTGCCACCGCGCTTCAGGCAAAGGCTCCTTCACGAGGGCAAGACTTTGGATGATGCCGTGAAGCTGGATTCCATGATGGATTTGCAGGTTGTTGCTTCGACGGCCTCCGATGCTTCCGAGCAAGATCGGACAGAGCTGCAGGTGGTGACTTTGCCGCTCGCTGAGGCTTCCGAGGCCGAGACGCAAGAGCTGCGGCAAGCGGCTCAAGAAGGCCTCGTGGACGAGGCAGGGGGAGCTGTGCTTTCGCGTTTCAGGCTTGAGGTACCTAAACCCTACACCCCCGAACCATTGAAAATTCCCGAAATCCTAAATCCCTTAAATCCAAGCCCCAAATCCTAAGACCCTCAAGTTGTTAAGACATCCCCACAAAGCCTCCAAAGGTTCCGACTCGCCCGTGTTGTTTGAGATAACCCCGCCTCCCACGATATAAAAGCTTGAACAGGGTTCCTGAGTAGTACCTTTCGACCTTTTTTGTTTCAGTTTTTGGCTTCCCTTATCGAAACTGAATATTGGGAGAAGGGTACCCTAAACCCTAAACATTAAAGCCTTATACTTGCAGGATCATGGGACTTAATAAGTAAGGTTATAAGTACCGTAATTGGGTTATAAGTAGTGATAAGTATAGTTACCCTAATGATAACCCTAGTTACTAAGTCCCACGATCCTTCAAGTAATAAAGGGGCTGTGCAGGAACCTAGGTCAAGGGGTCCAGAGATTCGGATGTTACGCCTTCAGGGCTTTAGGGGCGAAGTTGTAGGGTTTAGGGTTTAGGGTTTAGGGTTTTCAGAAGCGTAAACCCTAGGGTTGATGACATATATCCTGCATGACCCATAATAAGGAATAGACCATAATTCCCATAGTTTAGGGTCATTAGGGTCGTGCAGGGTTTACATCATCAACCCTAGGGACGAGAGTCCCTGCACTAGCCGAATCTCTTGTCCTTCGCTCTTTGGATTCTCCGACGGACGAGCCCCAAGCCTCCCAAGCTGCTGCATGTCAGGTCGAAGCCCTGCTGCAGCTTCCGCTGGACCCGGATCTTGTGTATTCTGCCAATTCTGCCACCACACCCCTCCTGCAAGCATCGCTGCATGGCCACGTTGATGTCGCGAGGCTGCTCCTGGAAGCGGGGGCGCAGGCGGATTTCCACGGCGACTGCATTTGGGGCGATACACCGTTGATGGCTGCAGCAAATCGCGGTCATTCTCAAGTCGTTGAGCTGCTGCTGGAGGCAAAAGCTGATCCGGATCCCACCGATGACGAGAACTGCACAGCGCTCATCTTTGCAGCTTTTTACGGTCGTGTTGAAGCCGTGCGGTTGCTCCTTGAGGCAGGTGCTCAGACGGAGCTGCGTGCCGAAGATGGCCAAACAGCGCTGATAGATGCAGCCTGGCAAGGTCATCGCCCAGTGGTGAAGTTGCTTTTGGGGGCCGGTGCTCAACTGGAGGCACGTGACGCTGAGGGCAACACAGCTCTGATAGCTGCAGCAAAGGAAGGTCACGCTTCAGTGGTGGAGTTGCTCCTGGAGGCCGGTGCTCACAGGGATGCGCAGGACGACAACGGCTCCACAGCACTCATGAAGTCGAGAAACTGGGTTCTTGTTAAGGAGTTTAAGTTACCATAATATGGATCTATAATAAATAAGATGGTCTCCTTATCATGGTAAGTTAAACTAGACCCTTTAACAAGAACCTATAATGAATAAGATGGTTTCCTTGTTATATGGGTGGTTGTCACAATTGCGGTCCCTTTTTGGGTACCCAAAATAATAGGTGCCGTATTATAATAATGAGCCAAAAAGGGACCCTGATTTTGACAACCACCCATATGGTAACTTAAACTGAATCCTTTCACAAGAGACCAGGAAACGATGACGTCCGGGGACTTCTCAAGTCGGCTCCGACATGATCTGCGGCGGTTTCCTCACGGCGAAGCAGCCGGCAAAAGCTCAGAAAAGGCGGTCTGTGGCCGAAGGGAAACTAGACAAAGCCCACAGCTCCTAACTCCTAGCATTTCTTGGGAATTCCTTGATGCAAGCGAAAGGAGCGGGTCTGAAGTTCCCCGAACTTTCAGACGCAAGGCTACTTACGTTTCGAGGGTTTTCGACCCCCCCACGCCCATGCTGGCATTCTCCAGGACGGTTTAGGGTTTAGGGTTTAGGGTCGCTAGCGCCAGCAACACCACCGGAGCCTCACTCAACAGCAGTGTCGGCGGTATTGGTGGTGGTCACCATCGCCGGTACCCTGAACCCTCGTGAAACCCCAAGCCCCCAACCCACAAAGAGACTCTTGAACCCAAGCCCAACACTCTAAAGCCTAAGCCGTTTAAACCTCGGCACCGAAACAAACCACCCTGACCCCCATGCCCTGCACCCTGAACATCTGAAGCGTCATGCCCCAAACCTTACAATCTAGAATAAATAGTACTTGAGCTTCATGGGACTTAGAAACTAGGGTTATGGGCATGGTAACTATAGTTGTGTTTGCTCATCGCGCCAATTAAGGTTACCTGCCAAGCCCCATGATCCTGAAAGTGCACGCATCTCATTCTAGCCCCTCACTGAGTTAAGGTATAAGTATAAAGTATCACAAATCCCTGGTGTACTGTTTGCTGTAAGGTACCGCATCTTAGATTTCTTAGATGCGTCGTATCACCCCCGGAACAAACCTTTTACTGAAAGGAACTCCGGTCTTAAGGAACCTTTCAAGTAAAAGGAGAACCATTCTTAAAGGAACCGGTTTGGGGAAATCCAACAAGCCCTACTTTAAAACGATCAGGGTCCTCGTAACTAAGGTTATAAGACTCATAATGACTGACAGCCCCAATTAAGGTACTGAGAACCTCTTCCATGATCCTCTAAGTAAGCTCCAAACAAGAAAAGAGATGTCCTTCTTAAAGGAACTTAAACCCTAAACCCCTAAACCCTAAACCCCTAAAGCCCTAAACCCCTAAACCCCATAGATCCCTTTAAGGAACCCTATAGATCCCTTTGAGGAACCCTACAGATCCCTTTAAGGAACCCCTAAAACCCTAAAGCCCTAAATTTGGGGCCGAGGCCTCGCTGGAAGTCGAGCTGCCTTCCTTGTGCCTGCGGGGGACCAGCTCAGTACCCTTACTGGTGGGGGGTCCCAGGGTTTAGGGTTTAAGGGTTTAGGGGTTTAGGTTTTAGAGGTTTAGGGTTTAGGGTTTAGGAGTTTAGGGGTTTAGGGTATAGGGTTTAGGGTTTAGGGTTTAGCGTAGACAAGGAAACTTAAAGGGTCATGGGACTTAGTAGCTAGGGGGTTATAATTAGGGTAACAATACGTATAACTACTTACAGGTGTAGGGTTTAGGGTTTGGGGTTTGCGGTTTAGGGTCCCAGAACAACTTACCCTTGGTAAGTAGGGAATGGAGGAATGGGGTAGAATTATAACAACTATTACTACCATTCTTGCATTCCCTACTAACCGAAGGTAAGATAAGGAACGGGTTCAGGCCTTGCTTGTGCAGGGCGGAAAGAGCCTGAGAGTGCCCCTTTAAAGGGAAGGGCACCCTAAACCCTGCACGCATAGGCACCCTAAACCTAAGGTTACAAGTATTAGCCCTCAATAAGGACCCTTCCGCCCTTGAGGGGGGATTCTAGCAACCCGTTTGGGTACCTAGAGGGTATTAAGTAGGTATATACGGATCTCAGTTAGACTAAACCCCTATAGAACGAAACCCTTTAAAGGACCCGCTTATAGAGCCCTATAGTACCCCTTGAAAGGCATCGGAACCCTAAACCCTAAGCCGATAGCCATCCTTAATCCAAGGTTGGAAGTATGGGCCCTTGATATGGACCCTTAGGGGTACCTGGAGGGCTTGTAGTAGAGATATACGGACCCTAAACCCTAAACCCCTAAACTCTTAAACCTTAAAGCGGATCCCTGGTAGACTAAAACCCACTGAAGTATGTCTTCGTACAGCGACAGTTGCGGAAATCGTCTTTCGAGTTGGCGCCAAAGCGCACGCACAGAGTGCGCAGGGCCTCCCTAAAAAAAACCACTGGAATCCCCTCTAAACCCTTAAACCTTAAAGCGGATCCCAGTTAGATATACGGACCCGAAACCCTAAACCCCTAGACCCTTAACCCCCTTTTTTACGGATCAAGGAATATGGCTTAAATTATATAGGGCTTCATATTATGATTTAAGCGATATTCCTCAATTAAGGGGTATTGGGCTCTCTGGGAAAGTCCCCCTAAACCCTAAACCCTAAACCCTAGTAGAACCCCTGTAGGAACCCTTCAAAGAACCCTCTGTTTCAGTAAAACCCACTGAAATCCCCCCGGAGGCTTCCCTCCTGGGCGGCCTTGATTCTGCGTCGCCAGCCGTGGGGCCCCCGCGATCCGTCCGCCAACTCCAAGAAAGGCTAGGGGGTTTTCTTAAAAAAAAAAGGAGTTCCTTTAAGGGATCCTTTCAGGGTTTCTTTTAAGGGCTCTTAGGATGGGGTTCTATTAGGGTTTAGGGTTTTGGGGTTTAGCACTTCTTACAAAGAGGGTTCTTTGAAGGGTTCCTAGAGGGGGTTCTACTCGGGTGCAGGGTTTAGGGTTTAGCGCTTAGGGCTCACTTGGAGATTCATGGGACTTGGTTTAGTAAGTAAGGTAAGTGCCGTACTTGGGGTCATAAGTACTTATGAGTATAGTTGCCATAGTTGCTTAAGTCCCATGACCCTTTAAGTAAGTAGCTACAGAAGCAAACACGTCAGGTCTTGTAGTGCTTTCCTTGAAAGGTTTGAGGCTGCTTTCGTTTTTTAAGGGGGGGGCTTATGGGTTTTAGGCGCTTCATGGTTTCTGGAGTTTAGGGACCCTAAACCCCACCTTAACTAGGAAGAACCTACCTTTTCAAGGACTTACATAAGGAAGCAATAATAAGGAACCCTAAAAAGGTAGGTTATCTGGGGTTAAGGTAAACCCTAAACCCTAAACCATAAACCTCATAGCACCCTAAACCCTGAGCCATGTGGTGCTGGCGGTTTCGCTTCAGGTTTCGATGGATATCGGCTCGGGGGCTTCCAAAACAGCACAGGGCAGGGACACCCCGTGTAAACTCTTCATAATGAAGCTCAATAAGGTAGGGCTATCCCTATGAGATGCTTATGCCTACGTCCTTTAAGGGCTCCTATTGTAGGCTTTATGCAAACTAGGCTTTTTTGGTTCAGGGTATGGGGTTGGGGAGTCGTGTTTATGTTTGTTGATTAGTTGATTACATGGCGCATAGCAGACGATCCGGCATTCTTTTGTAAGCACACGGTGTTGAGTAGGGGTCTCGAGTCAAGAAAACTGTTGTCAGGAATGCGGGGGCCCTAAACCCTACACCCCCGAAGAACGTAGCCGAAACCTTGAGCCCTAGACCCGAAAAATGATCCTGAAGCCTACAATATCGGAGCCCTAGATCAAAAACCCTCAAACTCGAAAAAAGTGAAAACCCTAAAGCCCTAAAGCCCTAAAACCTTCAAGCCCTAAAGCCTATAAGCCGTATGTCGGACTCTGTGGTCGAGGCAGTTCTATGGGGCCAAGTGGGACCTCGACGAGTACTTCAGCGCGGATTCCGGCCAAGATGAGTCCAAGGTGCTCTTACCCTTGTTTTGTTCTCGCTGAAGTTGTAGCTGATCAGTAGTTTATTAGCTTGATTTCTTGGATCTGCTATTCGCAGTGTTTTTGGGATCTTCTTGCAAATCAACCCTATACTCCCATACCCTAGACCCCCTAGACCCCGCTGAACCCATGCACCCCATAGAACCCTAAACCCTAAACTCATCAAACCCATACAGCCGCCCAAACCCTAAACCTTAAACCCTAAACCACCATAAAACTCTCTGCGGCTCACCCAGAGAGCCCAATACCCCTTAATTAAGGAATCTAGCTTAAATCATAATATGCAGCCCCTAATGATTTAAGGTATATTCCTCAATTAAGGGGTATTAGAATCCCCTAAACCCTAAGCCTATAGATCCCTTAAAGGAACCCTAGGTATTTCTTAATTAAGGGGTCTTGGGCTCTCTGCGGCCTCAGATCTACTGCAAGCACCACTCTGTGCTCTATCGCAGCTGCTTGGCCGAAGCTTCTTCAGTCCTTCGGTTGATGATATAAAGGGATCGACAAGGCTACCTTTAAGGGGCTCCTTTAAGGATCTATAGGGTTTTAGGGTTTAGGGTTTAGGGTTGATGATATAAATCCTGCATTACCTTAATGACCCTGAAGTATGGGATTTATGGTATACTCCTTTTCATGGGTAATGCAGGATTTCTCTCGTCAGCCGTTGGTCTTAAGGTTTTGGGGTTTAGGGGTTTAGGGTTTAGGGTTTAGGGTTTAGGGTTTGGGGTTTAGGGTTTAGGGTTTAAGGGTTAGGGTTTTGGTTTTGGGGTTTAGGGTTTAGGGTTTAGGTTTTGGACTTCGAGTTTGGGTCTGGGGTTTGGGGTCTAGTTGGGTTTAGGATTCGGGTTTGGGTTTTGGAGTGTTAGGCTCTTGCTATTGTTGCGGGTGTTTGGTTTCAATGCCGCATATGTGATATCGCAGTGGTGAAGCCTTTGTGTGTTGCAGGCTTTAGGTTTCATTCCTTTATCAGGTTCCCTGTATTAGTAAGGGTTCCATAGCAAGTTCCATATGCGTTCTGAAAGGACTAGGGGCTTTGAGTGTTGGGGTTTTCGAGGTTAGGCTTTTCGGGTTTCAGGGTCTAGGGTCTAAACCTTCTGCTATGCCTGAGGCTGCGGTGTCTCCGACTTTGACTACCGGTGCGCACCTGGCTTTGCGCAGGTTAGGTGACCCAACCTGAACCCTAAACCCTAAACCCTAGACCTTAAGCCCTAAACCCAAACCCTGAACTCTAAACCCTAAACCCTAAACCTTCAACCCAAAACCCTAAGCCCCTAAACCCTAAAACCTAAACCCCAAAAAACCCTAAGCCCCTACACCCTAAGGCCTGCCGTTTACGACGAGGGCCCAAGCCCCATAATGTAGGAACCAAGAGCCCCTGGAAATATAACTTAAAAATAGTCGGATCTTAATAAAGGCCCAAGAAGAAACCTTGTGGCCTTTACTAGGGTTGCTGATAAGAATCCTGCTGTTGTAGAGGTTATAGGCCCAGGGTTTCTTAATCAGCTTCCTACATGAGCCCAATCATGCGCTGAACCGGAATTCTGATCCCTGGACCCGGAACGCCAGAACCTGAAATCCTAAGTCCGTAAAGCCTTATGTTATAGAACCCGTTTTCTACCCCTTGTAGTATCCCTCCTCCCTTAAAGGAACCCGTCGAGGTTCAGGGCATAGGAGAGGGATGCAGAATTCAGAAATTGGGTGTTCAAGGCTAAGTTTTTTGTCGTGTTTTGGTGCTAAGGTCTTTGGGGTTTAGTGTTTTAGGGTGTTTAGGTTTTGGGGGGGCTCAGGGTTGAGGATGTAGGTTCTAGAGCTGCTAGGATGCCCAGTAGTACCCTTATTCCTTTTTTGTAGTCCTAGGTTCCTTATAAAGTTACCCAATGCCAAAAAAAAGAGAGGCCTTTTTATTCTTAGGTTACTGGGTATCCTAGGCTGTGTTCGCAGGTACTTCGGCATAGCTGCGGAAGATGCCCGTGAGATGGACCCTCGCTGCCGCCTGTTGCTGGAGGACCCGGCCACAACACGTAGGGTTTAGCGTTTAGGGTTTAGGGTTTAGGGTAACATTTTAGATTTTTGTGGGTACTTCAACCCAATAAGGAATAACAGTGTACATTTTTAATCCTATCCCAACCATGAACTAGATTATCAGCGCAGTCATCATCGCCACTAGTATCACTAGTAGCATCATCGTCCTAAATGATTATGACGCTCAATTAAACCCTGAGCCCTAAACCCGAATCATTGTCATCATCTTTAGAAGAGTAGTTAAGGGGAATGAGGGGCAACGGCGGCAGCGGCAGCAGTTCTCTTTCCCCAAGATCCAGAACCCCGGAAAGCGACGCGCAGGGCCATGAGGCCGCGCTTCGCGCGGCTGGGCAGAGGACGGGTTCAGGGATGGCGCAACGGATCTTTGGGGTGTTGGCGTCGAGTCTGAAGAGTTCAGGGCTTAAAGTAGTCCGTATACAGGTGATGACTTTGGGGCCTATGTATATACCACCTTGCTTCGGACTGGTGGATGCCCCAAAATGAATCCAAGGCCCTAGGCCCCCAAGCAAAGGAGCAAGCAGCCGGGCCGGAGGTTCGTGCACTCCGTATGCAGCAAAGCTTAGAAACTTAGGCCATAGACCCTGACTACGCGCCGTAATCTGAACCCCTTCCTCGAGCGCTTGGAACTTATCGAGCCCTTGGAAAGGAACCTTATCAAGCCTTATCGGATCCCTGGAAGAAGCCTTGGGGACTCTTTCTTGAACGGACCCAAAATCCTTAACCCTAAACCATCAATCCTCAACCCTCAACCCCTAACCCTAAACCTTAAACCCTAAACCTTGAACCCTAAAACCTAAGACCTAAGCCTTAAACCCTAAACCTTGAACCCTAAGCCCTAAACCTTGAACCCTAAAACCTAAGACCTAAGCCTTAAACCCTAAACCCTAAACCTTGAACGCTAAGCCCTAAACCAACCCCTAGGAACGCTTTCTTTAACGGATCCCATGGGGGCTCCAGGCGCTCCCAAGAGCGACTCTTAATTAAGAAAAAAACTTTAATTAAACTATAAGGGGATTTAGGGTTTAGGATTTAGGATTCAGGGTTTAGGGTTTAGGGTTAAGGGTTTAGGGTAGGGGATGCATATTATGATTTAAGCTATATTCCTTAATTTGAAACACTGCGCGTCGTCCGCCTCGGCCCGGCTGTACGCGCATGCGGCGAGTGGCCACTATCTGCAGCAAGCTCTTGTAGGAAAAAGTAACAGTTGGAATCGCACTTATAGTAAAAGTAATGTTCATAGCAACACGAAGCAGGATGATTGTGAGTAGTATTAGTAGTGGTAGTATCAGTACGAATTGCTACATTACAGTCCGGTGTCGTCGGAAATTCCCAGAAAGCTCGCACCTGTCAGCGATGGGGGGAGGGGCGGGAGGGTGAGGGAGGAGGGGAGGCGGGGGGGCAGGGCGGTGGAGGGGGGCGTCGTGCTTTCGGGTGCAGTGTTGTCCGGGCTTTGAAAGTTTTTCAGGCTGGGGTACGGGTGTAGGGTTAGGAACTCAGGTTTGAAACTCGCTTGGTACTGCAGCCTGAAAGGCGAGCCCCAACACATAAAGATGCTACATTGCAGTCCCGTGTCGTCGAAAACTCCAGAAAGCTCGCATCTGTCAGCGAGCGGAGCAGGCGCGGGAGGGAAGGGGGGAGGGGGGGGGAGGGGGGGGAAGCGGTGAAAATTGGGTGGGACTGCCCACAGAAGCCAAAATCTGTTGGAGGGGGCGAGAATTCACCGCCGTACCTTGGAGCTCAGTGACACGTTTCAATTTTTTAGGGGGGGGGGGGGGGCAGCGGCCCCGATTTTTGGTGTCGGGGTCACTGGGGGGGGATTAAGGGGGGGGGAATAAAGGGAATCCGAATAGGAACACCGCTTCGGCCAAGCGAGGCGAATTAAGTGGTATTGGGCTCTCTGGGCAGGAGCTCCCAAGAGCGACCCTATGGGGTCTTCTGCGGCTTGAGCTCGGAGCTCAACTTCAGGGTTCCTGAGTAGTACGCTTTTTAAAGGGTTCCTTAAGGGGCTCCTTAAAAGGGCTCCTGAAAGGGTTATATAAGGGATCTATGCGGGTTGAGGGTTTGCTAGGTTCCCGAGTAGTACCCTTTTGCCCTTTTTGTTTTGGGGTTCCGTTATTACTGTTGAGTGTTAGGATAAAGGGTACCCTTATTCAGGAACCTAGACTTCCGAGGGGGCCCTAGGGAGTTGAAGCAATCTGAGCCCGGGTTTAGGGTTCAGGGGTTCAGGGTTCCTTTAAAGGGATCTATGGTGTTGAGGGCTCAGGGTTTAGGGTTCAGGGGGGGGCTTAGGATTTAAGGTACCTTGAAAGGGAGGTTGAGCGTTCAGGGGGTTTAGGGTTCAGGGGGGAAGGGTTTTGGGTTAGAGGAGAAGATGAGGGCCCGGAGGAGTTGATAGGTTTTAATAAGGGTTTCATCGGTGTAAAAGGCTCTTTATGGCTTTGCTGCAATACCTAAAGGGCTTTGCATAAGGGTTCTACACGGAATCTGCAAGCTTACAGGGTCACTAGGTTTAGGGCTCGGGTGTGAACCCCTAAACTGTTGCGTGAATGCGATCCTTTTGATATTGGTGCTGTTGGATTGGACCTGGAACACCACACTGGTCGACCACGCGGTCCGAATTTGGTCGTTGCGAATTTGCCAGAGATCAGACAGCTGGTTTTTGATGCAGCGACCTCGGGCAACCGATTCGCAAGCAAGCCTCAAGCTTGGTTGCGTTTGTGTCCGAAACGAAACTGGTCATGCTAGTGACTTTCTTCGGGACTTCGATGACGGCAACAAGCTCAAGCTCGTCCGAGATGAACGTGACCTCATCACGCCTCATCCAGCTTCTCTTCGCGGGCCCGACACTCGGGGCCCCGCCATCAAATCAGTAGCAGAATCACTCAAGGTTGGGAGCGCTAGCTGCCATGACAAGTTCTGACCTGAGAAAAAATGCAATCGAAGATCAGTGCCGTGGCAGGGATGCTGCCATGCGAATGTTGCAATCTCCTTGCCGATCACTGGGTGAAGACCCGTCTGCTGCTTCGGGTCCCTCGTGAGACGCAGCCTTCATGAGATGCAGCCTTGGCAGATTTGGTTCCCTTGTTGTGCATGTGGGCAGAATCCTCTGCTGGTCACCTTGCTGTCGCTCGCGAGTCTGCTTCGTCACAGGGGCTTTTGACTCAGGATTTGGGCTTTGTCTCATTGTTTTGGTGTTTCGGTTTCGGGTTGAATATGGGTTTAGGGTTTCAGCGCTTCAGGGTAGAAACCCTAAACCCTAAACCCCTAAACCCTAAACCCTAAACCCCTAAACCCTAAACCCTAAACCCTAAACCCCTAAACCTCTCTACCTATAGTTATTTAAATGTTAATGGCTTCGTGGCGACTTGACGTTTTCAGCTGATCAACTTCATCAATCTTCGTGGCGACTTCATCAATCTTCGTGGCGACTTCATCAATCTTCGTGGCGCTAAACCGTTCGCCCGAGATTTAGGGCGGCCCTAAACCGTTCGCCCAAGATTTAGGGACCGTTCGCCCAAGATTTAGGGCGACCCTAAACCGTTCGCCCAAGATTTAGGGCGGCCACTTCATCAATCTTCGTGGCGACTTCATCAATCTTCGTGGCGACTTCATCAATCTTCGTGGCGACTTCATCAATCTTCGTGGCGACTTCATCAATCTTCGTGGCGACTTCATCAATCTTCGTGGCGAAACCCTTGGCCCGAGATTTAGGGCCTAAACCCTCGGCCCGAGATTTAGGGCCTACACCCTTGGCCCGAGATTTAGGGCCTAAACCCTTGGCGCGAGATTTAGGGCCTAAACCCTTGGCCCGAGATTTAGGGCCCTAACCCTGGACCCGAGATTTAGGGCCAAACCGTTCGCCCAAGATTTAGGGCGGCACTAAACCTCGAGATTCAGGGCCTAAACCCTTGGCCCGAGATTTAGGGCCTAAACCCTTGGCCCGAGATTTAGGGCCTAAACCCTTGGCGCGAGATTTAGGGCCTAAACCCTTGGCCCGAGATTTAGAGCCTAAACCCTTGGCCCGAGATTTAGGGCCTAAACCCCTGGCCCGAGATTTAGGGCCTAAACCCTTGGCCCGAGATTTAGGGCGGCCCTAAACCCCGAGATTTAGGGCCTAAACCCTTGGCCCGAGATTTAGGGCCTAAACCCTTGGCCCGAGATTTAGGGCCTAAACCCTTGGCCCGAGATTTAGGGCTGGCCCGAGATTTAGGGCCTAAACCCTTGGCCCGAGATTTAGGGCCTAAACCCTTGGCCCGAGATTTAGGGCCTAAACTTTTGGCCCGAGATTTAGGGCCTAAACTTTTGGCCCGAGATTTAGGGCCTAAACCCTTGGCCCGAGATTTAGGGCCTAAACTTTTGGCCCGAGATTTAGTCCCTAAACTCTTGGCTTTACAATAAGCGACGCTAGATGGAAATTGGCTAGGGTTTAGGCCCTAGGGTTTAGGTCCTAGGGTTTAGGGCCTAGCGTGTAGGGCCTAGGGTTTGAGTCCGAGGGTGGGGTGGGGACAAGCTTAGGGTGGCCTTAGAGCAGAGAGCTTAGTGTAAGACATTTCCGACCTGAAATGTTTCATGCTTCTTTCTGTAAGGCGGAAACGATGACACATTTCCGGCCTGAAATGTGTCATGCTTCTTTCTGTAAGGCGGAAAAGATGACACATTTCCGGCCTGAAATGTGTCATGCTTCTTTCTGTAAGGCGGAAAAGATGACTTTTCCGGCCTGAAATGTGTCATGCTTAGCATTCCGAACGCCCCAATAAGCGAAACCATTCTTGCAAGAGGTATTCCTTTTTAACGCCCCAATAAGCGAAACAATTCTGCAAGAGATTTCCATTCCGAACGCCTCAATACGCGAAACAATGTTGCAAGAGGTATTGCATCTTAACGCCCCAATAAGCGAAACAATTCTGCAAGAGATTTCCATTCCGAACGCCCCAATAAGCGAAACAATTCTGCAAGAGGTATTGCTTCCTAAAGCCCGAATAAGCGAAACAATTCCGCAAGAGATTTCCATTCCGAACGCCCCAATAAGCGAAACAATTCCACAAGAGGTTTGCCTTCCAAACGCCCCAATAAGCGAAACAATTCTACAAGAGGTTTTCCTTCCTAACGCCGCAATAAGCGAGACAATAGGTTAAAGTATTATTGAAAAAAGTTCCGAAGAAGAATCGTATTCCATCCGAATATAAAATAAAGATTGTTATTTCATAATGTGAGGGGAACCTATGGGCGGGTGGGGTTTTGGCTTGAAATAGCTTGACTCGAAATTTCCAAAGTCAGAGAAGCTGAACCCTAAACCCTAAACCCTAAACCCTAAACCCCTAAACCCTAAACCCTAAACCCTAAACCCTAAACCCGAACACTTTCATGATTGGAGCAAGGGGGGAAGTTGAAGGCCCCCAAGCCATGAGCCGAAGCCCGAACTCGAAACCGACATGACGACAGGCTCCTGAACATCCCTTAGCCTTAAATCCAGACTGCATGCCCTACACCACCCGGAGTTGATTCTGTCTCTCCCTTCTCCCTTCTCTCTTCTCTTTTCTCCCTCTCTCTCTCTCTCTCTCTCTATCTCTCTCTCTCTCTCTCTTCTCTCTCTCTCTCTCTCTCTCTCTCTTCTCTCTCTCTCTCTCTCTCTCTCTCCGTGCGATGATTCCATCCAGGATTTCGTAGGTCGAACACGAGTAGATTTTGAGTGTCAGAGCCCTGGTTAGTGTACTTACAGTCACTGCAACCCACCGTCCACAGCATAGGCTAAACCATCCTAAAACCTTAATCCAAACCATGCCCTGTACTACGAAGCCCTTTAAAGCCCGAACGGCATCATTGTACGAAAGAAAGCAAAACCCAAGAGCCCCAAGTTCAACAAACTCTACAACGTCCAATATTGAATACACCCCAAAGCCCAAGGAAACCCTTGCAAAGAACAGCGTGAAGCAACAGCCTGCAGCGGAACCACCAAAAGCACGAAGCAACAACACTGAAAAAAAGCAAAGACAAACACACAAACCATCGACACGCATAAAGAAACACACGAGTCACCAGAGAAAGCCGCATGAACAACAGAGAGTAGCTTAAAGAAGGACCAAGAGAGCATTCGCCACTTACAGAACCCTAAACCCGAAACCCTAAGTCCCAACCCTTCAGGGAGCCCTTGAAGGAACCGCGAATCCGAAGCCTGCTCTTCTACCTACAGATGCTTCAGGCAAAGTGCAGAAAGGAATACACGGTCTTCTTTCACTAGGTAGGCCTTGGGGACATTTTACATTTTCCCTTATTGGGGTTAATAGGACCATAGTTACGAAAATTTTTCAGAGGCTCTAGAGGGCCAACCTAGATCAGGCATTCTACAAGGACTCTTAAGCAGTCTTAAGCACCAGAAGTCTAGGTGGCCTGGGGTCAAGAGCTGCCTCGAACCCCTCCTTGATCGTTGGCCAGGCCGCTTTGGGGTCCAGGGGTTTTATAGGGCCTGTATTGAGGTCTCAAAGGGCTGTATTAATTGAGGTTTTGTCGCGTTTTGCGGGTTTTGGCGTTTTGTAGGGTTTCTCGGGCTCCACCGGGGTTGAAGACATACTTTGAGGGGTCTCCAAAGGTCTAGGGTCGGGACGTAGGGGTGTTGGAGTCTTAGGGTTTAGGGCCTGGCGACTTGAATGCGTAACAAGACTTGAAGAATTTTAGGGTTTCGGGTTCTTACAGTGCTCTTGTCCTTGTAGCATTGTCTCTACTCTTCCTCTTCTTCTTCTTCCTGTACGTACTCAGATGTTCATGCCATGATTCGGATGTCTACTTATCCACGACTGGTACTGTGTCACTAAGTACTGACAGTGAAATTCGTGGTTGCTGCTGCTGCTGCTCCTGCCGCTGCTGCTGCTGCTGCTGCTGCTGCTGCTGCTGGTGTTGTTGTTGTTGTTGTTGTTGTTGTTGTTGTTGTTGTTGTTGTTGTTGTTGTTGTTGTTGTTGTTGTTGTTGTTGTTGTTGTTGTTGTTGTTGTTGTTGTTGTTGTTGTTGTTGTTGTTGTTGTTGTTGTTGTTGTTGTTGTTGTTGTTGTTGTTGTTGTTGTTGTTGTTGTTGTTGTTGTTGTTGTTGTTGTTGTTGTTGTTGTTGTTGTTGTTGTTGTTGTTGTTGTTGTTGTTGTTGTTGTTGTTGTTGTTGTTGTTGTTGTTGTTGTTGTTGTTGTTGTTGTTGTTGTTGTTGTTGTTGTTGTTGTTGTTGTTGTTGTTGTTGTTGTTGTTGTTGTTGTTGTTGTTGTTGTTGTTGTTGTTGTTGTTGTTGTTGTTGTTGTTGTTGTTGTTGTTGTTGTTGTTGTTGTTGTTGTTGTTGTTGTTGTTGTTGTTGTTGTTGTTGTTTGCTGCTTCTTTTGCCGGTAGGATTTCCTGCGTGGGAAAACATTCTTGCAGTTGGTGACATGGTCGTCATCATGGTCGTCATCAGAATACACGAGCGAGAAGAACTGCCCACATCCTGACGCAGAACCACCCTGAAGCACAAACCCCAAACCCTGAAGCCCTAAATGAAACCTTCGCAAGCTGAACTCCTTAACCCGATACTATCAGCCCTAAAACCGCTACCCAGTCCTATGAGCCAACCCTATAAACTCTTGTACAACCTTAAAAGCCCACTAGGTTCTAAGCTTGGCGCACGACTCTGAACTCCAAACCCTAAACCAAGGTCGCCGAGTTCCTGAATTTGACCGGGACCACCATGAACTTAGACACAGGTGCGGCCTACCGGGTGCTTTCAGGGATAGAGTTTAGAGTTTAGCGTTGATCCTAAACTCACTTGGACCAGATTGCAAGGCAAGAAGGCTTCACTTACTGGTAGAGCAGGTAACCTTTAGCCTTCTTCAGGGTACTATAATTCCTATGGAATCAGAACATACTCCCAAAGGTTACCTCAACCCTAAACCCTAAACCCTAAGCCGCACAACCTAAAACTTAAACCCTAATCCCGTGAAACCCAAAACCTAAGCCCTAAACCCTAAATCCTGAAACTTAAACCCTAAACCCTTTGCCCTACAACTTCAAACCTAGAAACCTAAACCCTGAAACCTATAGTTCGTCAGGATACTCGCAGGGCCGAAAGTTCTGTTGAAAACTCAACCTGATCGCCCGCTCCCTGCACCCTGAAGCGGTAGGCCTTCAATACTTCGCGTTGAAGCTGAAGGTTGTCACCGATAGGATATGGGAGTTTCCGAAAATCGGGATCCAAATATGGTACCCTAAATAGTAGGATCCTTGTTATAGCTAACGCACTACCAATTGACCCGCGGGTTAGGCTTGTTTTTGCTTGCTTCTCTGGTGTGGGGGGGGGCGGGGTGAGGGGGGGGTGGGGGGGGGGGGGGGGGGGGGCTAGTTTCGTTCTGTCTGACGACGTCCATCACAAAGCAGTCCTGGGAGTACTTAGATGGGCTGGTGGTTTGGTAATGGTTTAAGGCAGATACACGGGTCAGTATCCATGTGATATGTTGTTAGTATATCTTCATAAGCCGCTGTAACTTGTTACAGGTTGAGTAACTGTAACAACAGCTTAAATGAATTATGCTGTTTTCACTTAAATCCTGTAAACCATTAATGTGGTTCAGGCTCTTATGCAATTTAAATATTAGAATTAGATACATGCATTGACTGATTTACCTGAGATACTAAAGTGATAAGGAATGTCGATAACTCAGCTATTTTGCACTTATAATTTTGCTAAAATGCAATGCAACAAACCAGTTGAGCAAGAACTCAGTTGTCGGTCGAGACAGATTTGCATGGCCAATCTAAGAACAGGAAATGTGCAGTGCTGAAAATGTGTGTAGTGGTCCGCTAGAGTTAGAACAAGCAGAGCCTTTCCAGGCTTGTCTGCAGAGACACATGGAGGCCTTGAGCAGATTTTCGTTTAGGGTTCGCAACCTCGCGTTTTCCAGAATCGCCTGAGAAGACTCAGCTTAGCAAGCTCACAGTGTTGGAACCGCAGCCTTACCAGGCTCAGCTTCGGCAAGGATACTTAAAGCCAGCATCCAAGGCCCTGGCGAAGTAGCACAAGCCCTAAAACCTCCAAGCTCAAAGCTTAAACCCGATATCCCAAAACGTTGTTTCGCTTGGCAGAAAACACGCAAAACACTACTTCCAAACATGAAACACTAGCGAAACAAAGACCCGAAAACTGTAGAGGTTGCCCAAGCCTGTCTCCCAAAGCATGAACTGATAAAGCAGAGATCATCTTTTTACCTCGGTAAAAGTGCCATTTTGCCCGAAGGCCCCCCACAGACTACAAAAGCATGGCGACAACGAAGCCCCAGAAACGCAAACATCGACCGAAAACCCAAAACACCGTTTTATCCGGAAAACTTGAAAGACATGCTGCCGGACAATAACGCCATCAAATGCAAAACCTTGCTTTCGCCGAGGCAAAAACAGCAAAAACAATCATTCAAAAGATAAAACAATCGCGAAAGCATGTCCCTAAAACTTGCCCGGTTGCGCAACGATGTCTGCCAAAACAAGAACTTATAATCCAGAAATCATCGTTTTACCTCGGCAAACTACCTTTTTGCCTGAAAGAGCACCCCTGCTGTCGCGCGGGTCGTTTCGCGTGGCGTTACCTTGTTATAGGGACCCCCAAATAAGGTACCCCTAATTTTCGGAAACTCCCATATATGGGTTGGAGTATTCTTGGCCGATTTCAATCGCAGAAATCGTCGCCGCCCCGCATGCTTCGGTATCTGCATCCTTGGGTGATCCTGTGTGCGATTTCCTAGGCCTCTCTGTGGCCTATTCTACAAGCATGTACAGTATGGCTGACCAATGTACCGCAACACGACAGTTTGATACCGGGAACAGTACCACGTCGTCGTGTGTCACTCTGTATCATGCTTTGCAACGAATTATTTGTTCGATGTTGGAAGCTTTCATGCCTATTTGCAGTGCGCCGACGTCTTCTTGAATTTTTCCGTTAGCCTTAACGAAACCTGTTGTCGATGCTCCGGTTTGGAAACTTGATCCCGTACTAATTTGGACATACGCCCTTCACTGGCCCTACACCTGAGACCCTGAACTGTTGTAAACCCTCAAGCCCAATCCCGACACCCTAAACCCGACTCTTGGAGCTTGCATTCCTGTTCAGGTGATGCGTCCTCTCTGATGGCCGTCGAGCGCGCAGTTGTCGGCGTGCGCAAGGCTCCACAATGCGAATGCACAGATTAAAGAAGAAACAATCACACTTATTTTTATCTATGTACACATACATACACACACATACATAAATATGTGTGTGTGTATATATATATATATATATATTTGTGAATGTGCATCAGCATGTGGGTGCTACATAGGATACGAGTATGTATGTACACACTTCCGCGCGAACACATGGCTGTAACGAACTCTCTCCAGCCCCCCTGCCCCCCTGCTCTCTCTTCATGTGTGTGTATATATCTAAAGTTTTATGCGTGTATATGCAAACATGCATACACACTCGCAAGAACAGTTTCATGTTCGGGATCTAATTCTTGATTTGTGCACACCGTATGTAGGCCTTCCTAGGTACATGAGTGAGCCTGCACCTGTTGTTTTTGGGATACCGGGATACCGCAGACAAGCATCGAAGCTTCGTACGACACACAAAGGGACGGGTAGATCACAGATTGAATCAAAGACCTGGAAGCAATGGGAAGGGAATAGGAATGCTATGACACGAAACCAATCCAGTTCAAGTGTAGCGAAGAAGTGCTCATGTCGGTTCCCCAAGTCAAGTATGGCGCTCCGGACACCACAAGGCCAATGAGTGTGCTGTGTGGTGTAGTATAGCTCGCGCACAAATGTTACATGGAGCTCTACTGGTACAAGCATATCACGAACAAATTAGTTCAGAATGGTATCCGCAACATCTCCACTTTTCATTCACGACGAAATCCTGAACCCTCAGCCGTGCAGCATTTCCCTGGCAGGGAGAGTGCGTGGCTGCGCTGGCGTCTCTTGGTTGCAATCCCTGGGTGCTTGTTAAGGGATCAAATTTAAGTTGTTACCATAGTAAGCAAACCCGATTAATTATTTACCAAAGATCCCTATCATGGTAACTTAAAACAAACGCGTCAACAAGAAGTTGTTACCATAATAAGGAAATCCGATTATTTACCAAAGATCCCTAGCATGGTAACTTAAGATAAATGCCTTAACAAGAAGCCAGACAAAGCCGGTGGAGTCAAGGTTCAGGGTTGCTCTCGGCAGTTTAGGGTTTAGGGTTTTAGGGGTTTAGGGGTTTAGGGTTTAGGGTTTAGGGTTTTTGGGTTTAGGGGTTTAGGGTTTAGGGTTTAGGGTTTAGGGTTTTTGGGTTTAGGGGTTTAGGGTTTAGGGTTTTTGGGTTTAGGGTTTAACTTGGGGTTTTGGGGCTCCAAGTCCTCGACCATTACTTCCCTGGATTCCTACGTTTGCTAACCATTGATATTATGGGAGCTAAGGAGCCAGGGATGATGATAATCCCTATTAGATAAGGAGCTAAAGAGCCAAGGGAACCCCCAAAACCACCGGTTAGTTTGTGTCATGCAGGTTCAAGGTTCATTGAAGTATCTGGTTATCCAGAGCAAAGCTCTGCCCTTGCAAAGAGATTGTGTGATGGCCTGCACCATCGTCTTGCAGGGTTCTGAAATAATCAGCACACCGTCTCCGGCACCATTTACTGCTTGATTTGAACAATTGGGTTGAATGAGCCCCAATACTACTGTTGATGGACAAAATCCTGCATTACTCTTTATAAGGAATATACCATAGTTCCCATAGTTTAGAGTCCTTAGGGTCATGCAGGATTTCGTCCATCAAGAGTATTCTGGGGGGTCCTTATGTTCGTAGCTGAGTTTATAAACGTTAAACTTTTTGGGATACTGAAACCTTCTTAAAACTGAACGCCCAATACTACGGTTGATGTAGGGTCACTTTAAAGGGATCGACAAGGCTACCTTTAAGGGGCTCCTTTAAGGGATCTATAGGGTTTTAGGGTTTAGGGTTTAGGGTTGATGATAGAAATTTGCATTACCTTAAGGGCCCTAAACTATGGGGATTATGGTATATTCTTTATTATGGGTAATGCAGGATTTCTATCATCAGCCGTACTTTTTTTTGGAGGGGGGGGGGGTCCTTGTTGTAAGTAGGAATCAATGTAGGGATGTCTAGGGTTCCTTTCAAGGGGACCTATAAGGGTTTACAAGGTATCCATAGGGTTGTATTATAGTTATAGTGTATTGGGCCCCAAAACCCTATTCTAATTCTGAAGGCCCCAGGGTTCAGAATTGAAGTGTGAGGGCCTTAGGTTAGGATCTAGGTTCCGGTTCAGCGCATAATTGGCGAATGTAGGAACCTGATTAAGAAACCCTTGCCCTATAACCTCGAATTACTAGGGCGCATATAAGGAACCCTATTAAAGAAACAAGGTTTTCTTAATCGGGTTCCTACATTACAGAAACCTCATCGGAAGCCTTATAAAGGAACCCTTGTCAGACCACGGGAGGCTCAGGAAAGCCTTAGAATGACCTCCATCGAACCCTTAGTAAACGGACCCTTTAAAGGAACTCCGGAACCTAAGCCCTAAATGGTCCTAACAGGGACACAGAGAACCAAAACGCGGAAACCCTAAGCCACTTAACCCCTCGACCGTCAAGCCCTAAACTCTAAACCCCCCTAAACCCTAAACCCTAACCCCTAAACACCTAAACCCTAAACCCTAAACTCTCCCCTAAACCCCTAACTCCTAACCCCTAAACTCTAAACCTAAACAGAAAACCCGACGACTGAAACCTTAAACCTTAAACCTGATAAGGAGCCCTGCAAGGAATCCTTCTCTACTTGGAGGTTCAGGGGTACTTATACCTGGAGTTTTAAAAAAATTAAGGTAAGTACAAGAATAACTTCCCTAAACCCTAAACCTAAGCCCTAACCCATGAACCTGCACGTAGACAGCGCAGGAGCTCCGTGCACAGTCCCCAAAACCCTAAACCCCAACACCCCAAGATCCTAAACCCTAAAACCCCAAAGCCCTAAAACCGTAAACCCCCCAATAATACCAATACCCTCAACCCTTTGAGTCATACTGTTGATGGACACAATCCTGCATGACCTTCAGGACCCTAAACTATGGGGACTATGGTACATTCCTCATAACGGGTAATGCAGGATCTTGTCCATGAGCAGTAGGGACCCCTTTAAAGGAGCCCTACCGATCCTAAACCCCTAACCCTAAACCTAAATCCTACCCCTTTCAAGGAACCCTATAGATCCCTTTAAGGAACCCTAGGAATCCTTCTCCAGAAAGCCCAGGAGTTCGGTGCACTGGATCACCGGCCCGGAGGAGTCCCTGACGATGTGCCGGCAGCGCCAGGGCCCTAGTGAGTGGAAGAGCGGGCGAGTTCAGATTTCGGTTTTCTTTTGCAGGGCTTCGTGTAGGGTGTTCATAGCTCTTTTTGTAGAAGTTCATAGGGATTGTGTATAGAGTATTTAATATTAGTGGTTCTATAAGGTTCTTTGAGCATCCTTTAAGGGTTTAGGGTTTTGGGGCGTGCAGAAGGCTTGCAACTGTGGTTTGCGACTTGGGCCCGGCATGATTTTTCAAAGGGTTTCCATAAGAAGCTGCCCCCACCCTGTGATAGTGACTATGCAGATTATATTAGGGCCCCATTATATTCCCATTATACCACTTGTACAGGGTGGGGGCAGCTTCTAAGGGATATCTATGGACATGGGGATTAGGCTTCATACTTTATGTAGCGGCTCGTGGTTCAAGGAACTGCATAGTGATCTTATGAATCCATGTAGTGTCTACTGGGCTTAAAGGGGTTCCTTAATAGGCACTTAAGGACTTGAGGGCCTAAGTCTATTCTAAGGTTTCCAGAGTTTCGGTTCTGATGTCCAGCGGTTGAAGGCTCAGGAGGTCCAAGTTTACAGTCTTTTGGTTTGCCGGTTTAAGATTTCGAATTTAGGGCCCTAAACCCTAAACCCTAAACCCTAAACCCTAATTTAGGGCGTGAAGAATGAGTAGTACAATGTAGCGAAGCACCGCAACCCCTGTTCTGATTAAGGTGCCCATCTGAGGCCTTCAGAGTCGTTTGGTTTGTTTCGGGTTTGGGGCCAGTTTTTGGGGTTCTTGGTCGGAAGCTGCCCTTTAGGGCGATTTACGGTTTAGGGTTTAGGGGTTTAGGGTTTAGGGGTTTAGGGTTGGGTCAGCGGGTAGAATAGGTTTTCGGGGTGCATGATATCTTAGCCATGTAATTGGAGAGAGAGTATCAAGGGGAAGTCTTGACAAGTTGTTCTCATTGCTAGCACCGTGTATGCTGACAACCCTGCTATCCTTAAGCCGGTGATGACTACCCAAACCCTGAGTAATACGGTTGATGATATAAATCCTCCATGACGTTAAGGTCCCTAAACTATGGGAATTATGGTATATTCCTTATTATGGGTAATGCAGGATTTATATCATCAACCGTACGATCGTTGCCGGTCGTGTTGCTCTCACTGCCACTACTGCCGCCAAGAACTCTGAATGTTTAATCGCCCTAAAGAAGAAGAGACAGACCCAGAAAGCCAAATCAAGTTTTTATTCAGAGCCAACTTGAGCTATGTAGCTCTTCTTCTTGAGATTTCCGAAATGTTCCTTGATTAACGTGTAGTGGGTTCGCGGTTCAAGGCACAGGAGCCTACGTTGCTAATGCCCCTTGCGAAATGGGTCCAGGACCTAGAGTAGGCCCTTATGCCCTTTTTCAGGGTTCAGGTTTCCTTAAAAGCACCTTTAAACCAAAAAGGGTGCCCTTTTTATTCCTAGGTTACTCTTGGGTCTAGGGGTATAAGTGCTTAAGTACAGACAAGGGTTACGTAGGCCGGCCGGAGTGCTCCGCTCCACCATGCAAGCATTTAAAGCGCATCCGACCCCAGAAGTATTCAACTGCGCAAACACGAGGGCACACCATGCCGACCTCAACGAGCTACAGCTACTATGGTAGATCGCATGATGTTCTGTCAGAGTGTTTGGTGTTCTCGTCTTCTGCACAATGCTTTTGGGCTGCTGAGTGTTTTCCCTGTGTAGGCACCACACCCTGAGTCCGAAAACAAGCGTTTCCGCAAGCGAATGACTATCCGCTTAAGCGTAGTTTTCATTAACATGACACCACTACTGCTGACACTGCCCACTGCCGCTGGCGTCGCTGCTGCTGCTATATGGGAGTTTCCGAAAATGGGGACCCTAATTTTTGTACCCTAAGTAGTAGGATCCTTATTATAAGGACCCCAAAATAAGGTATCCCATATCTACTACCTGCTATACTGGCCCCTGCCCCGAACCATTGTGCGAAATCCACAGCACCTAAATTCAGAAATCCCCAAGCCTTAATCCCGAAACCTGAATGTCTCAAACCCCAGCCCGAGACCCCTAAGCTTGAGTGACTAACACCCTGAACCCGAAATCATTCCTAAACCCCAGGCCTTGAACCCGACATCAACAAAGTAGCGCCACACGAGCCCAGCAGCAAACCCTAAACTCTGAACCGGAATCCCTGGGATAAAGGTGACTAGTGCTGGGATTCCACATCTTTGCCCTACAGCCAACGAGGATGATCATGTTGCATTTTACTGATGTCTACTCAAAACCCCAAACTTTCAAGCCTAAACCTTGAATTTGGAGGCAGGCTCAGGACCTGCAAAGTTTGCTTCGTGGAGAAAGAGCCATTGCACTTAAAAAACAAGCCTTGAATCTGAAACGTTGTCGAGGGCTTCTGGCGCCTAGCGGCCGCACCCGGTCCTTTGATGCCTCAGCTGACGGCTTCCTACCGGGTGAAGGCCAGCAGTTCTTAAAGCTGGGCTCAAGAAGAAACGACATTTGTAGAACCCCTATAACGCCATAATGGGCCAAACTGTTGATGGACAAAATCCTGCATGACCTTCAGGACTCTAAACTATGGGAACTATGGTATATTCCTTATAATGGGTGATGCAGGATTTTGTCCATCAACAGTAGTACAACCCTTTTATAACCCTTACGGAGGGACTTTATGGAACGCTTATAGGACCCTTAGAAGAACACCCACAAGGAGCCTTACTCCTTCGTTCTGACAAATCGGTGGCTTCGGGCTTACTACTACTAGTCTTCTGGGTAGTATATGTGACGATCGTAAAGCTTTATGTGAGTATTATCAGTACTACTTGCCTTCTATGGATTTAATGGGTTATGTAAGACTTTGAGCTACATGAGGTTCTTGTTTGCTTTCATGAGCTCTTGCACAGGGAGTATAAGGATTTATTTGGGGTTGCGGTTGCAGAAGGCTAGAACTGGGCTTCTACTTGGAGAATCATGTAGGTAAGGTTATAAGTACCCTAAGTTGGCTTATAAGTAATTATAAGCATAGTTACCTTGTTTATAAGCCTAGTTACTAAGTCCCATGATCCTTTAAGTACCGGGTTCAGGACGATAGGTCCTCCCCTTGAAAAAAAACAAGCCCTAGAAAACCATGGAACCCTTATCAACATTCTGGAAAGCACCATAAAAAAAGAAAAACGCTGTAAAGTTCCTATTAAAGCACCCTTTAGAGAAACTCTAAACCCAAAACCCAAAACCCCAAACCCTAAACCGTTATACAATCCCACCAAAACTCCTCCAGACTCCTCCTGAGGCTTTACACCCAGAGACTCCGAAACCCCTTTAATTGAGGAACAGTATCCTAAATTGTAGTAGGATGCGCAATAGGATTTAAGGAATACTCCTTAATCAAGGGATATGGGAGTCTCTGGGCAGATAGTGGGCCCGAAGCCCTAGACCATTCTAGAATCCCTATAGATCCCTTGAAAAGGAGCCCTTCAAGGAGCCGCTGTATCAACTCCTCATTATGCTTTACAAATCGATAAAAGCCCTCAACCCTAAACCCTACTTGGAGGGGCTACCCTAAGTGGAGTTACCCGAATTATAACCCTACTTATAAAACGACTTACTAAGTCCGCTGCTTCTCCAAGTAAACCCTAAACCCTAAACCCTTGGAGGTGCGGTGGTTTGTCTGTTGGGCAGTCCGTCGGGGACGAGCGCTGGAGGAGATCGAGGTTCCATCGAGCCCTGGGAAGCAGCTTGAGTATTCTCTGTTTTTTTTGTGTGAGGTTGGGGTTTAGGGCTTTTGGGTGTTCGGAGTTTAGGGTTTTCGGGAGTTTAGAGTTTCTGATTTTTGGAGTTCAGGGTTTGGGTGTTTTTGGGAGGTCAGGGTTAAGGGTTTTGATTTAATCGTAGGCCTGTATATTCCCTGTATCATTGCACCTTGATATGCTAAGTGTGAAGGCTTGAGAGCTAGAGTTTAGGTTGGGGGTTGGGGGTTGAATGTTTCCTAAAGGGTCATGACGGTCATGGGACTTATTGTAACCAGGGAGGGTGAGAAATACGTCTTCTCTACTTTTAGTTACTTTTAACCCCAAGTAAGGTCTTTATATGCCGTTTTGCTATTTGTTTCATTACAGCTTTCTAGCCAAGCCCGCCAACAGTAACATTTTGCTAGAGTGCTTTTGCCGGGGTTGCTGGTTTTCGGTCACTCCAACCGCTTCGACCCCGCGGCAGGTTTCATCCCCATCTGCCCTGCAAGTGTCGTGTCTCGTTGTATGTGCGTCCTGCTTTCAATTTTCTTTTTCCACGCCGGGTTTAAGCAGGTCACCAGATCGCCAGTCGGCAGTTCGCATGACAAGAGTTCAGTGACAGTGAGTTCATGAACGCACTGTGCAGATCGAGCTGGATAACGGCCGCATCTGCAACCGGGATGGGTGGGCAGGGCTGAGCAATGATGAGTTCCGGAGCAGATTGCTCAGTGCCCAGACAACTGCAATGGATGGTCAGGGTGAATCCAGGAGCCTCCTAGCCTGTGCGAACGACTAACAAGGTGAAATCAAGAGCCTCCTAGCCTGCGCACTAACACCATTAACAAGGTGAACCCAGGAGCCTCCTGCCTGTGCAAACCACTAACAAGGTAAATCCAGAAGCCTCCTGACCACTGCAGACCACTAAAAAGGTGAATCCAGGAGCCTCCTCGCTTGTGCGGACCATGCACAAAGTGAACCCAGGAGCCTCCTAGCCTCTGCGGATCACTAACAAGGTGAATCTAGGAGTTTCCTAAACTGTGCGGTCCACAAGGCGAATCCAGCAGCCTCCTCGCCTTTGTGGGGCTGCCAAGGTGAATCCAAAAGCCTTCTAGCCCATGCTGACAACTGACAGGGCAAATCCAAGAAAGTGAGCCCAGGAGGGTGATACCAACGGTCCGGGCTGTTGGGAAGACTCACGAACTTGCATACCTGTAAACTTGCCGATGCATGCACGGGACGTCCGTGTCATTCCATCTGTGCGATCTCTGTTCGACGGCTCAGGTAGCCGGACTGAAGCACTTCACGCGTGAAACGCTGCGTGCGCTATGGGAAACTGACGTAGGCATCGTCTAATCGGCAAGTATTGTCCCTCAGTGTTGGGCAGCTGCCACGGCACAGGTTTAGTGTGCTGGATCAAGCCTTAACCAGGACACGCATACTTGCAAGGTTTGGTTCGGCGAAGGAGTGTGTTCCTGCTGGGACGTACTCGCTGGGAGCTATGCTGATAGCTGGAGTCCATAAGGTGATATCACCGCCTGCGGCGCAGTTACACATGCGAGGGACGTCTCACCTAAACTGAAGAGGGCTGAGTGCATACCATTCTGCCTGTCGTCCAGGCGTGGGGCAGCATCCGTTTCGGTTGCTGGGCCGAAAGGAGTACATCCTCGCTCAACCGCATTGTCCTGACATGTGCGAGGCGACGAACTCTGAGTGCTGTTACGATTCGCGTGACGTGTCGGCTCGGTCCTGGTCTCTGCTCTGTCGGACTCCATTAGCTCAAAAAGTTTGCAGGCAGCGAAGCTTGGAGCCCTCAGCTTCGCTTGCCTTGACTGGGCACTGTGCAGACCACTGGCAAAGTGAATCCAGCAACCTCCTAATTAGCCACTAACGAGTGGATCGAGGAACTTCCTTTCCTGTTCAGACCGCTAACAAGGAAGGTGAGTCCAGCCTTTGTGGACCACTGACACGGTGAATCCAGCAATCTCCTAAGTGCCCAAATGTAGCTGCCTGCTTCGAGCTGGACCCCACCTTGTTAGCGGTCCGCGCAGGCTGGATTCACCTTGTTGGTGGTCTGCACAGGCTAGGGAGCTCCTGGACTCGCCCTGTTAGTTCTCCCCACAAGCAAGACGGCTGCTGGATTCACATTGCAGTTCTCAGACAGAGACAAACCGCCCACTCTACATAAAAAAGCTCGCCTCTCGCAGCAGCCAGGCCCGATGATGTCTTAGTCCCTTAGTTCTGTCTGAGCGAACAACCGGAAGCATCGCAAGCACTAGTTCTGAGCAAGCCACGCATCCCGCCGAGCCGACCTCCACGCAGTCTTGGGACGGTTTGCGCCTCGGTGCTCTGCCCGTTATCATACCACGCGAGCTCTCACGTCAGGCATGGGGGCAGCCACCTCGAGAACGGACGTCGGACAACCTTTCCGGGCCGTGCCTGAGTGATACAGCAGTCCCAGTTTCTCCAGAACTCTCGCTAGTGTTGTGTCCGTGTTTGTTTTCGGAGGCCAGAGAATCCATATCTTCACCATCGCACAGGCTGTATACCACGCCTTGAGCAATTCTTTCCAGCACTGCAAGAATCAAGACGGTTAAAGAGTTGAAGATGTGCTATGCAAGATTTGTCGTGTTACTATTCCTCTTTCAACCCTGCTAGAACAAAGACATGAGTCGAGATTCGCACATCAGCAACCACGTGTTCCAAGCTAGCAGATCCTGTGAAAGCTTGGTGAACCATGAGCCTGGTCCTTGGCACTTGCTGTTTTCACCGTGTTGAGAAGCTTTGGAGTTGATAGAGGTTTAGATGTTGGGATTAGGGTGGAAAGGTTCACACTTTGAGCATTCAATCGAAGCGTCGACAGCACAGCTCGAAGCCTTTGCCTGCGCTTGCCTTGAAGTTTCACATGTGCAGCAGATCCAAGCCTGCGACTCAACATGTTTGCGCAGCAGATCCAAGCCTTTGACAGTTCGCCTTTGTTGCTTTTGCGGACAGCTTTCGCATGTGCAGCAGATCCGAGGGTAACAGCTTTTGCAGAGCTCTGCTTTTGCAGCTCGCGCAGCACCTCGAAGCCTGACATCGTGCAGCAGATCCAAGCTTCTGAGGTTGTGGCCTGGCTTTCGCATGTGCAGCAGATTTGAGCCTGTTGCAGAGCCTTGCAGAGCCTTGCAGCAGATCCAAGCTTCCGACATGATAGTTTTGATGCAGATTGCTGTCTAGCTTGACGGGGTTCGCATGTGAAGTGTTGCAGGGTTTGTGCAGCAGATCCAAGTCTTTGATTGCTGTTGCAGCAAATCCAAGCCTCTCACCTGCCGGCCACACCTGATCTTTTCTCGACTCGGCGTGCTTGCTTGTGATGTATTTGTTGTCCACGAGGTTAGACGCGCAGTGGTACTGGCGATGGGGCGAGAGGTGGTACACCTACACGGGCGCTTGCCTGGCTAACTTAACCGCGTATCACTGCTGTGCTGTTACTTGCACACAATGACAACCCAGTGCAGTCAGGTACAACACTGCTGCCGCATCGTTCCAGGATGGGTCGCTTACGACCTCACCACGGGTTGGACCGACGATCACGCTGGGGCCTCCAGTGGAACCAATCGCCAGTCTGGGCGAAGGCCATGCGCCATATCACCACATGCAACTCAAACTGTAACCTTCCTTACTAAGTCCAAGGATCCTCCAAGTAGAGGTATTTAGGGTTTGAGGGATTTGGGGGTCTGTAGGGTTTGCGAGGATTTTGGAGTTTTGGGTTTTCGGTTGTTGCGGGATGGATGAAAGGTGGGGTTGTCTAGGGTTTGGGGTTTCCACTGTTAGCAAGATTTAGGCTTCTGGGTCTAGGATTTGGGGCGCAGGGTTTGAGGAATTTCGGCGTTAGGGGTTGAGGGTGTTTTGAAGTTTGGGGTTTGGGATTATACAGGAGTTGAGGCCTCAACCTTCAACCCTGAACAAACAACTTCCAAACCCTGAACCCTGAACCCTAAACCCTAAACCTTCAACCCGATAAAAGGCCCTAAGCCCTGAGCACCCTAAGCCCTACACCCTGAACCTTGCCCGTAAAACCCTTAGATCCCTTAAAGAACCCTTATGGATCCCTTTACACGAACCCCAAACCCCTGAGCCCTAAACCTGAAATCCTAAGCCGCTAAACCGCGACATCCAGAAACGCGCTGAGGTGGGAGTCGGCTCGAAATTCTCGGGCAGCCTGGCAAAGGAGATGCCGGCAAGGGCTTAGCTTCATCATTATACATTGTAGGAGCTTTTTGATATAACGGTGCTGGGGTTTTGTGCTTCCTTTCGGGTTTTGGGGTGAGGGTTGGGAGTTTATATAGATTTCGGGCAAGTTTAGGGATTAGCGTTTCAGCGGCACAGGATACTCGGGATCCTTCGCAAACGTCAGCAAGTACTGGCTGTGGAGAACTAGGGATGCCCCCTATACCCCCTCCCTATACGTATACGGATCCAAAAAGGATCATGGGACTCTTAGTACGTCGGGTCCTAATACTTTAATTGGGGTTATACATAACTACACGTATAGTTTCCTGAAGCATGATCCTAGTTACTCAGTATTTGACCCCCAAGCCCCGCACCCTGAAGTCCCACAGTCAGGGTTCTTGGGGTCTGGGTTTACCCCAAACTCCGAACCTTAAACCCGAGCCCGAAACACGAAACCTAAACCCCTATACCCGAAACTACTACACGCGCCCTTATGATTACCTATACTATTGGGTGTTTCTTATAAGAAACCTAATATAATGGGCCCCAAAACCCGATTCTAATTGCAGGTAGTATCCCTTGGAGGAACCCTCACCATTAAACCCCAAACCCGAAACTAAACTCGTACCTCCCCAGCCAAGGTAAAGCCGCGAGTCTCAAGGCCCCCCACGCTCCAAGCGTCAGCGTGACTTGGCTGTGGCCTTCGTTTGTTCTGGCAGCAACGATCATGGTGGCGATCTTACAAAACTTTTGCTGGTGTTGATGATGATGACGGTGGTGGTGGTGGTGGTGGTCGGGATTTCAGAATGATGCTGTCAGTGATGATGGTGATGACCACAATGATGGTCAAGGCGGTGATAACTGAAGATGTTTTTCGTTCTGGCGTTTTTGGTGGCTGCCCCTTCTGCAACTTTTGGTTAGTTGGGCTGTTCAAAGCTTGCAGAGGGTTCCAGGGTATGCTTCGTGGTGGAGGAACCCATCGATACCAGTAGCACCGGCACATTAAAAAGGAGAAATCAGCGTTGGCACACATCAACCTCACTAAAACCATGGTCATCAGCACCACCCCAACATGTTTACCATCATGCATCATTCTCATCATCTGTGAAGATGCATATTATTCCCTAAACCCTAAACCCCAACCCCAAAACCCTAAACTCCTAAGCCCTAAACCCCTAAACCCCTAAACCCCAAACCCCTAAACACCTAAACCCTAAACCCCTAAATCCCCTCAGCCTCCGTGAAGATGCATATGATCGTCGAATCCATGCGACGCTCACCGGGTTTCGTTTGGGATGCCAAGGCTCAGCGCCCGGGCCTCCGAAGCCAGGGTTTCCATAGGATCACGGGACTTTGTAAGCAAGGTTATACCTTAAAGGGATCCTTTAAAGGGAAGTGCAAGGGTTCTATAAAGGAGGATCATGGGACTTAGTAAATAGGGCCATTGATTGCGGGGTAGAAGTAATCCTCAGTATAGTTGCCCCGGAAAAAAACCTGCGTAACTGAGTCCCTGGATCCTTCAAGTACATCCTAAAACCCCTAAACCCTAATGAATCCGGTATAGAACCCTTATGGACAACTTTCAAGGAGCCTTCAAGTAGGTGGAGAGTTTGTGAACTCTTGGGCCGTCAGGTTCCATATGGGTGGTTGTCAAAATTATGTTCCCTTTTTGGGTCCCTAACATAATACGGCACCTAATATTTGGGGCACCCAAAAAGGGGCCCTGATTTTGACAACTACATATGTGCAACGGGCTTTCGGGCCAAGTGGACGTGCAGGTGCAGAAGACGGCTTGGAGTTTGGGGTTTAGGGTTTAGAGTTTAGGGGTTCAGGGTTTAAGGGTTTAGGGTTTTAGGGTTTTACGATTTAGGTGTTCAGGGGTTTAGGCTTTTAGGGTTTAGGGGTTTAGGGGTTTAAGGGCTTAGGGTTTAGCAGATGCCTTTTTTCCAAGGAGGTGCTGGCGAAGGCGCGGCCGCGAATCTACCGGTTCCAGGATTTCGCGTAAGGAAGCCCTAAACCCAAAACCCGCATTTGGGGTTTATTGTTTAGCAGTAATCCCTAAACCTTCTAAACCCTAAACCCCTCAACACTAAACCCTAAACCCTACCACAAGCCGGCCCAAGCCCACGTCCTGAACCCTGTTGCTCCGAGGTGAGGGTTTAGGGTTTAGGGTAGCGTGCAGGGTTTAGGGGCTGGGGGAAGGGTTTAGGATTTTGGGAAGGTTTAAGGCTTTGATGTTTACGGTTGATGGTTTAGGAGTGGACCGGAATCCGCGCATGCCCGGTACATCTGACCCCATGTGCACTATGCACACACTACCTAACTAAACCTGCAAATCTTCAGATACAAAGAAGCTTCAAACTGCAAGCCCCTTCACATCCTGAATTCCGACCCTTGCAAGACCCCGAGACCTTTAACCGCGACCCAAATCCTCTCACCACAGATTTGGGGGTATAAGCACCTAGTAATCCTAGTCCCCAACACGTAACGCACAGCTCTGTTGTAATTCGCAATGACCTTACATGAACAACAAACCCGAAACCCGAAACCCTGAACCCTAACCCCTGAACCCTAAACCATGAGCTCTTCAAAAAAAACCCTGAACTCTTCAAAAAATGCTTGAACTCTAAACCCTAACCCTGAATTCTAACCCGGATCCTCTCCATGCCTGGACTCGAAAAATCTCTTCATGAAGGAACACACCTTCAGACATCTTAGGGTTCCTGTTGTCATTTAAGGGATATTGCTTAAATCCAAACACCAAATGACCCTCAAAAACAAGGGCCAGGGCCGTAAAAACCTCAACACTATATGGATCCTTATATGGTATTTGAACCTGAAAAACCTAAACCCTAAAGGGAACTCGCAGGCGGCCCGAGACGGTGCGTTGCCCCTGGCTACGTTGGACGCTGTGGAAGCCTCGGCTGGTGGTCAAGCGCCACCGGGTCGCAGAAGACTTGTGGGGTTTGAGGTTTAGGGTTCCTGTAAACGGATCTATAAGGGTGCTACAAGGGATTTAAGGGTTTTTTTGGGGGTTCAGGGTTTGGGGTTTAGGCTGTCTAGTGGGTTTTGGGGGTTTAGGGGGGTTTAGGGGGTTTGGGGTTTTCGGTCGAGGGTTAGACGTTTTCTCCTTGGCTTCCAGGGATAGCGTCTAAATTCATAAATCCCACGTCTACGGGGCTTAAGGTTCAGGGTCCTGCTGCTTTTCATCGGGTTCGGACCCAAATCATCTAGCAAGCGCAAGGTATAGGTTTTTAAGGTTTAGGGCTTAAGGTTTCAGTGTTTAAAGGTTTGAGGGGTTTTTAGGGTCTTGGGTTAGGGTGACGTTTTTGCGCCTAGGGCTTCAGACTGTCGACCCTAAAACCCTCTGACACCCGATTACACCCAGAAGATCCAACAAAACCCTTTGAAGCCTGTCAGCAAATCGAATACCCAAACCCTCAGCCCTCGGCCCACCCACAAAGCCCTGTAAACCCCAAACCCTCAGCCTTGAGACACCCTAATCCTACTGTTGATGGACAAAATCCTGCATTACCCAGTACAAGGAATATACCATAGTTCCCATAGTTTAGAGTTCTTAGGGTCATGCAGGATTTTGTCCATCAACAGTATGACACCCCACAAAGTCTTGAGAACTAACCGATTCAAAACCCACAAAGCCCTCCACACCCCAAGCCCTGAGCTCAGCAAAACCCCAAACTCTAATCCTAAACCCCAAACCCTAAACCCCAAACCTTACACCCTAAACCCCAAACCCTAAACCCTAAACCCCAAACCCTAGTTTTAAACCCCAAGTCAGTCCTAAACCCTAAACCCTCATAGATCCCTTTAAAGGAACCCTGAATACCTGCCCAGGAGCAGCGACGCGGAAGAGCTCGCGCTGCTGAGACGAGCCCTGCGCCACCGCGACGCCAGCCGTCCTGTTGCCGCTCTGCCGGGTTTAAGGCTTTGGGGTTTACGGTTGAGGGTTTTTAGGAGTTAGGGCTTAAGGCGTAGGGGTTCATGATTGAGGTTTTGTGGTTCAGGGTTCATTGTTTCAGGTTTTTGGGTCTTGAGGGGGAGGGGCGCTAGGTTCAGGATTTCTGGGTTGAGGGTCGAGGGCTTTGGCACGCTGAAGTCGTGAGCTGCGTCCTCCTGGCGTGTGGGAGGCTCGCGTCGGCATCGCCATTACAGCGCCCGCAGTACGGCACCTTCGCCGCCCTTCCTTCGAGAGCTGCCTTCGCTTGCCCATCTTCATTTTGGCGAAGATGCTGTTCGATGCCCCGGCACCCATGCCGAGAGTGCTCTCCAGTGACGAGGAGGTGGTAGTGCGACACCAGAGACTCAAAAGAGGGATGATCAAGTGGGCAACTGCAGCAGAAGTGGAAGCGGATGTTGCGGTGCCAAGCTTGGTGCCGCCTTCATCAACTTCTTTCTGGAGCATCGCGCATCCTGAGACTGGTTGGTGCAGAATCTGAGAACATCCGCGAACGGTACCTTCGTATCAGAGGGCTGTTGATAGTGGGTGAGGTTTTGGGGAGAGGTTTGTGTGATCTTTGGGTGGGTCTTCGCACACGATCTCATGTGTCATTGTAACTCAAGTTTGCAACGCTGGTAGCTTTCATGTCGCGCTGATCCCTAAGTCTTACGGGCGGGTTGAGGCTTAGGGGCTACTCTGTGTCAGGTCTCTAGCACGTAATCCTGTTGAGTTCGATTCCCAACAGTGACATGGCAGGAAACAAGCTGCTTAAACGCCAACTAAACCCTAAACTCTACACCCTAAAGCAACAACTTTAAACTCCAAACCCTCAACCTTGAACCCGCAAACCCCAAATCCCAAAACCATCCTAGGCCCTAAACCCGAAATCGCAAAGCCGTACTCTTGTGTACACGATCCACAACCCGACCCCCATACCCTCTATCCCCAAGCCACATACAGTACTCCGAAAGCTCACCACCAGATATCCATGGTTCTTTCAAGGGATCATAAGGGATCTATAGCGGGTTCCTTTAAGGGGATCTTGTTCCTGTACCTTAGCTGGTTCCTTTTAAAGAAAACCTAAACCCTCACACCCGGAGACTTGACAGTCCTTGGATCGTGTGCATAATATAGTCTCCGGCTCCATGAGGGGCCGTCGGGAGCAACCCCAAACCTCTAGCGCTTAGCCCCAAACCCGAAAGCCTTAAATCCCCAAACCCTACACCCCTGAACCTAGACTAGTCCCAATTACAGGATCCCCCATAGATCCCTCTAAAGGAACCCTCCCCCACTCCAAATCCAGGTCGTATCCTGCATCAAGGCCGGTGATATGCTGGAGATTAGGGTTCCTTCTAACGTCGGGTTGAGGCCAATACTTGGAGGTTCAGGGGTAGTTATAAGTGGGGTTATAAGTACGGTAGCTATAATGATAGCCCATGTTAGGGGACTTGTAACTACACTTATAACTACCCATGAACCTCCAAGTACCCCCGAAACCCTAAACCCCAGAATCCTTAGAGCCCTTGGGTATCACGGTTTAGGCTTCCTAAACTTTAAGGTTGAGATGTGCCAGAGCTTCTACAGGGTTTAGAGTTTAGGGTTTAGGATTTAGGGGTTTAGGGCCTGCCGGTTAAGGTTTAGAGAGATCCTTTACTTTGGGGCTTAGGGTTTGGGGTCTAAAAGGATTTGGGGACTGAGTAAATAAGGTTATACCTGCAAAGAAGTACAAGGGTTGTTTAAAGGGGGTATGGGACTTGGTAAGAAGCACTGTAAATCGGTTATAAGTACTTATAAATATGGTCACCTTATTTGTAGCTGTAGTTTCTAAGTCCCATGATCCTTTAAGTACCCTAAACCCCCACTATAGAACCCTTATAGTAATCCTGATAGATCCCTTATAGTAATCCTTATAGTAGTTTGACCCTAAACCCGAAATCCTAAGACAAAGGATTGTCAGAACCCTAGTCTACCGATGGAACCCGCTTTGAACTCCTTACAGAATCTTTTTGAGCTATCTGCTAATTGTTCGAACCCCGACATCACATCAATCCGCACCCCTGAACCCCAACCCTAAACCCTAAATGGTATACCCTAATCCCCAAACCCAAACCGTAAACCCCAAACCCAAACCCTAAACCGTAAACCCTAAAACCACAGAAGCGCCACCAAAAACCCTTGTAGATGCTTTAGATAGCCAAACCCCAAGCCCAATATGACCCGAGACTTACTAGTATAATGTACCCCCAAACTCTATTTAATTCCTAAGGCCCCTACATTATAGTACGCTTGTAGATCCCTTGTAGAAACCTCCTAAACCCTAAGCCCCAAAAACCGTTATAGATCCCTTATAGAACCCTGAATCCTAAACCCCTATAGAACCCTAAACCCTGAACTCTTATAGATCACTTGAAAGATACCTTCAAGAACCCTGAACCCTTTAAGGAACCCCTTAAGGATCCCTTTCAGGAACCCTTTAAAGAACCTTCAATACTTCCTTTGAGGAACCCTTGAAGGAGCCCTTTCAGGAACCCTTTAAGGAACCCTTTAAGGATCCCTTTAAGGAGCCCTTTAAGGAACCCTTTAAGGAGCCCTGATCTCACCCGAGACAGGCCTCCTTCGGCAACGCTGGGGTTGCCGGGGGTCTCCTGGGAATCGCGCGGAATCTGATCTTGCTGGTGCCCTGGGCGTAGGGTTCCTTTAAAGGGATCTATGAAGGGATCTATAGGGGTTTCTTTACCGGAGGGTTTAGGTTTCGGATTTAGGGTTTGGGATTTAGGGTTCGGGGATTTAGGGTTCAGGGTTTGGGGTTTAGGGTTTAGGGCTGGCGCCCTGGGCTTAGGGTTCCTTCAGAGGGATCCTTTAAGGGCTCCTTTAAAGGGATCTATGGGTCTCCTTTAGTTGGATCCATTATAGGGTTTCGGGGTGTGGGGCTTGGGGATTTAGGGCTTTCGCGGTTTAGTGCCTGATCTTGCTTGTGCTCTGACTGACGGATTAGGGCTGAAGGGCTTTGGGTTCCTTTTAAAGGGATCTACAGGAGTTCCGTTACGGGGATTTATTATGGGGTTTCAGGGTTTCGGGTTTTGGGGTTTTGGGTTTAGGGCTTCGGCTCAAAACGGGCTCTATCAGTATGAGGGGTTAGCGCGTTTCGGGATTTGGCATGAATGGTTTCTAGGGCTTGAGGTTTGCAATTTGGGGTTGTGGGTGTAAAGTGCAGGGTCTACTTAGACCCCCCAACTACCCTCTAATGTACTTCAAATAGCCACTATCAAGTGGCTACTTATCAAGCTGGGTCTCTGCGGGTGCTTGCCAGTCTGCAGAATCAATGGCATGCGTGCATGGAAGCATACCTTACCAAAAACGACTGCGCCCTGTGGAAAGCATCCGGCGCAGCAGAACTCGACCGATGCCCGGCGTGGACACTGACCGGGACACCTGGTGAAAAGCGGAAGATAATGCCTCAAGCTGCTTCACGCTGTGTCACAGAGGTGCCGCGAGTATGCCACGAAGATCCTCGCGAGCCTGCTGAACCTTGGATTGGTGGATCAGGCAGAGCTTGGTGAGAGGATGACAAAAGTGCATCAGAGCCCAGATGAGTGCGGGCTCTTCCTGTTGGCATCCCTTGAGAGAGAGGATGCTGCTGCCATGGGCTACGGCCCAGCTGCAACTCCTGGTAAGGAGGTTTAGGTTTAGGTTGTGGCATATCCGGCTCCGGGGTGCTAGGCTGTGCAGACTTGGATTCGCTTCTTTCTGGATTTCGCGGAACACTATAGGAGCTTGAAAGGTTTAGGGTTTAGGGTGTTGCTGATATGAATTTCTGCAACTATAGTTGACGATATCCCCAAACCTGGGTTTGAGTTCTTAAGAACCCTCTATTCTAAAGCTTTCCTCTGAGCCGACTCGTGAGATATCGTCGTCGTCGGTGTGACGGCAGTGGCGAAGGAGGCAGTAGGAGCAGCAGTAGGAACCTTGACTATCCTTGATAGCATGACGTCTTTTTTATACCATATACGCTATCGTTGGTGTGTTTGTACTAGTACCACTAAGTTGTGGTAGTAGGAAAACGTTCCGCCACCGCGGCGGTGCCAGGCAGTAGCGCTAAGAATGTGGGTTGCTGCTGGCCGTAATCGCAGTAGCCGTTGTATGCATCATCACCAGATTCGCCGTCGTCGTCATAGCTCTCCGCATCGCCGGAAGCCTTCGCAACTCACAGTGCCCATGGCCGTCAACAATCACCAGTACCACAATGATGATGATGTTGTTGAAGCTGACCATCATCGTCATCATCGCTATCGTCTTTCTTCGTTTTCAGATCCCCAGTCAATCCCAAAGAGCTCTCCCAATCAACAGGTAAGTATGTGTGTATGTTTGTACACATGCAGGTACTAATGTGAGTAAACATGTAATCCTTGACGAAAGTTCCTGAGTAGCAAGCTAAACGTCAGAATCCGATGTCCTTAAACCTTGTGTGAGCCGTAGAAGGATCCCTTCACATAACCTCTAAGAACGCTTCTCAACCCAGTGAGAGAGGCCTCGTTGCAGCTTTTCTGAACCTTTCTATATAGAGCCAGTCTTATTGAACCCTACACCCGAAACCCTTCACGCCAAATCCCAAAACCTTATGGAACTAGTATGGAACTCTCAACACCGAACCTCCCTAACCCTTAACCCTTAACCCTGAGCCCGAACCCTAAACCCTGGACACTAAACCCTAAACCCCAAGCCATCTTCGAGCCATTACAAAGCCCTCCCGAAGGGCCGTGGCCTTCATGGGCCCCAGCTGCACCTGCACACGCTGGCCCTCGAGCCGCCCGAAGACGAAACTGGCACGCGGAGGCCGGGGCTTTAAGGGATCTCTCAGGAGTACTATCAGGGTGCGACAGTTGGGGTTTAGGGTCAGACTACTATAAGGATTACTATACGGGATCAATCAGGATTACTATAAGGGTCCGAAAACTGGGGTTTAGGGTAGTTAAAGGATCATGGAACGCAGTCGCCAGGGTCATGAAGCTGGTAGCTATACTTATGACGCGGACCAGGGGCCTGTGTTTCATCTTGGGGCCTTAGAACTTCTATAAGGAAGTAAGAGGATTCTTTGAAGGGTTCCTTTAAGGGTTCTATGAGAAGTTTACTTGGAGGGGCAGGGGACTTAGTAAGTAGGATATAAGTAGAGTTATAAGTACCCTAAATGGAGTTACCCCGATTATAAATAACCCTACTTATAAACGACTTACTAAGTCCCCTGCCCCTCCAAGTAGGCTTTGGGGGGTTAGGGTATCAGGGGTTTTGTGGTCTTAGCAACTCTGTCATATGTAGAACGAACAAGGCGCCTTTCAGGGCTTAAAAACCTAATGACTAGAATAGCGTCTTGGGGTGTTTGGGAGTTTCCGAAAATGAGGGACCCGAACCTAAATAGTGAGGTTTATGGTTTAGGAATCTAGCGTCTAGACTTTAGGGTTTAGGCTTGAGGGTTTCGGGCTGAGGGTGTCCGGGTATTGCTTGGAGGGGCAGGGGACTTAGTAAGTCGTTTATAAGTAGGGTTATAATTGGGGTAACTCCGTTTCGGGTACTTATAACTCTACTGATTATATCCTGCTTACTGAGTCCCCTGCCCATCCAAGTAGGGTCTGGGGGTATTTGAGTGTACTCCAGAATCAGTCTGAAGGAGCACTGGGGACTCATATTGCTCGGTATCCCGGCTTCTATGTTTGGGGCTTGAATCCTATTCATCTTTTGTTGGGACTCAGGGTTTCATGATACAAAACGGGACTGTGTGGAAATGCACAGGGTCCGAATGCGAATCGGACGAGACTGGAATTGTTGTGACTTAAGCAAACTCTTTCACTATCTCTCTCTCTCTCTCTCTTTCTCTCTCTCTCCCTCCCATTTTTCGATCGCCTGACTAACACGCACGCGAGATTCTGTTTTCCCGATGTCTAGAAAGACGCCCCGCTCGGTAAAACAAGGCCCAAAAACATGGGGCTCAGAACATAGGGTCCTAGACCCTAAGCCCTAGGACCCTAAGCCCCAGAACCCAAAACCTGAACCCTAAACCCTAAATCCGAAACCCTGGAACCCTACACGCTAAGCCCCCAGCCTCAACCCTCAAGTCTAAGCCCCTTACGTTAATAAAGTCCCCATTGGAGGATCACGGGACATAGAAAGTAAGGTTATAAGTACCTTAAGTAATTCTAGGTATAGCTACCCCGTTACCCTAATTAAAACCCTGGTTACCTTTAAGCACGACCTCATCCTCACAGGAGTCTCCATATTCCAACGGAAGCGCTGGCAGGCACGGTCGTTCACCTAGGATGGGCAAAGGGGGGAGTGGCACTGGAAAAAGTAGTAGTAGGAGCAGCAGTAGTAGTGGTAGTGGTAGTGGTAGTGGTAGTGGTAGTGGTAGTGGTAGTGGTAGTGGTAGTGGTAGTGGTAGTGGTAGTGGTAGTGGTAGTGGTAGTAGAGAGTAGTAGTAGTAGCAGTAGCAGTAGTAACAGCGACTTTAATACCTGTTAGGGCCTAAACCCTAAACCCCGAACCCTACACCGTTAGGGATTCGGGTCGCAGGGATCAATTGATGGTTTCATTTCGGGGTTTAGGGCTGACGTACTGAACCGCGACAAGCAGGCCCTAAGTAGCAGGATCCTACGGTTGATGATATAAATCCTGCATTACCCATAATAAGGAATTGGATAGACCATAATTCCCATAGTTCAGGGCCATTAAGGTAGTGCAGGATTTATATCATCAACCGTAGTTATACAGACCCCTCAGGATCGAGTTCACCCGCTGCGTTGTTGCTTTTGGGGGATGCTCAGAGCTCGACAGATTCTGCGACGGCTAACGGCTTCCAGTCATTAGCACAGGCCCCTCTGAGGATCCCGCATCGACTGCCGCGAGCAGTTGGCCGCCGGCGTTGGCAAAGTCGTTTGGACAATAAACTGTCGGGCAGACCCTGTGCCTTAGATCCTAAACCCTAGACGCTGTAACCCCTTCAGAATATCAACCCGCAGAGTTAAACCCTAGATCCCAAACATTTACAGCTAGACCCTAACCCCAAAATCCTTGCAATGGAACCCGCAACTGAATTACATTGAATTGAACCCCAAAACTCCAAAGCCCGCAAAAACGCCCGCAAAGACAATGCAGGAGGGCGCCTCGCCTCGCAGATCTTTGGCGTGTCCTCCTTTGCCACCACAGGCGTCTTGTGGTTCCGGGGTTAGGGTTCTAAAGGATTCAGGGTTTAGGGTTCTTTAGGGTTTAGGGTTTAAAGGGTCTCAGGAAGGTTTTACAAGGGTCTTGCAGCGGGCTTTATACAGGGTCCTACAAGGAAGGGTTGTCTCCACCTGTTGACGCGCTCCTCGCGCGTGCCCGTTCCATACGTGTTTATGAGTTTTCGGGTCACACTGCAAACGGATTTCGAGAAAGACCTCAATACAATGCCCCGTCCTGCATCTTGAACATTGGCCGCTTGGGTTTCGCAACCAAAAATGCAACAGTCCTCCATTACTGTCCCTCCAACCCCTAAACCCCTAAACCCTTACACCCCTAAACCCCTAAACCCCTAAACCCCTAAACCTTAAACCCTCAACTTCTAAACCTGAAGTGCTAAACCCTTAAACCTTAAATCCCAACCCCTAAGCCCGAAACCCTAAATCCCCAAAACGCCTCCAGAGGCTACTGCGCTCATCACCTGGTTTTGGCCGAGCCTCCAGTGGTCCCGTCCAAGGCCGATTTACAGTGGCTCAGGTTTAGCTTCTTGTTTGGTTTCAAGGTTTAGGGTTCAGGGCGGGTGTAGGGTTTAGGGTGTAGGGTTTGGGGTCTAGGGTGTAGGGTTTAGGGTGTAGGGTTTAGGGTTTTCTTGACCAGCTTGCTGTTGATCGTATACTGTTAGTTGCTGTTCTCACTGTGGTAACTGTGGCATTGTACTTGACTTTTAATGGTGATGTGTTGCCATTTGGATTCTCCCAGACCTTCCAAAATCCCTCATTTAAGGAATATACCTTAATTCAATAAGAGGGATCCTATTATCATTTAAGGTATATTCCTTAATTAAGGGATTTTGGAAGGTCTGGGCTTGGTATGCAACCCTAAAAATCGACAAGCTCCCCAAGCCTCGAAGAATCCGCCAGTGGTTCAGGGTTTAGGGCCTATGGTTTCGGGTCTACTTAAAGGATCATGGGACTTAGTATCAAGGGTTGTAATTAGGGTAACTATACTTATAACTGCTTCTAACGCCAATGAAGGTGCTTATAACCTTACTTACTAAGTCCCGTGATCCTCCAAGTACAGTTTAGCGGAACCCTTTCAAGGAACCCCGCAGTGCGCAGGCGAGCCAAGGGCAGGGCCCTCTGTGGTGGCCCTACAAGCTCATGGAGAAGGCGGTTCAGGGTTTAGGGTTTTCCATACTTGGAGGTTCATGGGTAGTAGAGGTTCCTCCAAGCGTTCCTCTAAGGGTTCCTTACGGGTTCCTGTAGAGACGTAGGATCTAGGGTTTACTTGGAGGTTCATGGGTAGTTAATAATGGAGTTACACGTAGGGAAACTGTGGTCATGATATTTACTACGGGACTTATAGGGTTTAGGGTTTAGACGTTATCGGTTTGCAAGCACAGGCAGGGGGCTACAGGAATGTATAGCCGATGGTTCCTCAATCGGCATAAGGTTTTCAATCAACGGCTTGCTTCCACTTTCAGGTTGAGGGTTTAGGGTTTGGTCTTTCGGTCCCGGACCCTAGGGTGTTGGGGTTATAGTCAGTAACGGAAGGGGTTCCTTCAGGGTTCCTTAAGTGTCTCAGAGGTGGAATTCGGGTCGGGTTTTGACTTGAGAGGAGGCTCGTCGGGTGATGTTCACGCGTGTTCGAGTTTATGACCCTCAACCCAACAACCCTAAACTGCAAGCACTGAGCCCTAAACCCAAAAGAGGCTTTGTGGGTTATGGCCGACTAGGTTGTCGGGTTTGGGCCCTAACTCAGCACCTTTAGAGCCAATGAAAACGGTAACTCCCTAAGCCCTTCACCCCAGATCCTCGAGGACAGGACGTTGGTCTATCGCGGCTACTTCCTGCAGGGCACCATGACGGCCTGGTCCGAGGGGTTGCCAATGACCCGTGTCAACGAGGAGGTGGGGTTCCCCCTGGGTCTTGGGCCTTTGGAGACACGCATGGGTGGTTGTCAAAATTGGGGTCCCTTGTTGGGTTCCTATTGTGATACGGCACCTATTATTTAGGGTTCCCTGGGTCTTGGGCCTTTGCGAGACACACATAATATGGTTTCAGCAGGAACTCCGTAACTCAACAAACGAAGGTGTATATGTATATAAGGGTGTATGTATATGCATATGTATGTGCATGTGTAAACATATATATATATATATATACATATATGTATGCATATAAATGTGTTTATGTTTATGTATATATGTATGCACGCACGTATGTATGTATCTATGTACGTACGTATGTATGTATGTGCCTATGCATGTAAGTAGGTATGTACGTATATATGTACGTACGTATGTATGCATGTATGTATGTATTGTGATCTAGGTAAGTATGTACGTACGTATGTATGTGTGTATGCATGTATGTTTATACATATAGATGTACATGTACATGTCTCTGCACCTTTATATGTCTATTTAAACGTATGCGCAGGTACACACATACATACGTACATATGTATGTATGTATGTTTGCATGTATGTGTGTATGTATGTATGCATAGCTGGAAGTGTAATTGCCACCTGAATGATTTGGCTCAACAGGTGTTCTTGCTGTTAGGATGCCCAGGAGTCGTAGCACTTCTTGGCTGGCTCGCCATTTCGCGAAGATGCTGGAAGTCAAAACGCTATCAGGGGAGGCTCTGACGAGCATACCAGTGGAGGAGGTACACGACGTGAAGGGCTTGAAGCAGCGCCTGACTCAGCTGCACGGTTTGCCACCACGATTCAGGCAGAGGGTTTTCTGCTGCGGCGAGTATTTGGAGGAAGCCGTGAGGCTGGACTGCCCCATGGACTTGGACCTCGTTTTGTTGACCTTTTCTGATGTTTCTGAAGCGCAGGTGGAAGAGCTTGCAGTTTCTGCTTCGCAGGGCTCCCTTTCTGAGGTGGGAAGTTTTCAACCAGCATACATACCTGAACAAGTCTGTAGGACATTGCAAGCCTCAATCCCTAAACCCGTTGCCTGTGCTTGGTCTTGCCGTGGATGTCGCCCTTGTCCAACTCCTTCTGGGACTGAGGGATCCGTCTTCTGTAACTAACTGGACCGGTGAAGCCCAGTGAAGCGGGTTTCGGGTTTAGGGCTTAGGACTTGCCTTTTGGGGTGTAGGGATTAGAGTTACTGATCATGTTATGACTCCTGTCATATGTCATGGACAATTGCCTATTTGGAGGGGCACGGGACTTAGTAAGTAGGATATAAGTGGAGTTATAAGTCCCCTAAATGGAGTTACCGCATTTATAAATAACCCTACTTATGAACGACTTACTAAGTCCCCTGCGCCTCCAAGTAGGTTCGCTCGGATACGGTTAAGGGCTCAAACCCCAAATCCTAAATCAAAAGGCTCTAAGGGCTCGGGGCTCAAAGCTGAAGCGCCAAGACCGGCAGCAACAAAAGCTGTAGTTTAGGGTTTAAGGGCTTAGGGTTTTAGGGTTTAGGGTTTAGGGGTTCAGGGTTTGGGGTTTAGGGGCTCAGAGTTTTAGGAGGGTTTAGGGGTTCAGGGTTTAGGGGTTTTGAGTTTGAGGATGGCTGCATATCTGCAGACCCTGCAGGTCGAATCCATGATGCAGCTGCCACAAGATCCAGACTTGATTGGCACCACTCAGCAGCCGGCATTAGTGATCGCAGCTTTGCAGGGGCATGTCGAAGTCATGCGATTGCTGTTGGAAGCAGGTGCCGACAAGGACCTGGGCGACAGCAACGGGGTGACAGCTTGCATGCTCGCAGCTCACCGAGGTCATGTCGAAGTCGTGCGGGTTCTGTTGGAGGCCGGTGCCGACAAAAGCCTGGCCAGCAACAACGGCTCGACAGCACTGACGGCTGCATCTGTTGGAGGACAGGTGGAAGTCGTGCATTTGCTGTTGGAGGCAGCTGCCGACGTAAGCTTGGCCGGCAACGACGGCTTCACAGCTTGCATGTTCGCAGCTCACCAAGGTCATGTCGAAGTCGTGCGGTTGCTGTTGGAGGCCAGTGCCGACAAAAACCTGGCCAACAACAACGGCTCGACAGCTTTGATGCTCGCAGCTCACCGAGGTCATGTCGAAGTCGTGCGGGTTCTGTTGGAGGCCGGTGCCGACAAAAACCTGGCCAACAACAAGGGCTCGACACCAATGATGAGTGCATCTGGTCAAGGACATGTGGAAGTCGTGCATTTGCTGCGCGGGGATGCGGCTTGAGCTTATAGCTTCTTGTGTCGTTCCGAAGGCCGTGACCAAGATGGGGCAAAATCGAAACCGAAGAGGGACAGGCTTCGTGTCCTTGCCGGAGAGCCAAAACTTTTTTCACGTAATTCCTAAACCCGCTAAGCCCTAAACCCTAAACCCCCTAAACCCTAAACCCTAAACCCCTAATTCCTAAACCCGCTAAGCCCTAAACCCTAAACCCCGTAAACCCTAAACCCCTAATTCCTAAACCCCCTAAGCCCTAAACCCTACAGAACAGGGACACCCTGAACCCACAGGCCCTCAACTCCCGCCTTCGAAGCCCCAGATTCGTAAATCCCTCAGATAGGGCCCCCCAAAAAGCACATAGGCAAAAATTAGGATAGGGATGTCCCATATAAGCCCCCTTTAAAAGGAAGCCCATAAGGTAGGGATATCACCACAAAATGCTTATGCTTATGTGCCTTTTTGGGTCCCTATCAAAAAACCCAACTTCGCGGATCATGGAACTAAAGCAACTAAGGTTAGAAAGAAGGTAACCATACGTATTATAACCCCACTTCAGGTACCTATAACCTTACTTGCTATGTCCCATGATCCTCCAATCGGGTTTGGGGGCTAAGGGTTTCTGGCCTCAAGGAGCATATCTGTTTGTTCTTGCAAGCCCTGGGGAGCAACATGAGCTACCTGGATGTTCATGGGTAGGTATAAGTGGAGTTTTAAGTCCCCTAATATGGGCCAAAATTTTAGTTACCGTACTTATAACTTATAACCCCACTTATAATTGCCCATGAACCTCCAAGTGGTAGCCTGCTAGCAGCCCGGAAGGACTTGGTTTGTGATTTAGGGTGTAGGTTTTAGGGCTTAAGCCCTAATCCTCAAACCAACCCGACGCCATAAACCTAAACCTGAGCTTAAACCAAAACCATACAAAGCCCTAAACCATACAAACGCCTCTAAATCCATGGAGAAACCCATTTGGGCGGTTGGTCCTTTTTGGGTCCCTCTTATAATACGGCACCTATTATTTAGGGTACCCAAGGAGGGACCCTAATTTTGACAACCACCCATATAATAGAATCCTACACCCTGAACCCTAAACCCCTTATGGAACCCTTTTAGATCCCTTTAAGGAACCCTTTAAAGGAACCCTAGGATCCCCTATTTTCAGAAACTCCCATATAGATCCAGGGAGGATGAACGCTAGGTTTGTACCCTTAATATAGCTATTATATACCCATTATATGGCCCATTATAGGGTAGTGGTCCCCATTAAGGGTCCCTCCTTTTCCCCTGGGACTCCTACACCCCAAACCCTGAACCCTAAATCCCCATAGATCCCTTAAAGGAACCCTTCAAGGAACCTCTTGTTAAGGGTCCCTCCTTTTCCCCTAGGACTGGGGTTTCTTAAAGAGGTCTTTAGAGGGATCCATAAGGGTTACTATAAGGCTTCTATAAGGGTCCCTTGGATCCTACTCTTTGGTGTACTATATTTCGGTCCCCTATTTTCGGAAACTCCCTAAACCCTAAACCCTTTATGGAACCCATATAGATCCCTTTCAGGAACCCTAGGGTCCCCTATGTACATCCCATATAGATCCCTGGAGGATGAACTTGACACCTTCGAGGGCTACATCGGCCTGGAGAGCGACTGACGCGCTCTCAGCTTCGGACCAGGGGTTCTGGGGCTCTTTTAAAGGGATCGAGGGTTCCTTTAAAGGGATCTATAACAGAATCTAGAAGGTTTAAGGGTTTAGGGGTTTTAGGGTTTGAGGGTTTTAGGGTTTGAGGGTTTTAGGGTTTAGGGGTTTGAGGGGTTTGAGGGTGTTGGGGAGTTAGGGTGTTAGGGTGTAGGGTTCAGGTTAGCTTTTGCTTTTTGCTTTGGATTTGTTTCACATGGGTCTTGATGACGGTTTGTAGGGTGTTTCAAGGGTTTCTTTACGGTTTTATAATGGGTTCATAGGGTGTTCAGGTATGGATGAGTTTGCCAGGCTTCAAAGAGCAGGCATAGTATAGTAGTAGCAGCAGCATCAGCACGTGTTGTTGCTGCTACTCGTGTGGTTATTGTTGACGTCGTTGTTTGCTGCTAACCGTCCTCTTGGTGTTATGAGAAGAGTAGTGGTTTTCTTATTGCTAGTACTAGTAGCGCAGTCTCGCTCAATATGTTCATTGCTTGATATTGTTCTCGATGTTGTCATTGCTGTTGCAGCTGTCTTTGTCATTGCCAGTGTTCCTCTCGTTGTCATCAACGGAGCTATTGTTCCCATTGTGCACGTTATTCGTCGTACGAGCAATGTAACTTAGTGCTGCTATGCGGCTGTCGCACAACCCTAAACCCCTGAACCCTGGGATCCTTGGGTGCATATCGCCCGAATCGGCCGAGTTGACTGCTTGCACAAACCCCTAAACCCTAAACCCCAACCCCTTAACCCTCAACCACAACCCCCAGACCCTAAATAATCCCTAAACCCCAAACCTAACTGCCTGCGAAGTTTTGCAGATGTCAGGAAAGGGCTTTTTGGAATCCGAGAGTCGACTCACATGACATTGAAGCTTCCTGTTTTGTGCTTGTTCCCACCTTACGGTTTAGGGTCTAGGGCTTGGGTTTAGGGTTTAGGGTTCAGGGTTTAGGATTTAGGGTTTAGGGTTCAGGGTTAGAGTTTAGGGTTTAGGCAGGGTTTGAGGGTTTAGCCCCTGGTTTCGCTGCATATTTGGGGTCCGGAGAGTAGTCGGCGAAGTTCCGGGTTGAGGGTTTCGGCTTGCTGTGCCCGAGCTGCCAAAAAAGTTACTAGGGTGGATGATATAAATCCTGCTTTACCTTAAGGGCCCTAAGCAATGGGAATTATGGTATATTTCCCCATTATGGTTAATGCAGGATTTCTATCATCCACCGTGGGGGGTTGTCACATATTCGAGTTTAGGGTTCAGGATTTCGGGCTACCTCTATGCTAGACGGTGCAGCAGCGCGGAAATATTCTCAAAGGAGTTGATGCGCACTCCGTACTACCTTAAGTAGTGTCAACAGTTAGGAATAGGCTGCCTTCCTGAGTAGAGATACTGCAGGATCCAGTCCCTCCAAGCACCGACACCTGAACCCTCAACCTTAAACCGCACGGCAGTAAAACCTAAAGCTATTTACCCCAGAGCACCAAGTCTAATCCCGAAAACTGAGAAACCCTAAACCCTAAACCCTAAACCCTAAAGCCCAGAGCTGCTCTCGCACGTCTTGCAACACGACTTCCAGCATCCTTTGAGCCCAGTTCCGGAGACGTTCCAGATCTGGGTGGACGACGACCCGGACAAGGCACTACCGTCATGAACAGTGCGATATGGGAGTTTCCGAAAATAGGGAACCCTAATATGGTACCCTAAATAGTAGGATCCCTATTATAAGGACCTCAAAATAAGGCACTCCTAATTTTCGGAAACTCCCATATGGGTGGTTGTCAAAATTAGGGTCCCTTTTTGGGTAGCCCAAATATTAGATGCCCTATCATAATAAGGCCCCAAAAAAAGGACCATAATTTTGACAACCACCCATATATAGGGGCCTTAATAATTAGAATGGGGTTCTGGTGCCCTTTATACTAAAACTAGAGCAAGGAACTTCCCAAAATACTATTGGCAAACCCTAAACCCTAAACCCTAAACCCTAAACCCTAAACCCTAAACCCTTACAACAACAAGGAGCACAGAGCCTTACGCCTCGCCCTTCACGCAGGTTTTGACCCGAACTTAGCCCTGAGTGCTGCAATCTAATCCTCTCCAAGGGTAAAAGGAGGGACCCTTAATGGGGACCCCTACCCTATAATGGGCTATATAATGGGTATATATTAGCTATATTAAGGGTATATACCCAGGGGTCCTTATTAAGGGTCCCTCCTTTTCCCCTTTGATCCTGGGCTTTGGAGCACCATACTTTAATACTTTTTCGGGACCTGTTACTGAAATGGAGCCATTATGTTAAAAAAAGTCTATACTTTTTTCTCCCTGGTTACTTCAAAGCCCAGAATCAGTATGCTCGAGACCTCAGTCCTGGCAGCGCTGGGACTTGGTGGTGGTATCAGAAGCAAAACAATACTAGTTGTAGTTGATGACGAACTCCTGCGTGGTCCACAATACGGAATGTACCATGATTCCTGTCGTCTAGGCTACTGAATCGACCGCAGGATTTGTCCATCAGCAGTAGCCTTAACACCAGTCGAGACCTTCCAAAAGAGCACAAAACGGAACTAGATCCCGAGACTGTAAATGTAAATGTAGACATCAGTCAATCTGTCACGAAAGCCATCTAGTGCTCTACGGCTTCCCTAAACCTTGAGCCCCTGAACCCTAAACCCGCTCAGAAAAGCGCAAATGCCCGGAACCCTGAAGCCCCCTACAGCAAACCCCATAAAGTTGTAAACCGGATTAAGGCCAAATGGAGCTGGGATTCCCCTTTACGTTACTCTTAAGGATTGAGGCTATTGGGTTTCCCACTTTTGGGCTTCTACTGTAAACTCTCAAGCCCGAACCCTAAAGCCTAAACCCTGAGCCCAAACCCACGTGAGACTGAAACTTTCCGCTGCCCAAACCATGTTCGCCAACTTTCCTTCGGCCCCCTCAACCCTAAACCCTAAACCCTAAACCCTAAACCCTAAACCCTAAAACCCTAAAACCCTAAACCCGAAACCCTAAACCCTAAACCCGAAACCCTAAACCCTAAACCCTAAACCCGAAACCCTAAACCCTAAACCCCGAAACCCTAAAGCCCCAACCGTAAAACCCTAAACCCGAAGCTTCTGCTTCCATCAGCCCCTACGCCTCGGATCCTCAACCGGACTTCTGGGGGTTTAGGGCTAAGGGGTTCAGGGTTTCAGGGTTTAGGGGTTAGGGTTTTAGGGTTTAGGGGTTTAGGGTTTAGGGGTTTAGGGTTTAGGGGTTTAGGTTTAGGGGTTTAGGGTTTAGGGTTTTAGGGGTTAGGGTTTAGGGTCAGGCTCCTTACCTGTCAAGCCAAAAGTCAACGACTCGTATGAACATTCGACAAGTGTGCAACAAGTATCTTGCAAAGCCGCCGAACAACCCTTGTTCAACTCTACTCTGGGCTCCTGCAAAGATCTGCACGCCTGCAGCCAGAACCAGGGTTGCTTTTTGGGGGAAGTGCGCAGCAAAGAAATAGAAAAGCTATCAACATTATTCCTCAGGGTTCCGTAATAGATCTCTACCAAACCCCCAAAGCCCATTCTAATCACCCTAAACCCTCAATCCTAAACCCTAAACCCTAAACCCTAAACCCTAAACCCTAAGCCATCCTAACCTAAACCCCCGAATCCCCAAAGCCGTAAACTCCTCGAGCCGTCGATCCCCACCACCCTAAAACCCCAAACTCTAAAGCCTCAAACCCTTCAAACACCCCCCCCCTCCAAAAAAATAAAGAGAAAAACATTTCAAAACCCTTACGGCCCGTAACATCCTGTAGATGCCTTATACAACCCTTCTAGATCCCTTTCAAGGAACCCTTATGGAGCCCCTTAAAGGAGCCCCCTTATAGACCCCCAAGAGAGGCGCTGCATCCTCCTCGGCGCGGCGACCCGGCGGAGGCTGCGGTGATTGGACCGTCGTCAGCCGCGCCGAGGCGCCTTAGGGCTGCTTTCAAGTGACAAGGGATCTATAAGGATTTCGGGCTCCTTTGAAGGGATCTCCTTCAGGGTTTGGGGTTTAGGGTGTAGGTTTCGGGTTTTGGGTTTGGGGCTTTGTTCCTTGAGAGGGATCTACAAGGGTTCGAGCAGGGCCTTCAAAGGGTTCTACAAGGATCTGGAAGGGCTTAGGTTTTAGGCTTTTCCGTCCTGACGGACTGCGAAACGGCTCAGCCCAGATCCTTGGAACGGACCCAGTTTATCGAAGAGCTCCAAGAGTGGGATGAAGGTAGGTAGGGTAATCCCAGAAGCGGAGCCCTAGAACAAGGGATCCCACATCCTACCTACCTTCATCCCATCTCTTGAGGCCTCCAAGTATAGAGAACCGCCCGCATCACCCGAGTCCACTGCTTCCGTTTCTGAGACACCCTGGCAGCAAACCCTAAACCCTAAACCCTAAACCCTAAGCCCAAACCTCCTTTCTGAACCACAATGCCCCCAGATCAAAGGATCCCCCCAAACAGAAGCCCCAAGCCTTTTTGAAGGACCGCAGGGCGCGCGACAACTACCCCAACTCAGGAACCCTCCACCGGAACCCGATTCTACTGGCTATTATTTTGGCCTCCTTCAGTAAATCGCTCTTTTGTTTTGGAACCCTGATATAACCGTTTAGAGACTCCTGAAAGGAACCCTTTCAAAGAATCCTTGAAGTCTAAATGGAGGTTCATGGGCAGTTATAAGTGGGCTTCTAAGTAAGGTAAGTAGTTATAACCCATATTAGGGGACTTCTAACACCTCTTATAACTACCCTAAACCCCCTAATGGAATTTCAATTATAGCCTTCTAGCTACCCTAAGCCCTATAGATCCCTTCAAGGAACCCGCAGTAGGGGACACATAACTCCACTTGTAATCACCCTAGACCCTTATCCCTAAACCCGAAACCCTATAGAACACTTCTGGGAACCCTAAACCTTAAAGGCGCCCTAGTTTTAACTTCCCATGAACCTCCGAGTATGAACTACCCTAAACCCCCTAATGGAACTTCAATTATAGCCTTCTAACTACACTAAGCCCTATAGATCCCTTCAAGGAACCCCCAGTTATGAACCTCCAAGTATGAAGTGGTCGTGAGGCACCCTAAACCCTTAAAGGAGCCCTACTTATAACTTCCCATGAACCTCCAAGTAAACCCTACACCCTTATAGAATCCCTATAGATCCCTTTAAAGGTCCCTTTGCTGGAAGATTGGTGCAGACGGCCGGGCTGGCGACGGCTACCGCGTCCGGTTTCTTGCCCCAAACCCTAAACCCTAAACTAAACCCTGGGTTTAGGGTTTAGGGGAGGGGTTTGGGTTCAGGGTTTTTGAGGCTTAGTTTAGAAGCTGCCCCCACCCTGTAATAGTGACTATAAGGATTATATTAGGACCCTATTTAAGGGTTAGTCTTTGGGTTCAGAGTTTTGGGTGGCAGTAGAAGAAGAAGAGGCGTTTTAGTTACAGGTCTTGAGAACCGCCATAGAAAGACAAGGACCGCCAGTAGCCATTTTTCTACACCCTGAACCCTGAGGGGGTGAGAGCCGGATTTAGGGTTTTAGGGGTTTAGGGATTAGGGGTTTAGGGATTAGGGGTTTAGGGTTTAGGGGTTTAGGATTTAGGGTTTAGGGGTTTGGGGTTTGGGGTTTAGGGTTTAGGAGTTCTTCAACGATGCGTCCTTCGATGAGTTGACACTCGGAGTCTGTGCGATGGTCCACAGCTTGAGGAAACCTGAGCCATGAGCCCTGTGCGAGCCGAGGATCTTTTCTTAGCCGCTATACCCTCAACCCTACACCCTCAAGCTCGCTGGATCTTTGTCAGCTTTTTCCGAGTCATGAGCCCTACGCCGTTTCTTAACCGCTAAGACCCTCAACCCTACACCCTCAAGCTCTCTGGACTCTTTTTACTGAGGGCTTCAGGTCTTTAGGCGTCTAGGGCTTGCAGTCAAAAACCCAAGCACTACTTCGAGGATCACGGGGCTTTCTAATAGTGTTTTAAATATGGTATCTAAACTGAAAACTTCCTTCAACGAAAGTTTCAGTACGTATAACCTCGCTTGCTAAGTCCCATGATCCTCCAAGCCAAAGCCCTTAAACCCTCAAACCCTAAACCCTATAAACCCCAAAGCCCTAAACCCCTAGAAACCCTAATCCCCAAAACCCCGAAACCCCGAAACTAAGTCCCATGATCCTCCAAGTATCAGGCCGGTGAGCCGTCTCAAGACTCAGCCAAGTGCAAGGGGGACTTTAAGGTTTAGGGGTATAGGGGTTTAGGGTTTTCGAGGTTTTAGGGCTTTAGGGTTTAGGGGTTTAGGGGTTTAGGGTTTTTAAGGTGTTAGGGTTTTCGGGTTTTAGGGGTCTAGGGGTTTAGGGGCCTCCTTGGAGGATCATGGGACTTCGGAAGTAAGGACACAAGTACTTTAGGCGGGGTGAAAAGCACTACACCCCAAGCCCCCCAAACCCTAAACTGAAGCCCTCAGCAATAAGCCCCTGGCCGCTTCAACTTAATATAGGGGCCTTAATAATAACCTAAACCTCTTTGGGGGTTACTTGTTTTAAGTATAGTATAATATAATATACACCAAAACCCGATTCTAATTAGAAATGTCCCTACATTACGGCAGTTTTGCCTATAGATCCTTTATAGGACGCGTCAAGGAACCGCACCTACACCTTATAGATCCCTTACAACACCTTTAAGGATCACACCTAAACCTTCTGGATCCCTTAGATCTGATCCTTGTAGATCCCTTATAGGACCCTTTCAGGAACCCGGTGCCTGAGGCCCCTCAATCCTGAACGCCTAGAAACCCTAAGCCCTAACCTCTAGAAAAGCCTAGAAACCTTAAACCCTAAACCCTAAACTGCTAGAAACCCCTAGACACCCTGAACCCCTAGAAACCTCTAGAAAATCTTAGAAACCCCTAGAAACCCCTAGAAAACCTAAGCCCCTAAACCCCGTGAGGCTGCAGGTGAACGGCAGCCTGAGGCGCCTCTCCTGGACGAAGATGCCCCAGGAGCGGAGCTCTTCGTTTAGGGTTTAGGGTGTTGGGGCTCCCTTAAAGGGGCTTTTTTATGTTAAAGCAATAATGGTTTGGGGCTCCCTTAAAGGAATGGTTTAGGCTTTAGGCCGGCTTAAGGGCTCCCTTAAAGGAGGAATTTAGGGAACTTGAGGGGTTCCTTAAGGGGCCCCGGGAGCGGAGCTCTTAGAGTATCGTGAGCTTAAGGGGTTTAGGGTTTGGGGTATAGGGTTTAGGGTATAGGGTTTAGGGTTTAGGGTTTAGGGTATAGGGGATAGGGTATAAGGTTTAGGGTTCAAGGAGCGGAGCTCTTAGTAGAGTTGCCTCAATAATTAGGATAGGGTTTTGGGGGTTCCTTTGGAGGGTTCCTTTAAGGGATGCCATAAGGGGTATAATGGGGGGTCAGTATAGGGGCCTTGATATCTAGAATATGTTTAATGGGCCCATTATACTATAATCATAATAAGGAACCGACAAGAAGTATTGGTATTTATTGAGGCCCCTATATTGAAGGATCATGAGACTTAGTAACTTCAAGCGTTCCGTCCTCTGAGGGATCTATCAGGTTTAGGTGGGGGTCCTTAAAGGGTCCTCTAAGGGATCTACAAGGTTTAGGTGGGGTTCCTTGGAGGGTCCTCCAAGGCATCTACAAAGTTTAGGTGGGGTTCCTTCAGGGGTTCGCTAAGGGATCTATCAGGTTTAGGTGGGTTCTTGAAAGGGCCTTATAAGGGATCTGCTAAGGTTCAGGGTTCTAAGGATCATGGGACTCAGTAAGTAAGGTCATATGTACCGTAACTTGGCGTAAAAGAAACAAAAGCAGAGTTATTTTACAACAGTCCTAGTTACTAAGTCCCATCATCCTCCAAGCATAGCTTATGTCCTTGAAAGCCACAGGTGAACCTTTAGATGTGGCCTGGCTCTTCTGTGATCACGGCAGAGCCTGTCGTGATCCCGGGTTTGCGGCGAAAGAAATTGTTTTTAGTTACCACAATGGGGAGATCTACTTTAGGGTTTAGGGTGCAGGGAGATATACTCTAGTGATTGCTACGGTCTCCCCACTATGGCATCCTCAGCAGCAACCCAGTATTTTGATAAGAGGCTTTCTCCGATGGTATGGTCTTGCAGGCTTTAGACCTCATGGTGCGTTCTGTTGTTGCAGCAATTTTGCTCGTGTTCCTGTGCATCTGTCCCATCCCAGCCATGGTGCGCATCCTTAGCGCACTTGCCACCGGCATCGGCTTGTTGACCGACAAGTACATGCTCGGTGCGACGAACTTCGTTGAGCATTATGCACTTGAGTTTCATGCAACTGACTCTCAGAAGGACTTCGTGAAAGCCGCCATGTACGCAGGATGCATATTGGGCATGATTGTCATGGGTCCGGCCTCGGACTACATTGGACGCCGCTTGGGTCTTATACTCTGCTCCATTATCACGTTGCTTGGTGCTCTGCTTTCTGCCCTGGCCTGGAGCGAGAACGCACTCATCGCGGCCCGCATCATCACCGGAGTCGGGATGGGTGGCGAATATCCGCTTGCTTCCGCACACTCTGCAGAGTCTTCCGAGAAGACGAGCGATGGAGCTCGAAACATTGCCCTGCTGTACCTTTTCGGAAGCGGCTTTGGCCAGGCATTGTGCCCACTGGTAACTTACGTCATGGAGGTTGCCGGCGTTCCTCACGAGTTGCTTTGGCGATGGATTTTTGGAGTCGGCGTCATTCTCTCTGCTCTAGGCCTAGTCTTGCGATACCTAACCACACAGGACAGCCAGAAGTTCGTAGAAAGCAAGAAGGCAGAACGGAAGCACCACGACAGCACATGGACCATTCTGTCACCTTACTGGCGCGCACTTCTCGGCACTGCCGGGTGCTGGTTCCTCTTTGATATTGTCGAGTATGGCTTGAAGCAGAACGATGCAGCGATCTTCAGTGAGGATGTCTCTGCCAGCTATGCCGAGAGCATCCTTCAGGTTCTGTGGAGCCGCCTCCTCGTGATCCCATCGCTGATTTTCGCACCCTGGTTTTTGACCAAGGTCTCCAGCAAAAGGGTTCAGCTACTTGGCTTCATCGGGTGCGGGGTGGCGAACCTGATCTTGGCAGTCGCCTACGAAGAGTTGCGGGAGTTCTCCACCCTCTTCTTTTTGTTCTACATCCTGCAGCTCTCTTTTCAGAGCCTCCCTGGGGTCACCACCATGGCAACTAGGATGCCCAGTAGTACCCTTATTCCCTTTTTGTAGTCCTAGGTTCCTTATAAAGTTACCCAATACCAAAAGAGAGGCCTTTTTATTCTTAGGTTACTGGGTATCCTAGTTTAGGACCCATTTTAAGGAACCCTAAAACCCCATAGATCCCTTTAAGGACCCCAAAATAAGGTACCCCTAATTTAGGTTACTGGGACACCTTTTAAGAATCCCTAAGCACCCGTAGATCCCTTTTAAGGAGCCCTTTAGGGAACCCCTAAACCCCCAATAGATGCCTTTAAGGAACCCTAAACCCTAAACTGTTACCCTAAACCCTAAACCCTAAACCCTAAACCCTAAACCCCACCGTGGGTCTCCTAGGCAATCTCCGCAGAGATTTATCCGAGCATGGTCCGGGGTGCAGCCGCCGGCATCAGTGCCGCCTGCGGGAAGCTCGGAGCGACAGTTGGTTCCTTAGGGGTACATAGAAATATTTTTAACTTTTGGTTATTATATGACAAATAATTCTTACTTTTTGGTTATTATATTAGAACATTTTTTTAATTTTTGGTTATTACAATCCCTAAGGAACAGCTGAAATGATAATTTGAAACGCTGCGCGTCGTCCGCCTCGGCCCGGCTGTACGCGCATGCGGCGAGTGGCTACTATCTGCAGCAAGCTCTTGTAGGAAAAAGTACCAGTTGGAATCGCACTTATAGTAAAAGTAATGTTCATAGCAACACGAAGCAGGATGATTGTGAGTAGTATTAGTAGTGGTAGTATCAGTACGAATTTTGGTGTCGTCATTCCGAAACACTGGATACCAAGACTCTCGCAAGCGGCGGGATGCCTTAAGTATGGGCCGTTGAGGCTGTGGATTTCGTGGGCGTCTTGGATTAGGGAAGCATCACAGCCTTTTCAACCACGTTACTCCGCCTATCCCAACGAAAGGGCGTCTAAAACAAGCCTGAGACGCACATAAAGATGCTACATTGCAGTCCCATGTCGTCGAAAACTCCAAAAAGCTCGCACCTGTCAGCGAGCGGAGGAGGGGCGGGAGGGAAGGGGGAGTGGGGGGGAGGGGGTGAAACACTGAATGTTACACATCCAGGTGCCTGTCTGTTTCACGTATCACTTGCATGTATCCATGCCTGTTGCTCAAGGTTCTAGTGCAGTGGACTACAGCTGTGCGCCTGTAGCAAAAGAGACACCTGAGTGCCTGTGTTCCTGTACGCCTAGCGAGGGGATACACGTCCAGGTTACATCTCAACGTGGTAGCGGAGCTCCCGGGAAACGGGAAGCTTCACACTTGTGGAGGTACCCGTTCGGTACTCTCTACACAGGTGGAGGCAACCGGAATACCCGGTGTGCTTCACTCAGGTGAAGGTGACCGGAGTCTCTCCGGCACACTTCACTCAGGTGAAGATAACCGGAAGAGGTTTCTCCCGGGGCTCGATCCAAGAACAGCGCAATGGCTAGCCACTCTGCGACTATCTTTGAGCATGAAGGAGGAGATGATGACTACCTCCTCCACGGAAATGAATCTTTCGCGACTAATCATCGTCATCTCAATGAATTACACCGTCTTTCAGCTTTCCAGCAGGTGACCACAAAAGTACCTCCATCTTATGATGGTAGAAGCAGTTGGTTTGCCTATGAAGATGCGATCGATGACTGGTGTGACATTACTGAGCTAGACAATGATAAGCGTGGACCAGCTTTGAGAAATCGGCTAGAAGGTGAAGCAGCAATCCACAAGAGACTTCTCGACAGAGATCGCCTGAAGGACCCGAACAACGGAGTGAAGTACTTCAAGAGTTTCCTGCGGCCGCTTTTCGTGAAGGGAGCAGCGAATGTTTTTCTCTATCGCTTCCAGCAGTTCATGAACATGCACCGTGGGAACGGAGACATGCTTCGTTGGATTACCAGGTTTCAACTCTCTGTTCAGAGAATGCAAGAAGCGTGGAACGATACCTATCTGCCGATCGAGGACCCGAACAATGCAGAGGTCAGAGCCTTCATAGTAGGACTTCCTCCAGAAGAACAAGAAAACCTTACGCCAGCTCAGGCAATGGAGAGAGCCAACGAACGGCTCAGAGAGCAGCATGCTCGGACCATTCCGATCACGCCCAACCTGGTCGCCTTGATCTTTGTGTCTCTGTCTGATCTGACACAGGATCAGCGTCAGGTGTTGACATCACTGATGGCGCATCGGAACCGAGTCCTGGCTGACTACAACACGGCCGAGCTTCGCGAAGTCTACCTGGAGATCTTCTGTACGACCAAGACTACCGTCGACAATCCACTCCTCGCTCCTTCCGGCCACGGTGGCCGCAAGACCTTCCTTGTGATCGATGAAGGATATTTGAACGATCATGAAGGCTACTGGGTCGAGGACGAGGAAGATGGCACCGAAGGTTTCCTCGAAGCGGATGAGGACGCCTTCTGGGTCTACGACGACGAGAACTATTCATGGTTCCAGCGGCGCTTCCAAGGCCGCAAGATGAGGCGCGGATTCAAGGGCCACCGTAAAGGCAAAGGAAAAGGTGGCAAAGGATCCAAAGGAAGGCGCTTCTTCAAAAGGAAGAAAGGCAGGTCACATCTTGCCGAAGAATCAGAAGCATGGCAAGCAGAAGGACAATGGCAAGATTACCAGTGGAGCGATCAGTCCTGGGATGACTGGTCCTGGTATGAGTCTGAGGAATCCTATGCAGCCAAAGGAAAAGGAAAGAAAGGAAAGAAGGGCAAAGGAAAGAGCAAGTTTGGCAAGGATGGAAAAGATGGAAAGTCCGGAAAAGACGGACAGAGCCAGCTTGCT